TTATCCATTATCCATTATCCATTATCCATTATCCATTATCCATTATCCATTATCCATTATCCATTATCCATTATCCATTATCCATTATCCATTATCCATTATCCATTATCCATTATCCATTATCCATTATCCATTATCCATTATCCGTCTATCCATCTATCCATCTATCCATCTATCCATCTATCCTTATGTCCGTATGTCCGCCCGCCTGTCTGTCCGTCCTTCCGTCTGTGTATCCGCCTATCTATCCCTCCATCCGTCTAGCCGCTGTCTGTCCGTCTGTTCGTCCTACGGTCCGTCCGTTTGACAGTCTCTCTGCATTGAAATACATGTTTTCTTCTGATATGCGCAATCGTAAAAACTACAGAAAAATTTCATGTTGTATTTTTTCAACTCCAATCTTAGTATTACAACAAAAAAACTTCCATAATATAAAGCCGTGTTTGGTTTCATATGAGCGGCAAGCATCTCTAGACCTGAAGGTCCTAGATCACTAGATGAACAACCAGCATCTCTAGACATGAAGGTCCTTGATCACTAGCCTAGATGAACCACCAGCATCTCTAGACCTGAAGGTCCTAGATCACTAGCCTAGATGAACCGTAAATGAACCACCACCCATCGAGTGCTAGCTCCGTGTTATCACGTCATTAAGGGGCAGCAATCCTAATGGGGAGATAACTCTATTGTCCCTAACGAGCTGAGGGATCATAGAACTTGTTTTATCTAGGCGGAGCGGCGTCACCGGCCTTCTCATTGAGGGGAATTACGACCCGCGAGAGATAAGCCAACGTGGCCAAAATAGATAGGGGTGGACAACAGGATAATGGGGGTAGGGGGAGGTATGGGGGGAGATATAGCGTAAAGGTTGAATGACCGTTCAGCTTTCATTTTAAGACGATGGAAAAATAACCTATAAACATGAATACAAAATGCTTTTGTCTTTAGTAATACAACGTATGAATCTCTTGTTCGGCTGGCCACATTTCTATAATAGTTTATCTATTATAAAAAATAGTATGTTTTAATTTATGTGTCATTATGACTTCCATAAATGGATCGATTATATGCTGTTCTACCTCAGTGTGTGGGGAGAAGGGTCCACGATGTACATCCCTACCTGCAGTATGCTTGTAGGTTAGCAAAACTAAATGTCGTTATCCTGTAAACATCATTTATATCATAGATCTAGTTATATCACTAGATCTAGTTTTGCAAAAATAGCTGATGTCAATAAAAATTGAACTGCCGAAGACACGCTGTAAACAAACCGAAAGAAGTCTACAAAATGAATTTAAAAGAATAAATTTGTACTTAACATTTTTTTTTATTATAGATCTAGATCAAGATCTATATTACATTATTTACACCCCATTGCCATGCGTATTAATTAGGCTAATAGTAAGCCCTAATACTAGTAAATATTTATTGTATTTACAGTGCCACATCAAAATTCGGTAATGTATCGTAAAAGTTTTAGGTACGTACAATCGGCCGACACTACTAACGTGAAAGAAAGGTGACTCATTAATATGGCTTTAATACAAGTAGGGCCTTATAAAAAAACTTGACATCATTTACTGTCATTTCAATTTTATAAGAACAATGTGGAATTCTTCCTGTAATATTATGTTAGTGGGCCTAGATTTCCTCCTGATGCACCATAGATAGCTACAGGAGATTCTAAAGATTTAATAGAATGTCACCAATATAAAAGAGAAAACAGGCAGCCAATGTATTTTTCCAGAATAGTTGCATCATTAATATCTGGTAGATTATGCAGATAGACTGAATTATGATGTTAAATTGATAAACCGTAGAAGAAACCGGTGCTGACGTTATGCTTTGAAACTGTTGAAAGTCGTTGATCGGCTGTATTAATTGTATCCCATTATACTTATAGCTAAGAAGCTGTAAAGATTTTGTAATTCTAGTACAATTCTTACCGCCCCAAAAAAAAAATCTCAACTTCCATTGCTATTTTAGACCATAAAAGATCTAAAGGGATATAACTCAATATTTTTGTTACTGTAGGAGTTATCGGTTTTAATTTTTTATTGCTATGATGATAAGTAAATCATCAAAATTAGCATAATCAATTTATTTGAAAACTAAAATGAGTTTTTGTCTTTAACTTATCCGAGCTTATTAATATAATGGTTGACTGATGACTTTTTCAATTACTTTTGAAAGCATTAAAAAATATATACTTCTGCTTGTTTAGAAATTGATAGTTTAATAGTTTAAACATAGGAAGGAACATTTGGTCGAAAAGTAAACTAACCTCTCAGGAAATTAAAAATGTTATTTTATGTATAAAACATGTTTCACTTTAATATTTTTTTTCTCTAACATTGAAAGGCATTATTTATAAATACAGTGATAAGAAATTAGACTGCTGCTGGTTTAACAGACCGATTCAAATGTTTTCTGCACCTATTGTCTGACACCAAAAGACTGAGTGGGCGCTTTTTCGCCAACTTGAATGGCTTTATATAAATTGGGGTGGGGGGTGGCTGCGTTAGTGTAACAGGTAGCTCTCAAGAAAAAAAAAACATTAACGCATTGATGTAATCCTCTAAAAAAGTTGCGTCAGCCTTTCTTTTGAGATCGCAGCAACAATCTCTATCTTAATGAAAATATGTTTCTTTTTCGGCCTTAGTCTTTTTATATATTATTACATAATCGATCGGTGTGAAACTCTGGAAAATTATATAGGAAACATATACTTTTACCAGTGTCCCCTCACCTCCAAAAATATCAAGTGCCCCTCCCCCCCCCCCCACTTCGGAAAAAAGAAGTATGGAAGAAACACTGTATATAATTGGTGTATGGGGTATCTTACCCTTGATTTGGACTAGGGCACCTATGTAACTCTACTTGAGTTGAAACCTGGGTTATAAATAATACATGCCTGGGGGAAACTGTAACAAATGTGCAGTGTACAGAGTTTCTTATAGGCATATACGCGAAGAGAGTCTACCGCTGCCCCCCCCCCCCTTAACAAAATGGAAATTATATAGAAAATATATACTTTTAGCAATGTCCACCCCCCCCCCCGGAGAAAAAAGTCTTGAAGAAACACTGTCAGTGTATAGATCTATGATCAGTAGATCTAGACAGTGCCGGCAAAACTTATTAACCCCCCCCCCCCCACCCACTCGCAATTTTTTTTACATATGATATATATGTAAATAAAATAATATAATATATTATATAGGTCTATGTTTATTATATATTCATATATTATACATATATATATATATGAATATAATATTATATATATATATATATATATATATATATATATATATATATATATATATATGCACACACACACACACACACACACACATATATATATATATATATATATATATATATATATATATATATATATATATATATATATATATATATATATATATATATATATATATATATATATATATATATATATATATATATATATGTATATATATATATGTATATATATATATATGTATATATATATAATATTTGTTTATGTGTATATGTATATTTGTATAAATGTATACACCTTTACATATGTATATACTTATATATACATATATGTTAGTAGACTGTCTCGCTAAATTTTAAATTAACCATTTAACCTATTTCATAAAACAAGAAACCACACAGCGGATAGGCTGAAATTCATTTCTGGTCTGAAATAATCCAGATTTTAAAAATCTCATTTATGCTCGCCGAAAATTATAAATAGCGTCAGCGAAGTGTTTTAAATGTTTGCCTATTTTTCATACTACAAGTTATGGAGTTTTTTCTCTACGCAACAGTATGTGTTAGTTACTGTAGAACAATGATTGCTGCAGTGGCTTTGTTTTTCGTTTCACAAAAACCACTGGTCTATAAGGGTGCAACAAATTACTTATATATATATATATATATATATATATATATATATATATATATATATATATATATATATATATATATATATATATATATATATATATATATATGTGTGTGTGTGTGTGTGTGTGTGTGTGTGTGTATATAAACAGGTTGTACGTGGTTGGAGCTATTGTGTTAATACATTTTATACCAGAGTCCTAGAATATAACCCATATATATTTTTCCGAAAATTAATTTCCCCTAAAGATCTTTAATGCAGGAGAAGTTGATATGTTTCTAGACCTCGGCATTTGAAGGGATGGTGTGGTCAGCACTATGCCCAGCTGCCTTTATGTCCTGCAGTAGTTACTAGGCCGCACCGAGATCTGAACTCAAAGACTTCGGGCTAGCAGTCGAGCTCTCTACCACCCCGACACGCCCTCCCATTTTTATCTTTGTGTTAACAAGGTTTCTTTCGTGTTTTGTGTCACAAGTAAATTCAGAGTATTTCGTACCTCGTGCAATTTTAGACTTACCCCCTTCCCTTTGGTGTGTGATGACATGTGACGTCATTTATAGATTTCCCGGGGTGGAGGGGGGCGGATAGTACACTTAAAATGATACGTGAGCTTGCGCAATGTCAGTTTATTGGCTGTGGAGCTTAACTATCATCGTTTAACAATCGACCTTTAATTGATTGAGTGGTAGAGGAGAGTGCTATTGGAGGTAAGATGCAATTAAAAGTTGATCCAATTTGATGTAACTTCTAAAATGTATTTGTTGCAACTAAAGGGAAGTCAGCCGCGCAAATACAAAAGTGTTGAACAACCTTGAATGCTGAGTAGTCTTTCTTTTATTTAGAGCTTCTTTTAACTAATTCGCTAAAAGTAAAAAATCCTTTTTTTCTCAGTAATATAAATTGCAGACTGAATTTCAATTATTAATTAAAGAAATTAAAGATTTTTAAAATGTGTTTATGATTTTAGAATATAGTTAAGCTCTTCGTTAAAGCAAAAAAGAAATGAGTTATTGAGTGTATACTAGTTTATAGATTGTACGGGAGGCTACTGTAAAAATAAAAGCTCTCCGAAAATTAAGTTCAATTTCATACCATTTCCTGTTTCGCTATCACTGTAAACCAAAATAATAGCGTCGTCAACAATACGATTTACGGATTTACCCAACTAATATTAGATCTGATTAATTATTAAAGTAATACGTTAGTCCGACATACGAAGTAGAGACTGTTTGTCAAGCGATATGGCCACTGAAATTTATAAAAAAGATTTGTACGGGATTATCGGCGTACCCGAAGAAGCGACAGAAAAAGAAATTCTTCGGGGTTACAGAAAAAAAGCTCTTCAATGCCACCCTGACAAAAATCCAGACAACCCAAAAGCTGCTGAACTTTTTCATGAACTTTCAAGAGCATTAGAAATACTAACGGATATAGCTGCTAGAGCAGCATATGACCAATCACTCAAGGCTAAGAAGGTTGCTGCCGAAAGAACAAGAGTTTTAGACAGCAAGCGTAAAAAGTTTAAAGAAGATTTGGAAGCTCGAGAAAGGGCAGCATTTGAGATAAGACAGGCTGATGCAGCAGCAGAAGCTGAGAGGAAACTTCAAATAGAAATCAAAAGATTGAGAAAAGAAGGATCAAGGTAAGGCAATTATTTTTTTTAAAATCTAGATCTAGTAATCTAGATTGAACACATGTGATGAATTCCTTTTTTATGTCTACTACTAAAAAGTCTACTACTTATTACTAAAGTACTTAGATCTAGTACCTAGGTCTAGGGGTCGTCCATAAGTGACGTCACGCTTTTTTGACAATTTTTACCTCTCCCCCCTCCCCTCTGTCACACGTCGTCAGAAAAAGCCAGACCCCCCCTAAATAGTAAAATGACCTCACACCTCAGACTACAACCCCCCTCAAAATTGCAGTTGTCTGAATTTAGTCAAAATAGAGTATTTTAATCAATTCCTATTACAATTTATTAAAACATTTATCTAAAATGCGAAAAATAGAGTCTAAAATTCGTTTTCTAACATTGCTTTTTTATAATGCAAAAGTGTGACGTCGCACCAACTGACCCCTCCCCCTCATCACACACCGTCACAAAATTACGGACCCCCCTACGAGTGTGACGTCATTTATGGACGTCCCCCTAGCTTCTAGATTATAGATCTAGTACACTTATAACTAGTTATAACTTAACTCTCTCATTTGAAAATTGAGGGCAATGGCTGCAAATGATAAATTATAATTTCAAATATGTAGGCTACACAACATTGGCTTGATGATTGAAAGGTTATACTGATGGAAATGAATTTCAGGGTCTGTAAAATTTGGGATAATATAGACTTGCAGTACGCTTGCACCATATTAAAAAGTTAACTTAAATCCTGCGAGGTGGTATTCATATTCTACAGAATGGACGCAACTTGAAGATTCATTAAATATTTTTAAACTGTATTACATTTAAAATGAAAGTGGCTTTAATACTTTTATTAAGTTTTTCTGGGACTTTACTAAAGATTGGATGTATATATTTTTAGTATTTTCAGTAACTAAACAAAAAAATTAAAAAGCCAAAAACTATTTTATTTTTTCATTTTATCTCTCAAAATGTAAAAAATATTGGCATTGATAGATCATTTGGTTAAAAAAAAAGTTAATTTTATTTAAAATTTTATCAGCAAAGTTTTGAGTATGAATAACTGCTAAGCGGTGTTTTCAGAAGATTATAATTTAGGCTTGATTAATAAGAAAATAAAAATGTAGCCTTAAACTCACAAATTTGTTTTAAGTTCTCAACATCTGCAACTTTTATAACATTGAATCCAAAAAAATTAAATTATTTGAAATATTTTTAGGCTTAGGCCTAAGTTGTTTTTTTATTTTATTTTTACTGCCTCTTTGATGGCAAAATCTAAAAAAAACTTATTTTTTTAATCTATGTCAACAATAATGGTTGAGCCCTACTCGTCAAACTAGGCTGACTCCATTGATGCTTCCACCTCTAGGGGTCTATCAGAAGTATTCCTACATATTGGACCTTTTTGCCCACTTATTACAATCATCAGACCTGCACTAAACATAGAGACATTGAATGAATGAAGCAAATTTACCAAATCAGAAAATAAAATTTAGAAATTTGCAAAAGTTAAACTCGATATTTAAATAGATTTTTCAAGTCTTGTTTTGGCTTTATGTTTCTGTTAACTTTAAATTGTTTTTCACAGATTACTTGAACAGGAGCAAGAGCGGTTACGCAGAGAGTTACAGCGTTCCAGTTTAAATGATAACCTACAACCAAATAACCAGTCATCTGAACCTCAACGGATTAAACTGAAATGGAAGGCTCAAAAAGGAGACCCTTCTAATGGAGGCTACTCCAGTGATATATTAAAAGACATACTGGGATGTTATGGTCATATAAACACACTACTTGTCTCCAGCAAGCGCACTGGTAGTGCTATAGTTGAATTTGATGGAGTCTCAGCTGATATTTCAGATGAAAAAGGTCATACAGACAACCCCTTCACTATTGTGTGGTTGTCTGGCAAGCCAGATTGCCCGGATGAGTTCGACAAACTTGACAATTGTGATTTTACTAATGGGGCCAGTAAAAGGAATGACATATTTAGTACGTGTTCTGTGAAATTTGACTCTGGAAGTTCTGTCCCTCCTGTGAGTGGACCGGCATATTCAGAAGATGGGGAAAAAGATTTTGAAAGCTTGGTTTTGATGCGAATGCGACAAGCAGAGGAGAGGAAGAAGCTGACAGAACAGATGATGAAAGATGATGCTGAATAGTTTTTTTTTGGCCCAGATATCTTCATTGTAAATAAATTTATGATTCCATTGTTATTTTCAGTGTTATATTTTCAATATTCTGTTTGTATTTGACATTGTGAAATAATTTATACATTTCTCTTTGAAAACAAAACTAGTTCTGATGAGCACCTTTCATATAAAGGTGCACAGAGTAAATGTGTATTACATGTATTACTCTTGAGTTGTGTTTTATGGTATGTCAGTGATTTTGGTGACACCTCTTTTTTTATTGTGCTGTGTATTATCTAATTCTACTGTGTTGGGCAATAAAACATGCTTTTCTTACATCTCTTTTAAAATACTGTCTATAGAGGTGCACCAAGAATTAGATTATTGTCAGGTGAGATTGCAGGATCTGTGGGACAGGAAAAAGTAGGCTGAATGTATGTTTATTTTTGCTGACTTGCGAAATCCTGTATGCAGAACAAGATTATGGCTACACAAACAGGCAAAGGCTTGCGGCGTTAGAATTTTATACAACACTCCACCATGAACAAAAAAACCAAAGAATATGATGGAACAAATACTTTTATTTTACTTCAGCACATACAAGTAAAATACACATTGAAAAAGTTAAAAATACATCACATGACACTAAAAATTCAGCAGATTGATGTAGTTATAAACTGTCGATTGCTACTCTAAAATGTAAAATTACCGGTGCCTGAATCACAGTCACTTTAGTTGTTATTTCCCGACTGGATGATATAGCTCCTTATGTTTTTCTTAAGACCTCAGCTTTTCAATGTAATACAGTATTTTTTAAAACTCCAAAAACAATAACGACAATTTTTTTTTCCATAACATTTAAAAATAATAATGTATTATACTTGCAAATGGTTAAGCTGGTCAATTATACACACAAATGTATACATCTTTTAAAATAAATTATTTATTATGGCACACAATTATTAAAATGTACTTATACAAACCTAATTTTATAATCTGAAGTACAATATAGAGATATGAATACTGTTACATATTTTCCACAATGGATTTTTTTTTTTGCAAACTTAAAAAAACTAGTTAAAGTTACAATTTTTTTATAAACTGTTGAATTTGTATTATAAAACTAGTGTGTAAACTGAATTCGTTGTACTTTCAAATACCATTTTAAAAATTAAAATTCATTTGAATAGCTGCCATAGACCTAGCTTGTTAACTATTTGTTTAACATTTTAAAAATTTGACATTTTGACAAAAGGTGAAAAAAATACATCAAAGTTGTTTCAATCAAATATCTATATTTGAAATGTACAATCCTTTTGATAATGTACAATTTTTACATAAAAAGCTGTAGAATAAACAATTTATACTTTTAAAAGAAAACTACCTGCACTATTTTAAGTCAAATACTAACAGTGTGATATATAAAAAAATTTGTTAAAATGCAAGGACATTTTTAAAAACTTAAAGATACAAGAATATAAGTTGATCTGGAGAAAGTGATTGCATAGCTGAAAATGCTAAAATTGCTGCCAAGTAGGTACGGAAACCAGCTTAAAGGTGACTAGTGGTGTGATGTGAATGTAACTGAAATGATGGAGGGGGGAAAAAAGAGCTGTTCTTTCCTAAATACTGCCTTTACTAGACAAAGTCAACATTTCAAAAAAACAGAACATTGACGCTAACAATAATTACTACACTATACAAAAAATATTAACTTAATTGAGTTAAGTATGAGATTTGAGATCCAAACGAGAAAATGTGTCAATAACCAGTTAGTGCCAATGTATGACATTAAATATAATAGTGGGAATTTTACAGTTAAATATTTCCCTTCAGACTTGACATGGTAACAAAAAACTTATCAAAAAGAAGAGAAAATATTTCTTTTTAAATTAAATATTGTTTGGTACAACTAAAAATCTTATTCAAATATTTTGGAAATGTGTATCTGTAACACAGTGAATGAGTTTAATAACAAATGAACATGATTTGTCATTAAAAATCACCGTTAAACTATTACTTAACTATTCAAATAGAAAGTATTCACATGGTTTGGTAGCTTTAAAATTTTCTTTTTAGGTGCAAGACATGAACACATTATTAAATGTATACTGCAAGATTTTGCTTTGAACAGGGAAAGTTTGTCTAGTGTTTCTTTCTTTGTATGCATAATATATTTAAAAAATGCTACAAAACCAGGCACAAACTGTAAAAAATATTTAGGTAATTGTTTTTTCAAATTGTACAGGAAAGATTGAAAATTAATATACAATAAATAGGATTAGAACAAAACTGAATACACCAAAAAATATTTTTAATAAAGAAAATTCTTTTCACTTTGTAGGCACTTGCATGTAACATAATGGCAACAAGCTTCATTTACTTCGCATTTTGTGGTTGTCGCTTGCATAAATTTTAAAAATTGCATTACAAATTAAAAAATATTTATACAGATGTTAAATTTTAAATAAATCAGACAACTGGGCTTGCACTTCAATAATTAATATAAATTAATTTTACTGACCTTAGGGAAAAATAGTCTAAAACAAAAAAAATGAATGTACCCGATATAAAATGTATGTATATAACTCAATAAAAGCAATCAACATTTAATTTTGATTATTGATAGAACTTAATCTTTTAAAAGTTTAACAGTAGCCACTAGTTACATTTATATTAAAATGTGTAATAAACACATTTCTCTCCCATGAACAAGATTTCCTTGAAAAATCATGTTTAAGTCATTAAAACTACAATAAAGTATGATCTTTCTGTCATACACTTCTGCTTTGAGATCTTTTCTAAAATGTTTCTATAAATGGATAAGATAAATGCATAAAACAAAAAGTTTCTTCCAAGATAATACACAAAATAAATCATATTTTAAAAACTATATTCAGTATACACAAAGGGGAAATCATATACAATCCACTAAGTACTTGAGTGCACTTAAACATAAAAACTTTTAAAAATCGCTGCAAATTGAACCATTAGGATGGATACAATACTGATCAATCTACAAATAAATAATCAAGGACATTGCTATAGCTTTTGTACAATTATTTCTTCTATCTACCACTAAAGCACAGCTTAAGACTGCTGAAAGATCTAAATGAATGAACATCAATACACTAAGACTAACATCAATTTATTCTTTCAAACTTTGATTAATACGTTTATTGTAAAAGAGATTTCTTTGCTTTTGATGACGGTGACCTGGAAAAAAAATGTTTACAAATATATTTTTAAATGTGGATAAAAACCACAGGCCTAAGAATTACTACTAGTCTAGAGTTTTTAGGACATATTTTATGTAGGTGAACACAGGAAGAGTTCAATGTGTAGCCTACAATGGTTGTCTTAGTGACATTTATAAAAAAAAAAAACTATAGCATTTGACTATAAACAGTTAAAAGTGTAACAAATTAAACTAGGAAACTTTTAGTCTAAGTACTTGAATACTTTTACATACTTTAGCAGGGTTTATACTCCTATAAATTTTGGTACATTTTATCAAATCAGATAAGGCAAAAATTAACCCTGAGCAAGTTATAATTGTTAAAATTTGAGGTGCCACTGACTTCTACTGTGAATCCTGATATTCAATCACCCAAAGAATACAGCATTAATAAACCTAAGATTACTTACAGCAAAATAAACATTTTTTTATTAAAATCTGGATTACTCATAATTTAACAGATTTAGGTTATTTATTAATGTGAAATAGGATATTTATACAGCAATCCTTGGTTGTGCAACCAAAATCTAGTGCATTCTGCAGCTAACCCAATAGTCTGGAGTTCAGATCTCTGAAGACCCCAAGCTCTAATGGGTACCTGACTAACATTAGGTAAAGTAAAATACTCTTGTCAATTAACTCTACTTTATTTGCTCAATAGATTGCCAGGTGTTTTCATAGAAATTTATATTAACATATTACTAATCAATGCCAGTATTTTAATTGAGATAGTTTAAGATACATGACAGTTTTCGTATCTTCAGAACATCTTTGTTCTTAACTGAAATGTTGGAAGGGATTTCCTCCAACTCATTTAAGTATTACAAGTCAACTCATGTGCCATTAGTCTGTTGACTCCAGTTTAAGCCTACTTTTCTTTCTGGATTTTCTTCCATAGCCTTTGTCCAACCAAGAACAAACTTCAAGGCAGCAGTGGTTTGATGGGTTCCGATCCTCCCAGATCTGCCCAGGGGGTTCTAATTGGGACTACTTACTGGTTAGCAACCATGAGCTTTACGAACCCGACCACATAGATACCCATCACGACATGGTTTCAGGTGCTTTCCAGTTTTATGGTTTTTAAATGATTACACAAAATTATACTGAACTTGCCCACAATTCAATGATAATTGTATAAAAATGTCACAGTACATCTTTACTTACACTTCATCCATGTTTAAACGCTTCTTGGCAGAGGCACCAGGAAAACCTTTCTTAACTCTTTCATTGATATCTTTCAATTTCTCTGATGACTGAAACATGACATGTATTAATTAACTTGGTAGTTTTTACTAACTTAAATACTTGAACTAATTTAAGATGATTAATGTTAAAATAGGATTTAAAAAAACAAAAAAATTATTTCTGACTTTTTCATAAACGTTAATTTTTTTATAGGAAATTGTTAAAAATAGACAGTAAAACAACTTATGTTATGCTGTTTAAAATTAAGTACTATTCAAATCTTATGACAATTGAAAACTAAAATGCTTAAACAAGTGAAGAGGAATTTTTTTTATAGAAAATTGGCTCTTATATCCCTAACTTTGTGGGAACCCTACCCATCATATGTGAATCCACTTGCTAAAACTACTCCAGAACGTTATAATCATGGTTTATTAACGAAGATTATTACGCCATTGACAGAGTACTAACAGATTGTTAAACCAATCATGGAGTACTGACACAGAATGTTACTTACTCCAATTGTGTCCCCAAAGCTGTAAAGCAACCTAGTGGAAGGTGTCATCTGACTAGGGGAGGAAGGAGTTTTAAACACAGATTCCTTCAGCGGCGAGATCAGAAAATTCTTTTTTCCTGGTATGCTAATAAAAAGAAATGAAAGTAAAAATTGTTTTATTAAACTACAAACACTAATGGAAACAAAAACCAATCACATGTTTACTAGAACAATGGCTGCGTTAGGTGGCACAAAAAGCTAAATATTAGTTGTTTGTTGAATGCGGAATTATGACAAATATAGCTAGGATATACTTACACATAACTTGGGGACTGTTTTGGCATTGGAGATAGTTGTGGCCGCTAAAGGAAAAAAAAAAGCAAAAATTGCAATTTTAATTTTTTTTTTATAATGTTAATAATTAAAATGACAAGAATACAGGAGTTGCCATAAAATAAATTTAAAATTTCATAGCTTACACTTTCTCTGTTGGGTGAGAATTGTAAAATGTACATCTTGATGGTCTGGACAAAGACGCTGTTGTAAAAGTTGATGATGGATTCAGTCTGGTCTGGGCTGATGTAAACATCTTTAAAAACCTACGAAGCATAAAAACAAAGTACATGATAGTATGACTAATACTTTGGGTGCATTTTAGATGTGCACATATAAGAGACGTTTAGACTTTTAAGAAAAAAAGCACATATGGGAGACAGTAAGACTTTTTTTTAAAAATGTGAACTCTAAAAGTAAGCTTAATGTTGCGCTAAGCTTAATCACTAACCTCTGGTCTGGCATGTGGCATGTTTTTATATTCACTGACTATAGACTTGAATTTAATTTCATGCTCGGCAACTTTGCAGATACCATAGATGCAACACATAATGATCTATGTAAAAAAAAATTTTGAAGTCAAATATAAAATTTAATGAATTTAATAAGTAGCTAGATAAACCAACTAAAAAACTTTGAATTACCTGGTCAATGTGTCTGTTTTTTAAGAGTTCAGGCATTTTGGTCACACAATGCTCAAAACAAGTCCAAATTTTGTGTTGCTGTCAGACAAAATTCAATATAAAAATTAAAAACAATAAGCAAATTTATTTTATTTTCAAAATCTATCAAATAAATGTAATTTTTATTTATTGTAATTGATAAAAACTCCTCCAAACAGTTAACCAATAATTAACAAATGCAATAAATCTATTGAGCACTTACTAAATCACTAGCTATCCTCAGATCTGTACACAACTTTGTCTGTCTGGTAAAGCCTAGTCGCAGAACTAATAAAACAAAATTTAAAACAATAACACCAAATTGTGTTTGAACATTGAATAATTGTTGACATTTTAACATATGATTATTCAAATAAAATGAACAGAGACCAACAAATCCTAAGCAACTAATGGTTCTAAAAATCGAACCACAGGAGCAATGTGGAAAACATTAAAGATTATGATCAAACTTACCTCTCTTAAGGAAGTGTGCTAGAGACTGAGACTTTGGTTGAGTGTTGAGCTTTGAAGGCAGTGTGTGGTAGTGTGAAGATTCTGTGTGGGGTGGTGGGGTGGATCCTGTACTGTTTGATGAGCTTGGTCGACCAGGAGATAAAAACCTGACCAAAAGGTTACAATTATAGCACGTAAGGTCAAAGGGCATTTAAAGTACACATCACAGAAGGTCAAATCATACAAACTATACATGGTAATTTTAAAACAAGCATGCAAAATAAAAGCTAATTATAGTTAAAGAAACAGACAAACTGCACAGAAAGCAGATAACCAGAAGGTACATTATTTCAATTTTAGATTAAGTACAGCTTTATTTTAGAATTTCGGGCTACAATCATAGATGATTATTTACATGTTACATTTTTTTGTTTATTTAGATTAAAAAAATAAAAAATCTTCACTAAATTAGGCAATAAAGTGTGTTTAGCAACTTACAAGTCAACAGCACTTTTATTTGGCAGAGGAAGAGTTTGTGGGTGTGAAGAGAGGTCAGATGTTTTCACTGGGGAGACAGAAGGTGGGGTCCTTTGACCATGGTCCCAGTCACAACCAAAGGCGTCAAAAAGTATAGATTTCTGGAAACAAAGAATTCAAATTAATAACATGCAAAAAAAATAACATGCATCCATACCCCAGCAGACTGATAAATAGGTCTGAGACATAAACATTCAAAAATACGTAACAAGTATTGTTTGACTTTTATGTTCCTGTCATGGCTGTGCCCACTAATTTTTTTTTGTTGTTTATCATTTGTAATTTACGATGAAAAACTATTTGAAAATTCCAAATATCGGCTTTCTAGAAAGAAGGCTCTACCTACTGGCATACTAAGGATTGTTGTTGACAATTTATGTACAAATGTTGACTAAAATAATAAAATCAACTTTGTTGTTCTCTTCATATATATTTTTATTTAGTTCAGGAGCTAAGGGTTCAAAGGGTTTAGCTTGGAAGAAGACTAAATAGTTACCTCATTCCAAGCTAGACTTTCAAGAATCCTGATCTCATTATTATGAAGATGCTGCAATTAGAGAAACCTTCAGTCAGTTTAACACAAAAAAAAGTTACTATATTTTTAAATTTAGCAATAGCAATTCCTATATATTCATATTGCTGGTATAATCAGTAATGAAAGTTTTTTTTGTATTTAAATTTGTTTTCTCGTTCACTAGTAATACAAATATGGATCAGGCTAATCAGCAAACACCAAAAGAAATGCCCCATATTAAAAATATTGCAGTATCTGATAGCTGTAGCTTACATATCTATAAATAAAATTTACAGTAAGAAGCTTTTTTTTTTAAACGAGACATTTTAACAATTCTCAGCACAAAATTTGAAACTACCTTCACAACATCCACTGGCAACTTGGGCTCTGCTTTTATAAAACTCTCCACCACTTTATAAAACTCATAGGCTTGGAGTGAAAATATTTCTAATATCCATGGAAAAGAAAATGCAGTTTCTCCCACTTGTGCCCCTATACAAAGTAAGAAAAATATTGTAAACAAAATGTGACTTTTACATCAATTCATTTATGACTTGTTTATTAATGAGTTCTTAATGACAATAACTACCTTGGTATCAGACTTAGTAAATCAAATTATATTGTTTGTATGATGTAACAAAAAATGTAAAAGAAAATGTCAACACTAAAGAGACTGACTTACATGTTTGGCTGTATGTAGCTAAAACAACTTCCAGTGCACAAGCAAGTAAAGATTTGTGGAAACTTTCCTTATTCAACAAAGTACTTAAAACATTGGCAGCAAGATGATCAGACTCCTGAAATGATAGATACAAAGATTTTTATTAATACAGAGAGTTCAAAGGTCACAATGGCCAAGAAGTTGGCTACAGAATGTAATAAAACTGCTAATTTTAAGTCAACAACAGTGTAGTAAGCATACGTTCTTTTTTCCTATGGTTGAATTCTTGATCAACAACCCTCAAAATTCCCTACGCATGAATTACTACTCACTGTCAGCAGGATAGTCTCAAGAACTTTGAGATACAATTTTGCTCCTAAGCTGAACCTGTATTCAGCAAGGGTTGTTTTTGAATCAGCAGAAGGACAAACTGCCGAGTAGCCTTTGACAAAAGTTACTTTAAGGTTGGCCATTATTCTGTTGACTTCATCACTAGGATCCACAGTACATCTCTGAAGATTTAAAAAGCTTTCTTGAAACAAACATCAATGTAAACAAAATGTAAAAATGGTGTACTTCCAGTTTTAAAAGCAGGAGCTACAAATTTTCTCAATGACCACTGTCTTAAAACATCTATAACGCTATTGATTTAATATGTGAAGGAAGAGATTAGGCACTTAATGAATCCAAACTAACTGATACAGAAGGGTATTATATTTATTTCCATAGTGAAAAGTTTTTAAAGTCCAAACTGTGAAATTTTACAAATAATTATGTAGATCCTGCTTTTGATAAACATGGATATTACTTCTAAAAATATAACTGCTAATCTCTTTATTAATATGACCTTGACCAGTAAATACCAATAGCCCACAGGTGGAAAATATGTTTATAATTAGAAACAAACCTTAAAAAACTGCTTCAATCTATCACTTGGCACATCAGAAAGATCAGCAAAATTTTGTTGAAAATTTTGAATGGTGCTAACAGCCAATCTGCATTTTAAAAGACAATTTCATTGACCACCAATTAGACAGATGAGAGGAAATTTACTGCAAATGTAGAAACTTCTAAGGTGGTATACAAATATTCACAGAAATGTAGCATGAAATTTACCTGACTGGAGTCATCAGCTCTGGTGATAGCCTGGAATGTTTTTGTTCTTGAGTCTCTTGTCTAAAACAGAAACCACACATTTATTTAAAAATCTTTCTAAATCGTACAAGGAAATCTTTATAAATATAAATAAAAGAAAAACTTACTTGTTGACTTGTAATGGACGTAGATATGATTCTCCTTTAAGGAAATCCAATTCATTTACATCTCCCTCCTTCTGAAGTGCATTCTCGTATTTTTCCCGGAGGCGGTCAGACTGAGATAAGTAAAGTGCTCTTATAAGTATTTGCCACATTTATGCTAAGCTAGACAGTCAGCTAATATTTTATATAAAGTTTTACCTCTAGTTCTCCATCCTCATTCAGTAAATTTTGGAAAAAAGGTTCTGTGGTTTCTAAATGTAATTGTACAGTCTGAAAGAAAAATTATTTGCAGGAAAAAATAGACAAATAAGCAAAAATAAGACCTCTTATGAAACAGGTAAACTCTACTTTACTCGGCACAGGTTTGAAAAGAAACCTTACTCTTTTAAGATCATTGACTATCCAAAGGCAATGATAAAACAAACCAAATTCTCAAACTATGGGCCGAGTTCTTAATATAGCGTTATTTTCCTGAATTATCTATTATTAGAAAACCATCAACTTAAACTGAACGAAAATGTAAAAAAACTTGATGAATAGTTATCTTTTTACCTCTTTTACAGTCACATCAAATTCTTCAGCCAACTTTTTAAGCATGGTCACACCCTGTTCTTGAGGACTGTAGCTGAACTTGATTGCATCTGTAGAGAAACTGTTCTTTAAAATACCAACATAAAAAAAAACTCCCACAAATAACTCAAAAGAAATATAAAAACAAAACCCCATTTAACAAAAATTATGTTGTTACCATATGGAGAATTAAGAAGGAAAGATGGCGTCTGTCGCAACACAAACTCTAAGCAACACAGCAATAGTTGAAAGTGTTGAAAAAGCTCCTGGGTTGTGGGAAGCAAATGTTCTGAAGAGAAAAAAAGAAGTGTGATCAGTACAAAATATCACATAAATATATATATATATGATAACAAAATGCAGTTTATTATTAGTAGTGTGTTAATAAAGATATAGACAGTGATGGAAAACAAAAAACACATCAACACTCACTCAATCTACTTTATATATATATATATATATATATATATATATATATATATATATATATATATATATATATATATATATATATATATATATATATATACACACACACCTGAGTTAAAATTCCTGGTTGAGATTAGGTTTTATTGATAAAGGTAAAAAAAAGCATCCTTACCCTTGGCCAATAAATAAAGAACCCAGCACTGCTTCTTTCTGAATGGAACACCCTCTGTCACGGGTATTGGGGGAAGGGATGTTTCCCTGCACAAGTAAAAAAAAAACATTTGGATGCTGGAAAAAAGTAGCTACCCAACAACTTTATTAACTGAGTACATTTTTTAATCACAGAACAACATTACACTAGTCCCTCAAAAAACATTTTACAGGAGGTCCTCTAATAAATTCATGTAAACAAATTAAAGTAAGAGCCATGTGGGAATCAGCTCCAATCAAATACTCACTCTAGCCCTCCTCTGATGCTGTCTTCTCTAAAGACTGATGTGCACAGACGTCTGTAAATTAAATCATTTTGTAAACATGACTATTCTTAGACAGGAAAGATTTTACATTCACTAACACTACAAACTTTTAAACACTATCAAATACATCAAATTTAATTTTATAAACAAATGATTGCAATTAATCAGTTTGATATGTGCGGTCATTATTTATTATATTAAGCATATTACATTAATTAAAAAAACATCTACAACATGAAAATGGAGTAAAAATATAATGCAAAAGCAAAATAACTTAAAAGTGTTGTATTGTTTAAAAAAGAAAAGGTGTTTAGAAGCTTATGGCCACCTACCCCTGGAATGTATGAAACAATGCTGATACAACAAGGTAATTCCTCTCCAGCTTCATTAAATTTTCTTCCACTGACTTCGTCACCACCATCTTTCTCTTGATGACATCCATAGTTTTAAACAATGTATTTATGCTGAAAGAAAAATTATCAATTAATCAATGGAACTATCAATGAAGGCATAAAACCAAAACTTACTGCAAAAACTGCAAGCAGTGGGAAAGCTGAGTAGCCCAAGTAGGCTATTAGAAAAATTCATACTTATTTAAAAGGTTTTATTTTTTTTTTTACCAATTTGCTTAGTGCATAGAGTTTATTGAGCTAAAATTGTAAATTTAATGACATCTACGATACTCACTTGACATTAGCCTTTTGAAGAATGTCGGTGACTGTGATTGATGGCTCAAAGCTCCTGTGTTCCAGTAGAGGATCCATGGGGCCATACGGCAATCTGTGGATATTTTTATTCATTGAACTCTGACATTTAAATAATGGCAAAATTTCATTTCTACAAATCTGGAACATACATATTTTACTAAAGATGTGCTATTACTGCTACTTATAAAAACAAACTAAACCATTTTTAAGACACATAGTTAATATTTTCTTTTTGATGTTGTCAGTAATGAAACTAGCCAATTCTTATGTTCATTCTAATGAACTTAAGAATCCTTTATGTTTTTTGAAGTCATAAAGTGTTTATTTGTAAATTAGTTAACATACCTTGATTCAACAACAGCCATGTATATTATACTGGCAAACAAGCTTTTTTCTTCAATCTGGAAAAGCAAAAAACTAATTTTTTAGACAAAAACCTTAAGGTAACTAAACATCTACAATTAGATATATAGTGTTCATATTTTTAATATAAACAAAATCAATCAACTTAGGAGTTTCAATACTGTGCTACAAACATCAAGTATTTTATTTTGCAAAACAACCAATAGATATAAATAGCCCTGCTACAGGACAGGTCACTTGATAATTACCAAATGATAAAACAACGAGCAGGAGGTAATTTGTAATATTACCTGAGGTTCTGAATCAAAGATGCCAAGACGCAGAAGCTCTTGAACTATATGGTTTCCTCTCTGTTTGATATCATTAGTGATGGAGATTTCATGACAGAATTCATCATATTTTTGCAGACTAGCCTGATAAAGTAGTTCCTGCATGCTATTTTTAGACTGACTCCGAGCAAATTCAGAATGTCTGGAATATGGAAACATGAATAAATAAACCAAGTTAATAGCTGATTAATAAAACAGACATGCTATTTCATGATAGAATTCATCATATTTTTGCAGACTAGCCTGATAAAGTAGTTCCTACATGCTATTTTTAGACTGACTCCGAGCAAATTCAGTATGTCTGGAATATGGAAACATGAATAAATAAACCAAGTTAATAGCTGATTAATAAAACAGACATGCTATTTCATAACAATGAAAATAGCTGTGCTCTCTTCTGTACCTCATTCCCCAGACATGATAAATGCTATTGATATGTTATTGTAAGATATTAGGCTATCCCAGCTGTATATTTGCATGAAATGATAGTCGAACGGGAATAGCCGTATTGAGGGCTATTCCAGTTGATTGGGAAAAGCCCCATTTAATATGCCTATTTCCAACCAAATGGGAATAGCCTTGGCCTAACAATTTTAAACAGTAAATTAAATAAAACTAAATAATAATATGATGAAGCTCCAGATCTTCATAAAATGAAAAACCTTCAAAAAATACTATAAATATGGTGTGCCTAGCATCAGACTATAGTACATAATACAGTTGTAAGTACAATGACAGTTGCCGATAAGTTGCATTGTGATGTCAATTATGTTTCAACGGAAATCAATAGTAGGCCAGGCCACTGGTGAGTGTAATGCCTTAAACTGCAGCTTAAACTGGGCCTAAACACTGTTGCTGTTAGTGTTACTTATTTCATTTACACACTTGCTTTGTTTATGTTGCAATTTACTAATTTAGGGCCTAGGCCTAATTGTTTAAATTGCATAAATTATTAGATAAATTCTAAGTTGGCCATTCTAGGCCCATATGATATGGAATATGGCGAATATGACAATAGTCAATAATAAAATGATACTAACTAGTAACTTGAGTATATGGCCTATCTAATATAGATCTATATATATATATATATAACATCTTCACATATGACCTAGAATTTAGAATCTAATAATAGGGTTGTCGGTATCGGCCGAGATGGCGGTAAAAATATGACCCAAAATCTCCCATTACTTTCTGAAACCGGGCGCACGAGATTTGGTTTTGCATACTAATAAGTTTTTAATTTATGGTAATTAATTAAGTTTAAAAGGTCATTTCCTAATGTTAAATGAAAAGTAGAATGGTTTTCCCATTGTTGTGATGGCTTAGCAATCTGATTGCATGCTGTCTCTGCTTTGGTCTTTCCCCTGTATGAAGGCTAGTTTCAAATACGTTGGAATCACGATTTTTTAAAAGGTTATTCTAAATGAGAGTAGATTACCGAGCAGACATATCTTAAGTATGTGGAAATGATATTTGTTTTTGGATATTTTGACTCCGACATTAGATATACTCATCCAGAGGTGGTCACTGTATGTAGGTCGCGTTGCCACCATTGTTATATTTTTTAACCCGATCTTCCGGCCTTTAAGTTTGATCAACTAACAACAGCGTTCTTATTGAAGGTGCAAACAAATCTCCTAATTGTTGTTTTCAAAATATATTTACATACCCATCTTTGATTTTTTAACTCTAGTTCTAGTTTTGCAGAATACCTATGTTTTTCCTAAAATCCAATTTTGTCAGACTAGACTGACAAGAGTCAGACCTAGATCTAGGTTACCTGTCTGTTGCTATACACTAGCATTGTGCTAACTGCAATTTTAAGTATTCAAGTTCTACTAACCCTTAGCTATAGTTATATGCTGAAAATCAGAATCCATACACAATTCACAAAAAAAAACATTGATCTGATAACTTCAGTTCACTTATTACAAAATGGCTTATATGGACTCTACTTCACCTGCCCAAAATAACAAGGCAGTTATATACACATTACAGTGTTCAAGTCATTTACTTTAGATTTCTGACTATGTAGTTCTTTCATTCACTGTATTTATATAAAATATTGCTTTAGAAATATTTTCAGATTTGCGCAGCAGTTTTATAATAAAATGGCTTAAAGATGGACTCTATTTCACCTGCCCAAAATAATGAGGCAGTTATATGCATATAACAGTGTTCAAGTCATTTACTTTAGATTTCTAACTTTGTAGTTCTTTCATTTGCTGTATTTATATAAAATATGGCTTTAGAAACATTTTCATATTTGAGCAGCACACAGTTTTTTGGGGTTATGGGAGGAAGCCAACACAAAAATATAACTTCTGTATTATTTTTATTCATTTCAACAGCATTAACAAGTTCTATATATCATTCTAGTTAAACTCTGCAAATATGAACAAAATACAACTGCAAGTAAAATAACTATGCTCAATTTATTCAGGTATACCATGACTTGTCACAATTGGCCAATGCTAAAACAAGGGGATTCCACCCCTCACAAAAAAATTCGCTAAAAAAAACTATTTGAGCTAGACAGAAAATCTTTTTTGTTTTATTTTCATATAGTTGAGCTCTTGAAGAATATGTACTTTTTATTTTTATATGATGATTAGTGTTTTTTTTTACCAAAATACCTACTAATAATATCTAGATCTAGTTAAGATTTTATCTACTTATAGGATAGGCCCTAATCATACAATGTAGATCTAGATTTATCTAAATCTACTAGGCCTATCTCAAATTTAGATTCTAGATGATGCCAGATCATCAGGCTGACCTTTTTTTTTAATGCTTTGGCCTCCTGCTTTAATAAACTCAATAAAACTCATGTAAGTCATAATCCTAACAAAAACAATATTTTTATAATTATTTTAAGTAGATCTTTTGTTGCTGCCCTATACTCCACAGGGAGTGATGAGGAGTAAGTAAGTAAGGAGATCTAGATTCTAGATCTAGGGCACAGCTTAGCTTATGTGAGTCTTGCTTGATCACTATAACTTAGATCTATTATATTTAAGAATAGCCAGTATATTAGAAATCTATATTTAATTTAATTAACTGAAATCTAAAGCAGTCTTTTGCCTTAGTCTTATATACTTATTGGAACATGCATTTTTTGTATTAAGGGGGAGGGGGTGCAGTGGTACTTTTTCTTTATGGAGAGCTTTCTACCCACTACCGCCCTGGCATATTTTTCTAAATCATGCCGATAAATTTAATTTTTTGCTCAATCAACGGTAATATAATGTATTAAATAAATAATTACTTACATTTTGTTTTGACTTTCTTTACCGTCATCATCTAAGTTCATTTTGTATCTCAAGACTGGATCTAGAACTAGGATTTAGGAGCTTACAGATCGTGTCACAACAACAAAATATAGGCGGTGGCTCCCACCCAGCGACCTTCTTTCCCCGCGTAACGCACAACACTTCCTTTACAAGGCTAACCAATGATATCCGTTAGATTCCTCAGTTTTCTCCTAATTTAGTTCAGAGGCAAAAGGTTACGCGAGAGGGATTTTCCCGCCATCAGGGGAAAAAAACTATATTTGGACATGACGCTTCTTATCTTGAACTTGAGATGAAGATGTGAAATTTATAATTCTTAAAGAATTTTTGAATTATCCTAAGGAGGTAGATCTAGATCTAGGAAGGTGGGGGTTATCTTGTAATACGGGTAGTGGTGGTAGAGAGTAATGAAAGAGTAGTACCGGTTCCTGTTGTTTAGTTGTTTTTTGTAAATAAATTGATACACCAGGCTTAAAAGGGTCATCCATAAATGACGTCACGCTTTTTTGGACGATTTTCACCTCCCCTCCGTCACACGTCACAAAAAGCCAGACCCCCCCCCCGCTCCTAAAATGACGTCACACCTCAGCCTACAACCCCCCCCCCCCTCAAAACCGCAGTTGAATTTTTTTAAAGCATCGATATTTTTCCAAAATCTTGTCTGAACTCTGTCAATATAGAGTGTTTTAATCAATTCCTATTGCAATTTATTGAAAACAGTTTTCTAAAACGCGAAATAACTTCTTAAATTAGTTTTTAACATTGCTTTTGTATAATGCAAAAGTGTGACGTCGCGCCATCTGAACCCCCACCCCTCCCCCTCATCACACACCGTCACAAAATTACGGGACCCCCCCCCCCTCTCCCCCCTTCGAATGTGACGTCATTTATGGACGACCCCAAACTAAAAATCTAGGCATTTTACTTTAAGGACTAGATCCAGATCAATGTTTCTTCCAGACTTTTTTCTCCGGGGGGGCACTTGAAATCTTCGGGGGGGGGGGGGGGGGGGCGGTAAACTTTCTTCGGGGGGGGGGGGCGGACACTGTTAAAAGCATATATTTTCTATATAAATTATATAAATTTCATTTCGTTCGGGGGGGGGGGGGGGGGACGGTAAAAAATTTTCAGGTGGGGTTTCGCCCCCCCCCCCCCCGAAGAGATGCCTGGAAGAAACTCTGATCCAGATTTCTAGATCTAAAATAGAACTATATAATAGACGTTACAGCTTACTGTTAGTTATAATCTGGGGTGTGGTCATAATCGAGGGAGTGGGGGGGGGGGGGGTTAATACTCCAAAAAAGAACATATTTAGGACATTGGCAAATTAATTATAGGCTACCAAAATTTATAAAGCTTAAAATTGAGTAGGCCCTAGGCCTCAAGTGCCGCCAATATATCCACTTGGGTAGCTATGGAAGAGACGGGAGTCCGGCCGCCCAGAAAGCCTACCATAGGGTGCGTCAAAGATTGTAGGGGGGGGGGGGGAAGTTTCAGGAAATAAAGACAGGAAAAAAGTCACAAATGTGTATTTGCACGGAATTAATGCATAAGATTAGTTAAATTTAAGGAAACTCTAAATGCGACTTTTGTCATGATTAAGATTAGGTGCAAAGTTTAGCGGTATGGCTACGTACGACTATATTTAGAATCTAGTATCAATGTGCAGTAACTACGTGTAGATCGAGATGAAATCCGATTAAAAAGACGATTCTGGATAAAAATTCGCTTTCAATTACATTTTTCGTTTTTGGATCAATTTGAAGTTGAGGTTGTGATTATTTTGGTTTTCGTTTAGAGAAAAGAGACAACACTATCAACCAAGCGCCGGCTGTATTCCTTCCTCAACGGGCCATTTATCTCGTTAATTATAACTTTGCTATCATAATAATACGGTGTTGTTTACAGATTTGGATAACACTGTTAAATGCACATATTGCGGCGTGGAGCGTATTGGTGTGGGGTATGGTGTACTCCGTGTGTGTGTCATTGGGTGGGGGTAATGAGAAGTTGTCTGTATGGTGTAAGATGAATGATTGTATGTGAATATTGGGGTGTGTCGTGTTGCTTGCGGGTTATGGACATGGGCGGGGTGGTATTGGGTTTTGTTCATTGTGCTGTTTATTTGTCGTGAGGGTTGGGAGTGGTGTAAGTTGGGTGTGTGGAGTGGTGCGTGTTGGAAGTGTGAGCAGAGGCGTAGCGACCCTTCCCGGCGCCCGGGGCGAACTTTTAGTTTGGCGCCCCCCAATATATATATATATATATATATATATATATATATATATATATATATATATATATATATATATATATATATATGTGTGTGTGTGTGTGTGTGTGTGTGTCGTTCTCTAAAACTTAACGCCAATTAAATTCCCCTTAAGATGCAATATCCTTTGAAAAATTATGATTAGTATTGTCAGAGAACAGTCTCTGTTATGATATAGTACACACTTGGATTATAAATTTGTTAGATTAAGGTTATACAATTGACATACAATAGCAAATTATTGTTCACATTGGATTACGATATGGGTATTTCGTTGACTGTTTGATTATATAATGAAACAAGCTAGAGGAAACAAACTGGAATCCAACGGACACAACAACTCGAAGTCTTGGATTTATCAGATGTGCGCTGCCTTCTCGCACACAGTCAACAACAAATTCAGAACTAATTGTACTGGTTGAAGAAGCTGTAATAACCGGTTTAATGAGAGTAGCTGACGCCCATGACGTTCTGATTAGAATCAGCAGCGATAAAATACGTATTAACGTTTTAAATCGATGTGGAATTCAAATGCATTGTCAAAATAATTCGATCATGATCTATAGCTAAATATGATGTATCTTTTACGGTATGGCTCAGAGCTAGGTCAAAGACAGTAGAGAATGAAAAGGTGGTGGTTAGGACAAAATATGAGACAACAAAAAATAACATCACTATGCAGGTGCTTGTGTGAAGTCCATGGGGAAAGAGGAAGAGAAAAAGACTAAATAAGTCCTGAAGGAAATCGTTTGAAATAGAGAAGGGGTAGGGTGGATTATTAGGGTACGATCCTCATAAAAATCAAGTGAGTTGACGAAGTGTTGATTACGCCTATGTTCCTAATGGAGCCGAAACGAATAAACAGAAGAAAATCAAAAGAGCTTAAAACAGTGGGTTCCATCGAACCCGAGAGGTTCGGTAATTCAGTCTCAGGGCTTCCGCGGAGGTCAAGACACACACCCGACTCAAATGATACACGATTTGATTTTTTTGCAGTGTGGAAGATACAACTATCAGTTAGGTTGACCAAAGTGTTATGAAAAAATGAATTTTAAAAATGATCTATTCCGTACAATATACTAATTTTTTTCTCTCTTAAAATTTTGGCAAAGAGTGTCGCTTTCCACCACCCGCTACGACAGTCTGCTATTTTACTGATCGGATAGCGATACAGGAATCCGTGATATGTATTTCTCTTTAATGAAGTGATGTTAAGATGTAATGCAATCAAGTAAAGTATCTGATCTCTCACGATGAAGTTAAGAGAATCGTAAGAATCGTACTAAGAAATAGTCGCGTTATTACTTAGCAAAACTGGGTGGTGAAATCGTACATTAAGTGTTAATACAATTGATTTCTTTTCTGTGTTAAAAGAGTTATCTAAAAAGCGCCCCCCCCCCCACCATCTTGGACAAAAATGGTAGAGCGGATTTTAAACGTCACTAACTCGTTTTTTTTATGTTACACAATCGTGAAATACGCCTTAGTACAATGGGTTTCTTTTCTGAATGATATCGGTTATTTATTCCATAATCCGGTGTGATATTTTTCCGATTTTAGTCTTCGAAAAAGCGCCCCCCCCCCCCTTCCTAGGAAAGCTGAAAAGCAGTTTTTCTTGTCACTGTTTTTTAAGGATACACGTTTTATAGTTACACAATCAAGGTAGAAAAACAGTTAAATCAGTATTTAAAGGCTCTCAGCCGTTAAATTTCTTTACTTTGACTGTTTATAATTCAAAACTGCAGCTTAAAATAAGTTTTAAAATTATTTTCTATCCCTTTTGGCGCCCCCCTAGGGTCGGCGCCCGGGGCGGCCGCCCTCCCCGCCCTCCCCTAGCTACGCCTCTGAGTGTGAGTGGTGTGGTTTGGGAATGTGGAGTGGTGTGAATTGGGTGTGTGGAGTGGTGTGGGTTGGGAGTGTAGGGTGGTGTTGGTTGGGAGTATGGAGTGGTGTAAATTGGGTGTGTGGAGTGGTGTGGGTTGGGAGTGTGGAGTGGTGTAAATTGGGTGTGTGGGGTGGAGTGGTGTAAATTGGGTGTGTGGAGTGGCGTAAATTGGGTGTGTGGAGTGGTGTAAATTGGGTGTGTGGAGTGGCGTAAATTGGGTGTTTGGAGTGGTGTGGGTTGGGAGTGTGGATTGGTGTGGTTTGGGAGTGTGGAATGGTGGTCGTTGGGAGTGTGGAGTGGCGTAAATTGGGTGTGTGGAGTGGTATGGGTTGGGAGTGTGGAGTGGTGTGGTTTGGGAGTGTGGAGTGGTGTGGGTTGGGAGTGTGGAGCGGTGTGGCTTGGTAGTGTGGTCACAGTGGATTTGTGTGGGTTGGGAGTGTGGAGTGGTGTGGGTTGGGAGTGTGGAGTGGGTTGGGCGTGTGGAGTGCTGTGGGTTGGGAGTGTGGAGCGGTGTGGGTTGGAAGTGTGGAGCGGTGTGGCTTGGTAGTGTGGTCACAGTGGATTTGTGTGGGTTGGGAGTGTGGAGTGGTGTTGGTTGGGAGTGTGGAGTGGGTTGGGCGTGTGGAGTGGTGTGGGTTGGGAGTGTGGAGTGCTGTGGGTTGGGAGTGTGGAGCGGTGTGGCTTGGTAGTGTGGTCACAGTGGATTTGTGTGGGTTGGGAGCGTGGAGTGGTGTGGGTTGGGAGTGTGGAGCGGTGTGGGTTGGGAGTGTGGAGTGGTGTGGGTTGGGAGTGTGGAGCGGTGTGGCTTGGTAGTGTGGTCACAGTGGATTTGTGTGGGTTGGGAGTGTGGAGTGGTGTGGGTTGGGAGTGTGGAGTGGTGTGGGTTGGGAGTGTGGAGTGGTGTGGGTTGGGAGTGTGGAGCGGTGTGGGTTGGGAGTGTGGAGTGGTGTGGGTTGGGTTGGGAGTGTGGAGTGTGGAGCGGTGTGGCTTGGTAGTGTGGTCACAGTGGATTTGTGTGGGTTGGGAGTGTGGAGTGGTGTGGGTTGGGTTGGAAGTGTGGAGTGGGTTGGGCGTGTGGAGTGGTGTGGTTTGGGAGTGTGGTGTGGGTTGGGAGTGTGGTGTGGGTTGGAAGTGTGGAGTGTGGAGTGGTGTGGGTTGGGAGTGTGGAGTGGTGTGGGTTGGGAGTGTGGAGTGGAGTGGGTTGGGAGTGTGGAGTGGTGTGGGTTGGGAGTGTGGTGTGGGTTGGGAGTGTGGTGTGGGTTGGGAGTGTGGAGTGGTGTAAATTGGGTGTGTGGAGTGGTGTGGGTTGGGAGTGTGGGGTGGTGTGGGTTGGGAGTGTGGTGTGGGTTGGGAGTGTGGAGTGGTGTGTTTTGGGAGTGCGGAGTGGTGTGGGTTGGGTTGGGCGTGTGGAGTGGTGTGTTTTGGGAGTGCGGAGTGGTGTGGGTTGGGTTGGGCGTGTGGAGTGGTGTGTTTTGGGAGTGCGGAGTGGTGTGGGTTGGGTTGGGCGTGTGGAGTGGGTTGGGCGTGTGGAGTGGTGTAAATTGGGTGTGTGGAGTGGTGTGGTGTGAATTGGGAGTGTGGAGTGGTGTGTTTTGGGAGTGTGGAGTGGTGTGGGTTGGGTTGGGCGTGTGGAGTGGGTTGGGCGTGTGGAGTGGTGTAAATTGGGTGTGTGGAGTGGTGTGGGTTCGGAGTGTGGAGTGGTGTGGTTTGGGAGTGTGGAGTGGTGTGGCTTGGTAGTGTGGTCACAGTGGATTTGTGTGGGTTGGGAGTGTGGAGTGGTATGGGTTGGGTTGGAAGTGTGGAGTGATGTGGGTTGGGAGTGTGGGGTGGTGTGGGTTGGGAGTGTGGGGTGGTGTGGGTTGGGAGTGTGGTGTGGGTTGGGAGTGTGGAGTGGTGTGGGTTGGGTCTACTCCGTGTGTTGCAAGGTGTGTGTGTAGCGGAGTAGGCTGTGGTGTATTGGGAAAGGCGTGGGATAAGTAACTTGGTTTGAAGTAAAGGGATATGAATCCTGAACAGTGGGTTTTAAATGTACATTGTGGGGTGTAGTGTTTTTATGGGGTGGGTGTGCGATGTAGTGTTTCAGGTTGTGGGGGTTTGGTTACCTCATGGTGTCGTGAGATGTTGTGCCTAAGTTCCGCCGCGAGGTAGTGTGGGTTTTGATCTACTCCATGCGTTGTGTATTTGTAAGCGTTTGGTTCAGTGTATGGTGAATCGTGCGTATGGTGTGGGATGAGTGACTGGATGTGGATCGTGTGGTTAGCTTTGGGTTATGCTATGTGTTGTAGTGCGATGTGTCGCGTTGGTAACCAGAGGGGGATAAGGGGTGGGGGAGGGGTTTGGTTTGGGTATCATGTATCAAGGTGTCGTGTGGGCTCGTGCGAGTTTTTTTTTTTTTATTTCGCTTCTATTATCCTCTCCCAATAATTATTTTTAATATCTAATTTCGTGAAACTAATATTTATTTCACGAGAATTTCAAAAGAACACTTGTATGTTTAGTGCAATTCTTTTCTATCCCCCCCCCCCCCCCAATTCGTAAGGGGATATAATCAGGCTAGTTTGATTGTGACGAAAATATTAATGGGGTTATCGCGAATTACATAGGAAAGAGGAGAGAAAAAACTAACTGTTAAAATATGCAAATTATCTCAAGTTGATGAGGTGGCCAGCCCTGTCGGGTTGGGGGGGGGGGGGGTAATCTATCTATATAATTCTCTTCTGGGAGACGCTAGAAAACAAGCTGTAAGCGCGCTCTCTACCACTCCACCCCTACATGGTCTGGTGAGCTGGTTGGTAGGGGTTGGGGGAAAGGAGGGTGGGGGTAGTATCGTTCTTAACGACCTACTGATAGTGTTTTAAAGCAAATATTTTCAGTGGCAGCATTGGTACTATCGAATTCACAAATTATGAATTACTGAAAAGTAGAAAATAAAACAACTAAATAGCGGCATATGATATGCCGCGGGTCGGCTCGTATACTAAAATTATTATCTGGCCAATAAGGCATAACAGGAAGTGTCAATGCCCATGCGCAAAACCGGTTGTCAAGATAAACGGTTGTTTACAGAAGTAGAAAATGCTGTACTAACTATTTAGAATTTAGGTCCACTGACAGGTTTGTGTATGCTTTTTTTTTAAATTGTATATTTTGTTTTAAATTTTGGGATGATTGAAATAGCAATGGTTTAAATTTAAGAGCTAGATCAAGATCTAGTAGGCCCTAAACTAATTAAATTATTAATTTTTTTAATAGGGCTTAGGGCCTAAAAAATTATTTATTTTTTTTTAAGCTAAGAAAAGGTATTTCTTGAGAAGTAAGTGCAAACAACAATTGTGATGAAATTTATCAACTTAATAATCTTACTTTTTAGAATCTAGCTCACTTATGAAGAGAGTGTAAAGTGCAAGCTATTTTGATGAATGTGAAGTGATGAAGAGGTAAGAATATTTTTTAGGTAAAAGATCTAGATCTAGGCCTAAACTCTAAACTATAAATAAACTATAAATACTAAATACCACTTATTAATAAGTTATATGGGACGGCATAGCCTAGTGGAAGACAGCTAGACTGCTAATCTGAGAGTCGCTAGTTTGAATCAGGGTTCAAATATGTAGAACGTCCCTGAGTTCACCTAGTTCTGATAGGTACCTAACTGACGTTAGGGGATCAAACGAGGCATTGTGCTGACCAAGCTATCCCTTCATATGCCGAGGTCTTTGAAGCAGATGAACTCCATTTCATCTGCCCCATGTGTGTTGGGCACGAAAAGGATTGATGATGACGAAAGTTATATATAAATTAAACACTGAAACTACTAAACTAGTTATATCTAGATTCTGAGTAGACTAGTTCTATATAGTATATGGCAATAATTGAATATGTCCTACTACTAATAGATAGCTATTAACACTAATCCTCTCTTATTTAACCTGAAATCCTTGTTAATATGAATATTTAATAATAACAGATAATTCATTAATTCAATTAAATAATATGTCTATGCATAAACTCTTTTGATTATGTTTTGATAACATTATTATCACATGTATACTACTATTACCATATAACATTGTTTTGATTTGAGGTTGTAGTATTCACATTAAACACATAATTCTAGAAATATATTTTAAGTACCAATAATTTGGTAGCTAATGGCTGATCGTTAACTAGATCCATTGAATAGAATGGAAAGTAAACTAATAGATACAATTTCAATGTGGAGTAAAAAAAAAAGTTGGTCTGTGCACCAAGTTGTGGGAAGTTATTTTAGCTTAAGCTTAAACTTCTAAAAATTACGATTAGTTCTTATCAATCAGTGTTATCACACCCACAAATTCATATAATATAGATCTAACTAAGCAAGAATACTTTTATCCAAAGATTTAGTGGGTGATTAGGCACACTTAGAGTTAGGGTTATCTCTTGGTAAATCTAATGAATTTTAATTATGCTTTATCAATATTAACCTATTCTATGTAGGTCTCCTTTACTATATATGATATATTTAATCAAATCATCCCTGCTGTAAACACAATCTGGTAACATGTTTTTATTATTTTAGTGACTTGTAAAGAACTAAAATGAGTGCAAGGTCAGGAAAATCAAGAAAAAGTGCGAGTGGGGTTGGTGGGAGTAGACCAGGCAGTTCTCGGCCCAAAAGTAGGCCAAGTGTTGGAAATGACTCTGAGAAGGCTGTTGAAGAAGGTACTGAGTTAAAAATTGACTGTTAAATATTTCTTTATCATACTTTATGTATTATAGTACTACATTTTATCAAACAAATTTAGTTTAGAGATTACTAATGGATGTTGGCTGCTTGTTTTTAGAGGTCATTAATATCTGGCTCCATCAATTTTTGTAGAAATAAGTACAGATATTATCTTTAGTCTCATTTAAAATTCAAGTTATTCAACATACACATTATATTATTAACAAATAGGGTTGTAACTCATCATTTAACTTATAAAAAACCTGTCAATGTTTACATAGTTACTTGTTGATCTGGAAGCCTATATGTATTATGTTAAAGATTTGTTGGAATAATAAATGCTGATAATAGACCTGACTTCTACTTATTTTAGATGAAATAAATAAATTGAGAATTGTATTTTGTTTTCCAATAAATAGCTGCAACAGTGGAGGAACCAGAGGTAGACTTAGAAGGTAGACCTAAAATATTTTATACATTGTAATACTTTATACATTGTCATACTACAAAACACTTTTTAAAAAGAGAACATTTTATTCTAGAAGCAGATAATTGTGTATTGTCTAATTTTTACATTTAAATATTTTATTATCATTTACAATTAATATATTTAAGAATTCTGATTTAAAAAATATATTTTTCATTAGGTAAGGATATAATTATTTTAATGATGAAATTAAAATAGGAAATAGGTTCCTTTATTAAGTAATTAGTTATGATAAATGATTTTTATTGTAATATCACTCTTCAGATATTCTTGGAAATGTTAAAAAGTAATAGTAGGCCAAATGAAAAAAGAGAATTTCTGTATTTCAGAGGAATTGGCGTCAGGAGACAAGGAATCTGTTGTTCTTATTCCTGAAGCTCCAGCAACACCCATACCTGATGAACAGCCTGAAATGTCTGTGGTAAAGATTTTAAACTATTCCCTCGCACTGTTTAAAATGGCAGTATACTAAACAACTTTATAGTTTGTATGAAGTAAAATAATTTCTTCTTCATTTATTGATGAAAATGGGAGATTACTAGATAGTGTTAGAGTTAAAGGCAGATAATCATCATTTAGAGTTAAATTTTACATGTCTTAAACAAATACTTTTAGTCACGTAGAGCGCCAGCTTGTGTAAGAATAAACATGGACCCTAAAGAATCAATGATACTATATTGTTTTTTAGTATTATCAGTTTCTTAAATTTGTTTTTACGATTTACAGAACCTTTATAAAGCAAGCCTTTGAAATGAATTTTAAATTAGAAAGTCAATAAAAATTTTCTTTCTTTAAGCATCTTTAAACAACGTCACACTTTTAAAATTTTTTTTAGCTCCCTCTTCCTGAAGTCAGCATAAAAAATCAGATAGCCCCCTCCCCTAAATTGATGTCACATCACAACCTGCCAACACCCCTCCCTCCCTACCGCAACACAATTTTTATTTTTAAAATTTTTAATTTCTTTCTACATTATTTACATTGCTCTACCAGCATAGGGTAATTGAAATGAAATGTACCAAAAATAATTTTAAATGCAAAATAATAGCTAGAATTTGATAATGATTAATGCCTTAAATGTAATAGTAATTGTGATAGTTACTCATGAAATCTCTTACATAAACTTTAGTGATCAACACTTTTAGTTTTCTATCTTAAAAAAACAAGTTGTATTTTCTCATTTTATCATGCATTTCATTTAACAGCTTGTTACTTTAAAGGTTTTTAAATGCATTTTATTAGAAGACAGTTTTGTCTTAGAAGAGGTTAATGATAAAATATAACTTGTTTCAGTTGGATATGATAAAAAAGAGATTAATCTTATCCGGTGGACTTCCATCGGAGCTCACTCCAGAGGATGAAGATGTGATTAAAAATTTCATTGAGATTGAATCTTTTCGACTGCTTGTTGCGTACAATGACCAGTACAATGGCCTGAGTCTCAGCCATACCGTCCCCAATTTCCCTGTACAACAGCTGTGCTACTTCATCAAGTCAATGAACACAACAGAGGTCACGAGTCAAAACTTTCTCAAGGAGATACAATACGGGTCTGTTAAAAGTGGCCACATTGAAAGCTTGTTACGTATAATGATGGGCATATACGCCCCCATATTTTTTGAAAATCGATCCTGGCCTGACAGTATCCTTTACACACCATATTATCATTTTCTCAATTAATTCAATTCTTGTATTGATATTTATGGAAGAATATTCTGAATAATAAATATTTTAAATGTGATTTGGTACGGTCCATGGGGGCAGGTGAGGTAGAGTTCACTTATTTTGGTGACCTCTAGATATGTAGGGATAGTATGATCAGCACTATGTCCAGCCCAGCGACCTTTACTTTCTGTCAGGTACCCATCAGATCTGGGTGGACTAAAAGACGTTGTACAGACTCGAGTCAAGGATCCCAACTTGAGACTTCCAGACTACGGTCGATTGCTCTACCATTTAACCTCACTGTCCCTCAATGTGACTTGTGGTTTACTGTTAATCTGAAGAAAAGTTTATTTTCATTAACTAAAGATCAGGTATTAAAAATGACTTTTCTGCCCAACTGCACCGTTTTTTGGCAAGTTTGACAGACACAAGATGGAAACTGGAAGGGAAGACAGTCCTGTATGTTCCCACTGAAGGTATCAAGCTGACGGTGGAAGAGGCTGCCAAAAATAAGGAACTTATTCAGCGCCTTGAAAGTATGGCATTATTTTCTTTTTTTTAAATAGTCTTTAGTATATCTGATCTTTTACAAAAATAACTTCCAAATTTTAAATTGCCTTGAAAGTATGGCATTATTTCCTTTATTTAAATAGTCTATAGTATATCTGATCTTTTACAAAAATAACTTCCAAATTTTAAATTCCAGCCTCAATGATCCATTGGGCAAGACAAATTAAAGAAGTTTTGAGCACTCAGGATGCCTTTGAGATGGCAGAAAACTCTGGTCCTTTGGATGAAATAGAGTTCTGGAAAAACCGCTGTGCTGACCTTTCTGGAATCACAACCCAGCTGGATAAACCGGGGGTCAAGAGGATCACACAGATCCTGGAGCTGGCCAAGTCATCATATGTGACCCCATTCCTTAAGCTCTCAGGACAGATCATTGTAAGCAGACGCTAATGGTTGAAACACTTTTATATAGACTGCATATCAAATACTAAAAAAACAAACTTGAACTGCATTTTCTATTCTTGAAAAACACAAAACAATTTTTTTTTAAAATTTAAAATACAAACATTAAAAAAATAAATAGGTATATTATATTTATTTCCTTATATGTGTTTTTAAAATATGAATGTGACCTAAATTGGATAGTTTGACCAAAAAAAAGTCACATAAATTAGCTAGTTAGCTTTTTAAAAATCGTTACACCTGGATTAGCTTGTAATTTAAAAAAAAAATGTCTCACCTTGATTAGCTCAACAAAATAATTTTCTTCAATTCTACAGGAGGGATCCAGACAGGCGGAGAGCAACTTGAAATTTTTGGCTGTTCTCAAGGATCCATGCTACGAGCTGGCCGATGCCAAACCCAAAGACATTCCTAAACTCATTCCCAAAATTCTCAACATCATCCGCATGATATGGGTGAACTCAGACTACTACAAAACTAGAGAGAGATTGACTGGCATTCTCAAAAAGGTAAGATGTATCAGTAGTTCAGGTGTGGTATTCTATTTGTTACTTTCAAGTAGTGTTTTTAATTTTACTAAATATTTTCTAATTGATTGAAAATGTTTTGCATAGATGAGCAATGAGATTATTCGTCGCTGTTCTGTTGAGATCAACCTGGATAAAATTTTTGATGGCTATGTCATCAGTGGGAAGCAGTCCCTCAATGATTGCATTGAATGCTGTGAGGAATGGAAAGAAATCTATGACAAGGTAGGCAATCTGTTGTAGAACTTGTGACATAAATCTGTGAGAATGTAGACAATCTGTTGTAGAACTTGTGACAGAAATCTATGATAAGGTAGGCAATCTGTTGTAGAACTTATGACAGAAATATGTGAGAATGTTGACAGTCTGTTGTAGAACTTGTGACAGAAATCTGTGACAAGGAACAATCTTGACAAAATCTGTGACAAGGTAGACAACCTGTTGTAAATTCTCCAGTGCTTTTGTATTTGTATTTAAAAAATAACTTACCTCTTTGACAACAACCTGAATGTTATACCCCTCAAAGAGTAATGATAACATAAAATTTTAGAATTATTTAAAATGATGATCTGAAAAGTAAAAAGTAATGATAACATAAAATTTACCCAGACATCCAGACTCCACCACAGGTTTTCACAAGTTGGCTGGGTCTTGGACAGGAGCAGCATCTTTGCACAAATTGATGCATTTATTCAGCGATGTAAAGATATGCTTGAGGTACGTACAGTATTAGACGGAATCTGTTGCTGAAATCTCTTGTTGCGTACAACATTAAACAATAAAAACTTGGTTAAAATCTCTTGGTACTGTGTCAGAATGTAATATAGTATCACAAAAATGACATTGTTTAATGTGTACTTCTATCATTACTAGTAGTACAGGGCAGTATAGAAATGTATTGACATTTTTCTGCCTGTATCAATGTTGATGATGATATATCCAAACACTTATGTTTAAGGTTGAGTTAATATTTCAAATAAATAATTATTGCCTTCTGTTTTTATTGCACAAATGCCTTAATCATAAACCAATTAAAAAATCTGTTTTTCCCTTCTGACGTTACAGAAAAAAATACAAATTTTATTATCATGAAAAAATGTATAAGATAAATGTGCAATAATGCTGAGAATATGTTATCTCTGTTTGATCTGTGACTGTTGTCTTGGCCAGGTTTGTGAAGCACAGTTCCACTTTGCCAGGCAAGTGGATGGGGAAAAGGCTGAGATGCCCCACTTCCCTGGACAGAAGGGGCCTGAGATTGTCCGTGGTCTCTTGGAGGTGGAAGCTCAGTTTGAGAAGAATGTCAACCAGCTCAGGCTACAGAAGAAAAACATTTTAGATGTCAAAGCTACATCCTGGCATGACAGCTACAACAAGTCAGTGTTTCAAATCTTTTGTCTGCGTTAAAAATTGTTTTATTTAATAGAAAATAATCAAACTGTAAAAATATTTTGTCACTATGAAAAGTATTATTCATTTATATAATGATAGCGATTAAATTATAAAGATTCTTATCAGTGTTAAGAGTAACAGTATTAAAAAATATGTTGACAATGCTGAAAAATGGTATATTAATATATATGAGCCGACCCGCGGCATATCATATGCCGCTATTTAGTTGTTTTATTTTCTACTTTTCAGTAATTCATAATTTGTGAATTCGACAGTACCAATGCTGCCACTGAAAATATTTGCTTTAAAACACTATCAGTAGGTCGTTAAGAACGATACTACCCCCACCCTCCTTTCCCCAACCCCTACCCCCACCCTCCTTTCCCCCAACCCCTACCCTACACCCCCCCGTGAAGGCAGCCTCCTCTTAGTTACCTCCCCTAAGTTTAAAATCATTTCAAACTAAATTATCTGCCCCTAATAGCCGTCACTAAACCCGGCTCTATGAATGTAAACATTTAGCATGAACCACAGTTCACCAGACCATGTAGGGGTGGGGTGGTAGGGAGCGCGCTTACAGCTTGTTTTATAGCGTCTCCCAGAAGAGAATTATATATAGAGATTAAAAACAGCAACAGATTAGCTCTGAGAGTATCATGTTATTTACAGTATTTTTTGTCAAAAGTCACAGAAATTGAATTAACATAATGCTTCCTATTTGCATCAGCCTTTTTTTAAAAAAAAAATACTATATAATAGAACGTTTATTTTAAAATGCTTCGCTTATGTAAATGTCATATTTCTATGACAGGTTCCGAGCTGGAGTCAAAGATCTGGAGGTCATGATGCAAAACACCATCTCATCAGCATTTGACACAGTGAAAACAGTGGAAGGAGGAGTGGAGATGTTGGACGTCTTCATGCACCTGTCTTCTAGAGAGGTTCTTTCTTCACATCTTCTAGATATTAACATCTTTAGGAAATTAATTCAACTTCTATACTTCATCTAGATATTAGCATCTATAGGAAATTTATTCAGCTTCTTCACTACATCTAGATATTAGCATCTTTAGGAAATTAATTCAGCTATACTGTTTGAAAAATACTCAACACTTTAAATTGTTCTTACAAAATAAGCATGTCTTTTTTAAAAACCTAGGCTACTTATATTAATTGATTAATGAAGCTTAGGTCTTTTGTTAGGGTTAGTAATAATTTAAAGAGTTAGGGTTAGATGGAGGATGGGGGGGTATGGCTACTTAACAATTACACACAGCTTAACTTGTACAGTATAAATAATATGTCCGCCATTTGTGTAATTTTTAGGCAGTTAGACGCACCATTGATAAAAAGACAGTGGAGGTGTATGGTTTGTTCAACGATGAGTTAAATGCTGTCAAGAGAGAACTCTCCACCAAGGATCACCCCACACTATCACCCTCACATCCTAAATTTGCAGGATCTGCACACTGGGCTAGGCTTCTCAAAAACAGAGTACAGAAGGGCATGAATGTAAGTTAGTTTTACTTTCTGCAGGAAGTGGCCATAGTTTTCGGTAATGTTCAGTCATATGTCCTCCAGGATTTCCTTAGCCGCTTATTTTCCTCTTCACCTGGGGACTCCATACACACATTTATACACATACAGATACACACACACACACATATATATATATATATGTCTTTATTCTGTATTAAGTAATGTCCCAAATATAATTTAAAACACTTGAAACGCACTAAATTTTCTTTTTCTTTTGTTGATAGGCTCTGGACCGAGCCCATTTCCTCCCTCAAATTGGGACAGGAGAGGAAGTCCGCTCCCAGTTCAAATCTCTCATGACTGCGCTGGATGAGTTCATCCGTAAGACATACTACGAGTGGACAATGACCGTGGATAAAGTAAGTTTTTTTGTCTCCTCTAATCGTGCTGGTCATTAATCCCATATAAGTTCCAAAATTTATATCATAATTATGCCTCATGTTAAAAATAGCAATGAGTTCCTCATATATAACCCACCAAATCAGATAATAAAAATGTAAAACTATATCAGAATGCTAACAGTTGGGTCACTTCTTTACATTTTTATTGACATTTTGAAAAGATTGTTCTATTAATGTCTTTTTCACAGAAAGCTCAGATTATGCATAATTAGCTTTAGATTTCTAAACATTGTTACATTCAATAAACACTTTTGCTAATATCATTTAGAGCAGGGGTCTCCAAACTTTTCAGACCGAGGGCCACATTAACTATCAAATTTCAGTTTGGGGGCCAGTTTCTTCCAGGCATGTCTTTGATTTCTCTGGGCAAAGTTCCTCAACCATCACCAACAAACAATTTTTCCTTAGACAAAAAGATCTCCGCGGGCCGAATGAGAGAACTTCGCGGGCCGCATCCGGCCCGCGGGCCGTAGTTTGGAGACCCCTGATTTAGAGACTAATTTTAAATAATCTGTTTATAGTGGCTCAATATATACCAATAATATTTAAGAGTTGGTAATTTAATCAGTGAAATTAATTTATTCCTCCACCCCCTTTTTATGCTTTGATTTATATTATTGTAGTGGAGAATGCAGTCTTTCTATCTTCAGTGTAAATAACTTAATTTATGTGTGTATTTTCTCATTGCATCTCTCCCCAACAGGACAGTGTAAGTTATTTCCTTCTTGAATGTTGCTGTACTTTATCTGCTATATTTAGACACTTCACAATACACAAGCCAATACTATATTAACTAAACTAAACTTTTTTTTTTGTAAAATGTTCTAAATTATTTTTTACTTTGGTGTCATGTAGCTTACAAATTTCTTTATAAAAACTACTAACAAATTTTTGTAGCACCATTTATGCTATATATTTTACTTTTCACTGGCACACTATTAAAAATCACTTTTTAAAAATATATTTTTTTAATTGTCTGAAGGTTGGTAACATCAGAAGAATTTTTTGAAAACTTTTGCATTTGTTCACTGTCAATTCTTGATTAGTAGATGTAGTAAAAATATATTTACTAACAGAAGCATTTTAAAAAAATATATTTTATATATATATATATACATAATATTTGCAACACAAATAATAGCAGCACATACAATTTTAAGAATATAATCCACAGCACAAAATTCAACCTAACAATCAATTCAACCCAATGTTCATCGAAATAATCAATCAGACACATTAAATATCTTCATCTTTTCCCTTTTGTGTCCAGGACACATAGGGCAGCCACAGATAGCTCTTTCCACTTTTGCCAGTCTCTGGCTAGTATAACCAATACTAAATAGTATTCCACTGAGTAACCAACACAAAGTAATAATCAGCAGAATAATCAAAACAAGATCATATTCAATAGAATTATCAACATCACTCAGTATTATCTATGCACAACTATATTGTTGTAAACTTCTAATATAATTTATCTGTTACTGGCTTGAATCTTAACAGTAAATTTGTTAAAGATAATCTAAAAATACTTTTTTATGTAACCTCTGTTGTCACTTTTTGTTAAATCTCTCAAGGTTCAAAACCATGCCATTCTTTTTTTTTTTTTTTAAATGAGTTTAACTAAAGTATTGGCGCATAAAAAATTGCTGTAAAAGATATTCATGTTTAAGAATTAACATTCAAATGACTTTTGGATATGACATTGTCATTGCCTGTCACAAACAAATAGTATCTGAAATAACATCAGGTCATCTATTTGAATGTTTTTGTTGTCAAGTAAACTATTCACCTATCCTCTTCATTATTACTTTTTAAATCTTTTTTCCTAAATGATTTACACGTTGCTATTTTGAACACAGGAGCCTCAGAAACTTCTGGACTGCCCATTGCTGTGTCGTAGTCTTGAAAGACCACCCATGCTTGATCTTAATTTCAACAAGTGAGTTACCCTCCCCTGCAGATTGGTATCTACAATTCCACATTAACTACTTTTAAAATATGGCGTCTACTTTTGAAACACATCACAAAGCTTCTGAAAATATGTTTTAGAATTCTCAATTCATCCATGTCCAAGATTCTAAGAAGAAAGTCATGCTCTAATTTATTAACACTATTTAAAACGATCACTTGCAGGCACCTGCTGAAGATGTTTCAGGAGATCTACTACTGGGAGAGACTTGTCTTTGAAGCGCCACACTACGCCGTGGAGGTTTACACAAAGAAAGAAGATCTCCGCTACCTGAGGGAAAATGTCTTACTTGTTGTCAGGGATTACAATAGGTGACCTTGACCTTGATACTTGGGTTGTTGTTTTTTTTTGTATTGTTCTCTGCGAGTTCAATGGCTCATGTTAATATAAGTACAAATTTAACCTTCTATCTGCACAAGTGAAGGATCAGAAACACACTATTGTTGTAGTGCTAACTGGTCATAGTGTTTACACTTCTGACCTGAGGTAGGGTAGGTAAATCAGTGTCATGAGGAATGGTTCACTAGGGCACCACCTGGCTTAAACTCCTGTTGTACAAGGACTAAGTCCTGTATCTGTGTTTACCTCGGGTGTTTATATGACACTTTCTTTAAATGTCATCCAGTTTTCAGTAGTTCAGACATGCCTACCGTCACGGCAAAATCGGAACCGTCACGCTTTTTCACCTAAAAAAGTAATTTGTTCCGTCATTCCGATTTTGACTAAGTTTGTTCCGATTTTTTGAAAAAAAAAATTAATAAAGACAGGTAACAAAGTGAATTGAAAAAAGGCAGGGAAAAGCGATTATCTCTCTTTGGAATACGTTTCTGTTTCCTAGTTTACTTACAATATTTACAAGTATCATCTTATACTAGATCTAGCTAGTATATCTACTACTACTAGATCTAGAATTGTAACTAGATCTACTAGTAGATACTGAAATAGTGAACACTGATCTATCTTGTAAGTTGTAACTTAACTAGTAACTACTATTATGAAGAACTTAGTAAGAAGTAACTAGGACTTTTACTAGGTAGATCAAGGGTCTTTGCTCTTAACTTATATATTACATATGATGAAGCCTTCAGAATTTGTTATTCATATTAATATAGCCTAGAACATAGCAAGGCATAAATAATCAAATCAATAATGTTATGTCAAAGCTATGGTTTTTATTTGGGGGGGGGGGTGGTCTCAGGTTACTGGTTAACTTTTTAAAAAAATGTAAGCTGACATTAATAAGCAGTATTTAAATGTAGCCTATAGACCAGTTATATATGACTAGAAGCCTACTAATGTCATTAGAGTAATTTTTATTTAATTATTTTTATTTTTGATTTAGTAAAGTAGGGTCAGTGCATATGTTCCTCTTTTTGGCTACAAATTCCTTTTTTAGGCATAACTATTCCTACTTTTGGCTGAAAGGGGTAGGCATGTCTGGTAGTTAGATGTTCTCCAATGGTCAATACATTAGATGTTATAAGACAAACAGGATACTCGACTAATTGTGTTGGCTGCTATAAATTCTCCAATGGTCAATACATTAGATGTTATATGACAGGATACTAGACTAATTGTGTTGCCTGCCATAAATTCTCCAATGGTCAATACATTAGATGTTATATGACAAACCTGATACTAGACTCATTGTGTTGGCTGCCATAAATTCTCCAATGGTCAATACATTAGATGTTATATGACAAACAGGATACTAGACTCATTGTGTTGGCTGCCATAAATTCTCCAATGGTCAATACATTAGATGTTATATGACAAACAGGATACTAGGCTCATTGTGTTGGCTGCCATAAATTCTCCAATGGTCAATACATTAGATGTTATATGACAAACCTGATACTAGACTCATTGTGTTGGCTGCCATAAATTCTCCAATGGTCAATACATTAGATGTTATATGACAAACAGGATACTAGGCTCATTGTGTTGGCTGCCATAAATTCTCCAATGGTCAATACATTAGATGTTATATGACAAACAGGATACTAGGCTCATTGTGTTGACTGCCATAAATTCTCCAATGGTCAATACATTAGATGTTATATGACAAACAGGATACTAGACTCATTGTGTTGGCTGCCATAAATTCTCCAATGGTCAATACATTAGATGTTATATGACAAACAGGATACTAGGCTCATTGTGTTGACTGCCATAAATTCTCCAATGAAAGCTACAATTTGTTATGTGTGAAGCCTAATCTGTTTTTTAAAGGCTGACACCCTACGGGGTGGGAAAAAGGGGGAGGGTGATTTTTTTATTATAGAAGTTATATGAATAGAAAATGCATATTTATTCTCAGTGCTTTAATATTTGATTTCTGTAACTACATTATTATCCAAAAATGATGAAGTTCTGAAGGAGTAAAAAGATAACAAAATATTTGAATGGCATCAATTTCTTTATAGAATCCTCTCAGCTTTGTCCATGGAAGAGCGAGGTCTGTTTAAAGAGAGAATTCGTTTCTTAGACAAGCGAATTCACCCAGGCCTCACTAAATTAACATGGGCTTCAAAAGGCACTGTGGATTATTTCTTGCATGAATGCCGCACTCATTGTGGAAATATCCAGGTGAATTTTTTAATTAAGAATTAATTTTTTGTTCCTAATTTTTATGCCATTTAAATTTGACATGAAAATTTACTTTTAAAATTATTTGAAGTTGTCGCTTGTATTTTTGATCAAATTTCATTGAACTCATTAAAAATCTTCCAAATCTATTTTTAGTCAGTGGTGGATAGTTATAAGTTGGCCAATCAAAATGTTTCAAGTATGTGTGTCAAAATCAGTGAGTTACTTCTAGTCAAGATTGATTCCAAGGTGGTCTATGAGAACTTGCAGTTTGACGAGGATCAGGTAAATGATTCATCAGTAAATTAGGTGGTTTATTAGAACTTTTTAGTTTGATGAGGATCAGGTAAATGATTCATCAGTAAATTAGGTGGTTTATTAGAACTTTTTAGTTTGATGAGGATCAGGTAAAGGTTCATTTAAATAAAGTGGAAAAAAAAGTCCTCAATATAATACTGTATTATCATGCTTGCATATTTACTGGGAGGTTCGCCTTACTCATTCTATAAAGTATAAATGAAGGAATGCAATTTTTTTGTCTAGGCCAAGCACAGAGAGAACGTCCAGAAAAAGCTAAGAGAAGCACATGAATCTATTGTGTCCACACTACGCCAATCTTACGAGGTGTATAAAAATGACGGCCCTGAAGTCCAGCAACATTGGCTGAGATACACAGAAAAGATGGACAAAATGCTGGAAGAGGCTTTCAGGTGGGTCTAGCATCACTGATGTATGTACACACAACATCACTGACATGTACACACAACATCACTGATATGTACACACAACATCACTGATATATGTACACACAACATCACTGACATGTACACACAACATCACTGATATATGTACACACAACATCATTGACATATGTACACACAACATCACTGATATATGTACACACAACATCACTGACATGTACACACAACATCACTGATATATGTACATACAACATCATTGACATAGGTACACACAACATCACTGATATATGTACACACAACATCATTGACATATGTACACACAACATCACTGATATATGTACACACAACATCACTGACATGTACACACAACATCACTGATATATGTACACACAACATCACTGACATATGTACACACAACATCACTGATATATGTACACACAACATCACTGACATGTACACACAACATCACTGATATATGTACACCCAACATCACTGACATATGTACACACAACATCACTGACATGTACACACAACATCACTGACATAGGTACACCCAACATCACTGACATAGATACACCCAACATCACTGACATAGATTCACCCAACATCACTGACATATGTACACCCAACATCACTGACATAGATACACCCAACATCACTGACATAGATTCACCCAACATCACTGACATATGTACACACAACATCACTCACATAGATACAACCAACATCACTGATAAACACTATAGCCTTTATTTTATTTCTGCATACTTAAACCAGTGTTGGTTTAGACAAGTTACCCAAACCCCATCAATTGAATTATACAGTCCTTGTACAGTCACAGAAATATAGCTACTTACTTTAATAATAATAATAAGTGGTCCTTATTAGTTATCTATTTTTGCATAATTTATGTGAACTTTGGACCTAGGTTTTAACATTGAAACAGTGTTTACACCAATGTAGGTTGCTACATAAACATTGTGCTGTTATGAACATAGTAAACGAATGAAGTGAACATTGATATTTTCCTGCAGGCTGAATGTCAAATGGTCATTGCAAGAGTTGTCCAAAGCCATCAATGGAGACGGCAAGTCTGCCCCAAACCCCTTGTTTAGGGTCAGGGTTATTTTGGAAGGAGATAAGGTTAGTCTAAAACATCAAAAAGTGGTTTAGTGTTTAGTTTTAAAAAGTCATGAACAGATAAATATACAGATATCTGAATGGAGTCAGCTGTAGTATTTTCTAATTTAAAGTTATAGAATAATTGTAATGAGCCGGCCCGCGGCATAACATACGCCGCTATTTAGTTGTTTCTAATTTTCAATAATTCATAATTTGTGAATTCGACAGTACCAACGCTGACACTGAAAATATTTCTTTAAAACACTATAAGTAGCTCGTTAAGGACCATAAACCCCCCCCCCCCTTCCTTCCCTCCCCCCCTCCCCCCCCCCCCTACATTTATAATCGTTGGCTCTGCTTGTAAACATTTAGAGTGAACCCAGCTCACTAAAACCATGTAGGGGTGGGGAGGTAGGGAGAGCGTTTGCAGCTTGTTTTCTAACGGCTCGAAGAAGAGAATTATATATATAGATATACCCTTAATGAATTATCATATAAATTTTATTACCTGCATTTTATTTATTTTGTTGAATGTTATTCACTTTTTAAAAAATTAGGTTGAATTTTCTCCAACACTGATCCAACTGGCAACAATAGTTGGGGAAATAGGCAAAACACATGTCATCAAGGCCATTTCTGATTTCAAACGTCTGCCTGATCTGTTGACCAAAAAGAAGTCAGCTAAAGAGGTAATTTCAATGACTCAAATCTTTGTGTGTATGTACTTGATCTGAATATTTACCAGTACACATTCTAAACAATGTGCTTGATCTGAATATTTACCAGTACACATTCTAAACAATGTGCTTGATCTGAATATTTACCAGTACACATTCTAAACAATGTGCTTGATCTGAATATTTACCAGTACACATTCTAAACAATGTGCTTGATCTGAATATTTACCAGTACACATTCTAAACACTGTGCTTCATTCTGAATGTTTTCCCAGTCAATCAGTGAACTGGTAGCTAAAGATGAAGAGATCAAAAAAATTCTCAATGTTATCAACACTGGCATGCAGACCAATGCACAGAACCTTCAAAACTACCTCAGTACATGGGACTCATACAGGTAAACCCTAACCCAGACCCATAGACAGGTACATGGGACTCATACAGGTAAACCCTAACCCAGACCAATAGACAGGTACATGGGACTCATACAGGTAAACCCTAACCCAGGCCCATAGACAGGTACATGGGACTCATACAGGTAAACCCTGACCCAGACCCATAGACAAGTACATGGGACTCATACAGGTAAACCCTGACCCAGACCCATAGACAGGTACATGGGACTCATACAGGTAAACCCTAAGCCAGACCCATAGACAAGTAGACTCATACAGGTAAACCCTAACCCAGGCCCATAGACAGGTACATGGGGCTTTTACAGGTAAACCCTAACCCAGACCCATAGACAAGTAGACTCATACAGGTAAAACCTAACCCAGACCCATAGACAAGTAGACTCATACAGGTAAACCCTAACCCAGGCCCATAGACAGGTACATGGGGCTTTTACAGGTAAACCCTAACCCAGACCCATAGACAAGTAGACTCATACAGGTAAAACCTAACCCAGACCCATAGACAAGTAGACTCATACAGGTAAACCCTAACCCAGACCCATAGACAGGTACATGGGACTCATACAGGTAAACCCTAACCCAGACCCATAGACAAGTACATGGGACTCATACAGGTAAACCCTAACCCAGACCCATAGACAAGTAGACTCATACAGGTAAACCCTAACCCAGACCCATAGACAAGTACATAGGACTCATACAGGTAAACCCTGACCCAGACCCATAGACAGGTACATGGGACTCATACAGGTGAACCCTGACCCAGACCCATAGACAAGTAGACTCATACAGGTAAACCCAGACCCATAGACAAGTACATGGGACTCATACAGGTGAACCCTGACCCAGACCCATAGACAGGTACATGGGACTCATACAGGTAAACCCTAACCCATAGACAGGTACATGGGACTCATACAGGTAAACTCTAACCCAGACCCATAGACAGGTACATGGGACTCATACAGGTAAACCCTGACCCAGACCCATAGACAGGTACATGGGACTCATACAGGTAAACCCTAACCCAGACCCATAGACAGGTACATGGGACTCATACAGGTAAACCCTTACCCAGACCCATAGACAGGTACATGGGACTCATACAGGTAAACCCTAACCCAGACCCATAGACAGGTACATGGGACTCATACAGGTAAACCCTGACCCAGACCCATAGACAGGTACATGGGACTCATACAGGTAAACCCTAACCCAGACCCATAGACAAGTAGACTCATACAGGTAAACCCTAACCCAGGCCCATGCACAGGTACATGGGACTCATACAGGTGAACCCTAACCCAGACCCATAGACAAGTAGACTCATACAGGTAAACCCTGACCCAGACCCATAGACAGGTACATGGGACTCATACAGGTAAACCCTAACCCAGACCCATGCACAGGTACATGGGACTCATACAGGTGAACCCTAACCCAGACCCATAGACAAGTAGACTCATACAGGTAAACCCTAACCCAGACCCATGCACAGGTACATGGGACTCATACAGGTGAACCCTAACCCAGACCCATAGACAAGTAGACTCATACAGGTAAACCCTGACCCAGACCCATAGACAAATAGACTCATACAGGTAAACCCTAACCCAGACCCATAGACAAGTAGACTCATACAGGTAAACCCTGACCCAGACCCATAGACAAGTAGACTCATACAGGTAAACCCTAACCCAGACCCATAGACAAGTAGACTCATACAGGTAAACCCTAACCCAGGCCCATAGACAGGTACATGGGACTCATACAGGTAAACCCTAACCCAGACCCATAGACAGGTACATGGGACTCATACAGGTGAACCCTGACCCAGACCCATAGACAGGTACATGGGACTCATACAGGTAAACCCTGACCCAGACCCATAGACAGGTACATGGGACTCATACAGGTAAACCCTGACCCAGACCCATAGACAGGTACATGGGACTCATACAGGTAAACCCTGACCCAGACCCATAGACAGGTACATGGGACTCATACAGGTAAACCCTGACCCAGACCCATAGACAGGTACATGGGACTCTTACAGGTAAACCCTGACCCAGACCCATAGACAGGTACATGGGACTCATACAGGTAAACCCTGACCCAGACCCATAGACAAGTACATGGGACTCATACAGGTAAACCCTGACCCAGACCCATAGACAAGTAGACTCATACAGGTAAACCCTGACCCAGACCCATAGACAAGTAGACTCATACAGGTAAACCCTAACCCAGACCCATAGACAAGTAGACTCATACAGGTAAACCCTAACCCAGGCCCATAGACAGGTACATGGGACTCATACAGGTAAACCCTAACCCAGACCCATAGACAGGTACATGGGACTCATACAGGTGAACCCTGACCCAGACCCATAGACAGGTACATGGGACTCATACAGGTAAACCCTGACCCAGACCCATAGACAGGTACATGGGACTCTTACAGGTAAACCCTGACCCAGACCCATAGACAGGTACATGGGACTCATACAGGTAAACCCTGACCCAGACCCATAGACAAGTACATGGGACTCATACAGGTAAACCCTGACCCAGACCCATAGACAAGTAGACTCATACAGGTAAACCCTGACCCAGACCCATAGACAAGTAGACTCATACAGGTAAACCCTAACCCAGGCCCATAGACAAGTACATGGGACTCATACAGGTAAACCCTAACCCATAGACAGGTACATGGGACTCATACAGGTGAACCCTAACCCAGACCCATAGACAAGTACATGGGACTCATACAGGTAAACCCTAACCCAGACCCATAGACAAGTACATGGGACTCATACAGGTAAACCCTAACCCAGACCCATAGACAAGTACATGGGACTCATACAGGTAAACCCTAACCCAGACCCATAGACAAGTACATGGGACTCATACAGGTAAACCCTAACCCAGACCCATAGACAAGTACATGGGACTCATACAGGTAAACCCTAACCCAGACCCATAGACAAGTAGACTCATACAGGTAAACCCTAACCCAGACCCATAGACAAGTACATGGGACTCATACAGGTAAACCCTAACCCAGACCCATAGACAGGTACATGGGACTCATACAGGTAAACCCTAACCCAGACCCATAGACAGGTACATGGGACTCATACAGGTGAACCCTAACCCAGACCCATAGACAGGTACATGGGACTCATACAGGTGAACCCTAACCCAGACCCATAGACAGGTACATGGGACTCATACAGGTAAACCCTGACCCAGACCCATAGACAAGTACATGGGACTCATACAGGTAAACCCTAACCCAGACCCATAGACAAGTACATGGGACTCATACAGGTAAACCCTGACCCATAGACAGGTACATGGGACTCATACAGGTGAACCCTGAATTTTTAATTGATGTATAAATAATCTCTGAGACCCTGGATAATTTTAGGACAAGCTAAATGTGCCCCTGCTAATTAGTTTTACGTCTAGGGAAATAATTAACTTCATATTTCAACCAATTGTATACAACTGTTATTTTACAGAGAAATTTGGGAAATTCAGAAAGATGCATTTATTAGACGCTATCAAAAACTGAATCCTCAAAACTCTTCATTTGATGCTGATATAGCTAGGTAAATCAAGTTTGTAATTTTTATTTTATAAATTTTAAACAAGACAAGATTTCAAATTTTTATAGGTTTCATAATCTTATAAATCTGTATTTCAAATATTTGTATACCATTTCTTGTAACAATGAGATAACCTAAACAAGACAAGATTTCAAATTTTTATAGATTTTATAATTTTATAAATCTGTATTTCAAATATTTGTATACCATTTCTTGTAACAATGAGATAACCAGCTACACTTGACCTTGGCTGTTTTGTCTACAGATATAATGAAGTGGCCAACAATGTTCAAACACAGGAGACAATTCTAAACATTCAGTTTGCACTCTTAGACTGCTCTCCCCTGAAATATGCCATACTCAGTCACTGCCAAGAGTGGCAGAATAAGTTTACAACCTTGCTGATGGAAATAGCTACAGCCACCCTGCAGGAAATCACCAAATATCTATCAGACAACAGCGTCAGGTCAGACTTTACATTCACTCAATTAAACACACACAAATCTAAATAAAGAATAACCAAGTATAGCGTCAGGTCAGACTTTACATTCACTCAATTAAACAAACACAAGCCTAGCTAAGTGATAATGATAATTCTCTTATATTTTCTAATTTTTATTTATTGTTTTAGTTTTCATTTGGTATAGGCCTACTTTTCTTTTCTTAAAACCTTACAATTTAAAAATCGATTCATATTAAAACACTGATATGCTGAAGAGAAACTACCCTAATCCTAAATCTAACGATTTCTCATTAGTAATTTCATTCAGAATCTGAACTAATCTGCATATGTAAAAAAAAATCATTGTCTAACAATAGCCCTGTATGTTTTTATAAGAAGTTCAACTAAGTTGATGAAGTAGTCACTAATTTTAAACTGCTGACAGAGTGGCCCAACCACCACAGACCCTGGATGAGCTGGGAGACAGCCTTGCTTTATGGGACAAACTGAGTTCTGAGGTGCCTGTGACGGAGCAGAAGTTTGCTCCCCTGCAGGAGCAGTTTGTCATCCTGGAGAAATACGAAGTGGTCATTCACAAAGATGTGAGTTTCACATGGGTCACTTTCTTCACCTGGCCAACATTTTATTTGGTTTACATTTATTCACTTTATAGTTTTCTTTTGTTTCTTTTCCAGTGTTTGTTTTTAATTGTGTACTTCTGTTTACTGGTTGCTAACTAGATGTTGATGTTCATGTCTTATGGAATTAGGTGGCCCAGTTGCTGCAGCAGTTGCCTACCCAGTGGGATGAGTTCAAACAGACCCTGACAGATTCTGAGACCATGCTCAAGAAACACAAGGTAGGAATGACTGACTCATCTGTTGTAAATCTCATCTCAAAACATTTAATAGTTTAATAGCTGGATGCTCTAGGAACTACTGACTGAACTGTCTTTTTACAATTTAGTAGCTGGATCCTACTATGCTCATAACAAGCCTCTGTCTAGGACATTCCCCCCTCCCCAAGCCATTACTTCTGGTCAATTACTACCCCCTTTCTCTTCCCTACCCCCCCCCCCCCATATGCTGCATGCTGAACCCTGACCCTAACCCCAAAACTCAACCATAAACCTATAGCTAAACCTAAAACCAACATAATCTTAACCCCAACTCTAAACCTACATCTGGCCCTATCACTAGCCCTAACCCTACCATCCATAAAAGGCTCCCATGAGGCCATGTGATACATTTGACTGCATATTGTGCTCTCCACCTGATTAACTCATACAAATGTACATGACTAAACTTATTTAGTTTCTTGCTAACTAAAATTATTTTTAAAGGAACGGTTCAAAGCTGGCCTGCTTTCACAAGCTGAAGAGTTCAAGAAACAAGCAGCAGAGCTAATGAAGGAGTTTGAGACTAGTGGGCCCTTCACATCCACCATTAAAACTGATGATGCCCTGAGTGCTATTGCTAATGTTTATGCTGCCATGGATGCCCTTAAGGAGCAGGAACAAGTGATCAGACGTGGGCTCAACATCTTCAAGATTGAGCAGCCCCCATCCAAGGACATTGGAGCTTTAGAGAAGGTACAATTTTTTTTTTTTTAGACATTGGAGCTTTAGAGAAGGTACAATTTTTTTTTTTTAGACATTGGAGCTTTAGAGAAGGTACAAATTTTTTTTAAAAGTTTGATTGTTTTAACAACCTAAATAAAAAAATGTAATGGATCAAAACATTTGCGTGAATTAAATAAACAGCCATTAGGAAATTACATATTATACTGATGAAGTGGCCAACAATGTTCAAACAGGAGACAATTCTAAACATTCAGGTTGTGCTTTTAGACTGCTCTCCCCTGAAATATGTTTTGTTTTAGTAGATTTGAAAGTTGTTTGTGAAAAATTTAAACAAAGGCTTTAAAATGTGTTAGTTAGAATTTTTTAAAAACCTATGTTGACCTGTATCTGACTAGGATCTAGAGAACATCAAGGCCGTGTGGGAACTGACCAAAGAATGGGAAACCAACTGGGATACTTGGAAGTCTGGGAAATTTTCAGACCTGGAAACATCAGAGATGGAGAACAACTCGGTCAACTTGTTCAAACAGCTGGCCAAGTACAGCAGGGCACTCAAGGTACGCAGTTTCAGAACTCTTCTCCTTATAAGTTTAAGTAGGCAGATTTAAATTTGTAAGCTTCTGTCTTGTTTTCTCAACATTGCCATATTTTGTTTGCCTAGACTTTTGTTTTGACAATGCCATATTTTGTTTGCCTATACTTTTGTTTTGTTTTGACATTGCCATATTTTGTTTGCCAATTAGGAAAAGAACTGGGAGATTGTGGAGACCAGTAAAAATAAAGTGGATCAGTTCAAGAGGACAATGCCACTCATCTCAGACCTCAAGAACAAGGCCATGCGGCCCAGACACTGGAAACAAATACAGGTCACTTTTTTTCTGTTGCTTCAAACTAGAATGTCAGCAACTTTCATTTGCTGGTCACTTAACATATATTTATTTTAAAAACCTAAACAATTTGTATAAAAAACCTAAACAATTTATATAAAAAACCTAAACAATTTGTATAAGAAACCTAAACAATTTGTATAAAAAACCTAAACAATTTATATAAAAAACCCAAACAATTTGTATAAAAAACCTAAATAATTTGTATAAAAAACCTAAACAATTTGTATAAAAAACTAAAAAATTAGCAGAAATACCCTTGAACAATTTTTTAAAAAAATTTCCAGGTGGAAATGCATCGCACTTTTGATCCAGATGCAGATGACTTCACCCTGGAGAAAATTATTGAATTTGGCTTTGATCAGTACGCTGAGCAGATCAATGAGATTTCTGGTGCAGCAACCAAAGAGTTAACTATTGAACAGGTACAAATCATTCTTTGTTTTCTTCTTCTTCAGTTTTAGGTACAAATCATTCTTTGTTTTCTTCTTCTTGAGTTTTAGGTACAAATTATTCTTTGTTTTCTTCTTCTCCAGTTTTAGGTACAAATCATTCTTTGTTTTCTTCTTCTTGAGTTTTAGGTACAAATTATTCTTTGTTTTCTTCTTCTCCAGTTTTAGGTACAAATCATTCTTTGTTTTCTTCTTCTTGAGTTTTAGGTACAAATTATTCTTTGTTTTCTTCTTCTCCAGTTTTAGGTACAAATCATTCTTTGTTCTTCTTCTTCTCCAGCCTTTAAAATTTATAATGAATATAATTTCTTAGCCAGCATGTATTCAAACCATAAACTTATTCCATTTCTGATTCAGTTTTATCAAAATCATAAACTTATTCCAATTTATACGTAGTATATCAAAATCATAAATTATTCCAATTTAAACATAGTTATATTTAAATCATAAACTTTATCCAATTTAGATCAAACTTCATCAAAATCATAAACATATTCCATTTCAATTATCAAAAATAATATAATTGATTTAAAAAAAAGAAAAATAAGTACCAGTTTTTGTTATAGAATATATCAATAAATTAGTACATTTTTAACTCCCCAGGGACTTGCTAATATTAAAGAAATTTGGCAAATGAGAGAATTTGATATAGGGCCTTATAAAGACAAAGGCCATTACAAAATCAGGTAAGCATAAGGTCAAATGTCATTTGATTGTTAAAGAAAAATAGGAAGTTGATGCTTGTATTGTAAAAAATAATATTGAGTTACAGAAGTGATCAATAATTTTAAAATGATATTTCGGCTCTCATTCTCACACTTCAGGACAACTGAGGAGATTTTCCAAAACTTGGAGGACAATCAAGTCCAGTTGTCTACCATGAAAGCCTCAAGGTTTGTCAAAGCCTTTGAGAAAGAGGTGGACTACTGGGAGAGAACTCTGTCTCACATCATGGAGACGACAGAGATGCTGTTGACAGTCCAGCGCCAGTGGATGTACTTGGAGGTAGCATCACACTTCACATCACTGTGATAATTAGACAATAAGGAATACAGTCATGTGCTAGAAACAAGTTTAATATGGTGTGAATTAATTCCAGAATATTTTCCTGGGTGAGGACATCAGAAAACAGTTGCCCAGAGAATCCGCAGAGTTTGATGCCATCAACAAGACATGGAAAGAAATCATGACGCGACTTTTCAACACAAAAAATGCCCAGAAGGGAACACATTATCCAGGTTTGTTTTTTATTTTATTTTTAACTACAGGCAAATTCATCATCATCTTACAAATTTTGACTGCTTTAAAGATAATTCTTCAACACCTTTCTTAATGTCCCTCCCATGTCATCTACCTAAAAAAAAGTTTACCTATTTATATTCTACATTTTCTAATACATTGGCTAGTCTGTTTTCAGAACACTTTACCTATAACATTATAGGAGAAAATTGTTTAATAAAATATATCATTAACCAATGCCCATAAATGGTTGTTTTGGTGTTGTATTATTTTTAATTGTCTACTCCTTAAATAATTAAAATTCAGAGACAAACTTTAAGCTAAAGATTAGAAATATATTTCATAAAATATTAATTTATCTTGTTTATAAGAAATCATAATACAATGAAGCATAATCTTGATGTTTTACATTTTATAATAACCTAGGCACACTTGACCAATTGAATGAGATGAATGGCAAACTGGAAGAGATTCAGAAATCTTTAGACATGTATCTGGAGACTAAGCGCCAGATCTTCCCACGATTCTACTTCCTGTCTAATGATGACCTGCTGGAGATCTTGGGTCAGTCAAAGAATCCTGAAGCCATCCAACCTCACCTCAAGAAATGTTTTGACAACATCAAGTCTCTGAAGATGAGCAAAGTAAGACAACAGTTATACCAGTTAAAGTAAATTTAGTTCACTGTCACAAAGTAAGACAACAGTTATACCTATTATAGAACATTTAGTTCACTGTCACAAAGTAACACAACAGTTATACCAATTATAGAACATTTAGTTCACTGTCACAAAGTAAGACAACACTTATACCAATTATAGAACATTTAGTTCACTGTCACAAAGTAAGACAACAGTTATACCAATTATAGAACATTTAGTTCATTGTCACAAAGTAGGCAACATTTACACCGGTTAAAGTTAAGTTAGTTCAGTCACAAAGTAAGACAACAATTATACCAGTTAAAGTACATTTAGTTCAGTCACAAAGTAAGACAAAAGTTGCACGAATTATAGAACATTTAGTTCACTGTCACAAAGTAAGACAACAGTTATACCAGTTATAGTAAATTTAGTTCACTGTCACAAAGTAAGACAGCACTTATACCTGTTATAGTAAATTTAGTTCACTGTCACAAAGCAAAACAAAAGCTCTAAAATCTATTTATTTTTAAATATTGTATTTGACCACTAGACATTTTGAATACCAAGTCATTCATTATATTAAAAAGTTATGCCTCACAAAAACTAATGATTTGAATGCTGTCTGCAATTTACAATCATTCACCAATTAAAATTTGTTCCATTTGTTTAAGGTTTATATTAAAAAAAAATATTTGACTGTTTAGGCTGGCGTCCAGCAGAAATGGGAAGCAGCCGGCATGTTTTCCTGCGAAGGGGAATATGTCGAGTTTGGCCATGCAGTGTTTCTAGAGGGCCCAGTTGAGGTAATTTCTTGATGTTTCTGTTTTTTTTTCTTTTCATATTTTTTTAAAAGTTGCTGTCAGTTAGGACTTAAAAAGAGCTTAATTAATCCAATTAATCCAGTATACCTTCACCCATTGACAATTTGTTTTTTAAAAACTTTTTACTGAGTTCAATTTACATTTTTCTCTACTTTTCAAGGCATGGTTGTGTGATGTTGAAAAAACAATGAGATGGACCCTGAAAGAAATCTTAAGGAATTGCCGCACTGCTCTGAAAAAGAATCTGAACAAAAGAGACAAATGGATCAAGGATTGGCCTGGACAGGTTCGGCTTGTTAAATTGATCTGGACAGCTTTTTTTTTTTTTTTTGTTGAGTGCTCATCCCTATTGGTGGTTTAAATCCGCCCTTCATTGTTAAATCATTATTTTATTTATACCTTTTTTGTTCACTTCAGTGTGATAACCTTTATGTAAATAATGAACTTGAAAAGTGAATTTTTACTTTTTATTTAGATGTGCATCACAGCTGGTCAGATTCAGTGGACACAGGATGTAACCAAAGCACTGGCCATCACAAAGGAAAGGGGAGACAAGAGAGCATTGAAAAGTATGAAAAAGAAACAAGTAAGATAATTTTTGGTAGTTTGGTTTCATTATGTATTTTTTTGTTTTGTTTCTTTTTACCACACTTGCGATTCTAGTTTTTTTTTTGTTTTGAAAAAAATGAGCTATCTTTTGTTATTATTTTTTGATCTATGAATTTCTAGTACTAGGCCTACTGTCATCCATAGACTATTATCACACTTTGTGTTTTGAAGTTTACTTCCCCTGCTTTCACTTGTTTTAATTCTTGTCCCCATAGGTGATCATGCTGAATAAGTTTAATTCTTGTCCCCATAGGTGATCATGCTGAATAAGTTCTCTGAAGCCATCCGCAGCAACCTCACCAAGATGCAGAGGTCAAAGATTGTTGCTGTTGTTACCATAGAAGTGCATGCCAGGGACATCATAGAGAAACTGGCCAAAACTAATGTCAATGATGTCAATTCATTTGAGTGGCTGTCTCAACTGAGACTTTACTGGGACAAAGTGAGTCGTATAAAAAATAATTGCAGAGTGCTTTCATATGCATGACAAGATAATCTCCAATTGCACAACATTTTGACATGTAATACTTAATTGTGTTGGAGGAAATCCTGTAACACTAAAGAGCTGATGATGCTCTGAATAGATTAGTATTAATGCATTTATTAAATCTTCTTCAGGTGGATAAAATAAAGTTGTCCAAATTAAATTTTAGCAGTTAATTGTTTTAAATTTATTTGATACATATTAGACTCCTTTATGGACAAAGGCTATGGAAGCAAATCGAAAAAGAAAAGCAGGTTGACGTGTAATACTTAACTATTTGGGAGGGAATCCCTAGAATTAAGAAGAAGAATAAAGAAGACTCCTTTAAACTCAATTTATGCTTACTATTCAAAAGACCTTTTAAATAGTGTAAATACAGAATTTAATCTGTAACATTTTTTGTCTTAGGCAATATATAACTTATGTTTCTTAATTCAAACATTAAAAAAAAATTAAAATGGATTTTTTATACTACAATGTTTTTCTTTTCTGACTGCAGGAGTATGATGACTGTGTAATCAAGCAGACCAACACACAGTTCCAGTACGGCTACGAGTACCTAGGTAACTCTGGGAGACTGGTCATCACACCATTGACTGACAGATGTTATGTGACACTGACCACAGCATTACACTTACATAGAGGAGGCAGTCCTAAAGGTGAGTACATACATTCAGTGTGTAGAGTGTGAGTACATACATTCAGTGTGTAGAGTGTGAGTACATACATTCAGTGTGTAGAGTGTGAGTACACACATTCAGTGTGTAGAGTGTGAGTAACATACATTCAGTGTGTAGAGTGTGAGTACATACATTCAGTGTGTAGAGTGTGAGTACATACATTCAGTGTGTAGAGTGTGAGTACACACATTCAGTGTGTAGAGTGTGAGTAACATACATTCAGTGTGTAGAGTGTGAGTACATACATTCAGTGTGTAGAGTGTGAGTACATACATTCAGTGTGTAGAGTGTGAGTACATACATTCAGTGTGTAGAGTTTAATCCAAATTATGATCTTTTAAGCTTATGACATCCTATGACTTTCATTATGGAAATCCTAGATTTGACATTAAATGCTAACTATAACAATTTAAACCACAATATTAACTAACTATGACACATTAATGTTAGTTAAGACAATATGGAAATTCTAAATATGGCATTCTAATGCTAATTATGACAATTTAAACATCATAACATTAAAATGCTAACTATGACACTCTAATGCTAGTTATGACAATTTAAACCTGACAACATCAAAATCCTTAACATTCTAATGTTAATTATCAATTCTTAATGCTATTTATGAATTTTGTCTTATGAAACTTGTGTATTACTGTCAACATGTCATTAGAAACTTGTCCATTACTGTCAACATGTCATTAGAAACTTGCCCATTATTGTTGATTGATTTGTCAACTTTTCCCCTGTATTTTAGGCCCTGCCGGGACAGGGAAAACTGAAACAGTCAAAGATTTAGGGAAAGCCCTCGGGATGTATGTCATTGTGGTCAACTGTTCTGAGGGTCTTGACTACAAGTCTATGGGCAGAATGTTTTCTGGTCTTGCTCAGGTTTGTCTGTTTGAAAAAAAAATTTTTGAATAGATTTCTAGCAAAAATTGTTTGAATAGTTGTTTTTTTGACAAGAACTGTTTAAGTAATTGTTCTTCTGTCACATATGTCTAAATAGTGTTGATTCTTTTATATTTAAACAAATGAAATTAAATTAGTGCAGAACTAATGAAGAACAACAGATTTTTTAATGAGTTCCACCTTGTTTTCAGACTGGTGCCTGGGGTTGTTTTGATGAGTTCAACCGTATCAACATTGAGGTACTGTCTGTGGTGGCCCAGCAGATTCTGTCTATACTGAGTGCCCTGGCTGCCAACTCAGAGAGATTTGTATTTGAGGGGCGGGATATTGACCTGGTCTGGTCTTGTGGGATATTCATCACCATGAACCCTGGTAGGTTTAACCATGAACCCTGGTAGGTTTAACCATGAACCCTGGTAGGTTTAACCATGAACCCTGGTAGGTTTAACCATGAACCCTGGTGAGTCTAGCCCTGCACCCTGGTAGGTTTCACCATGACCCCTGATAGGTTTAACCATGAACCCTGGTAAGTTTAACCATGAACCCTGGTGAGTCTAGCAATGAACCCTGGTGAGTCTAGCAATGAACCCTGGTATTTAACTATGAACCCTGGTGCTAGCCATGAACCCTGGTGTCTAGCCATGAACCCAGGTGTCTAGCCATGAACCCTGGTGTCTAGCCATGAACCCTGGTGTCTAGCCATGAACCCTGGTGTCTAGCCATGAACCCTGGTGAGTCTAGCCATGAACCCTGGTGAGTCTAGCGCTGAACCCTGAGTTAGTCTAGCCCTGAACCCAGGTAGGTTTAACCATGAACCCTTGTTAATCTAGTCTTGCACACTGGTATCATTCATACTGATCTCCCCTAAAGTGGCATAACTATCATGTTGTATACTTATCTCCCTTAAAGTGGCATAACTCATGTTGTTGTATACTTATCTCCCCCTAAAGTGGCATAACTCATGTTGTATACTTATCTCCCCCTAAAGTGGCATAACTCATGTAGTATACTTATCTCCCCCTAAAGTGGCATAACTCATCATGTTGTATACTTATCTCTCCCTAAAGTGGCATAACTCATGTTGTATACTTATCTCCCTTAAAGTGGCATAACTCATGTTGTATACTTATCTCCCCCTAAAGTGGCATAACTCATTATGTTGTATACTTATCTCCCCCTAAAGTGGCATAACTCATTATGTTGTATACTTATCTCCCCTAAAGTGGCATAACTCATCATGTTGTATACTTATCTCCCCCTAAAGTGGCATAACTCATCATTTTGTATACTTATCTCCCCCTAAAGTGGCATAACTCATGTTGTATACTTATCTCCCCCTAAAGTGGCATAACTCATGTTTTTGTATACTTATCTCACCTAAAGTGGCATAACTCATCATGTTGTATACTTATCTCCCCCTAAAGTGGCATAACTCATCATGTTGTTTACTTATCTCCCCCTAAAGTGGCATAACTCATGTTGTATACTTATCTCCCCCTAAAGTGGCATAACTCGTTGTATACTTATCTCCCCTAATTGGCATAACTCATCATGTTGTATACTTATCTCCCCCTAAAGTGGCATAACTATCATGTTGTATACTTATCTCCCCTTAACCCAGGCTATGCTGGTAGAACAGAGCTACCAGATAATTTGAAATCCATGTTCCGACCAATAGCCATGGTGGTCCCTGACTCCGCCCTAATTGCAGAAATTACACTTTTTGCTGAAGGCTTCAACAATACTAAGGTTGGTTGCTTGACTTTTAGATTCCACAACATTTGTAATTTTGAAATGTTTTTTTAAAGTTAACTTTGAAAAAAAATTTGTTTCTTAATTTTAAAAATGCACTATTTATTTTAAAAATTTCATTAAAAAATGTGTAAAATGTGCCCAGGTTTTAGCCAAAAAGACCTACACACTGTACAACCTGGCCATGCAACAGCTGAGTAAACAAGACCACTACGACTTCCAGCTTCGTGCCATTGTATCACTGCTCAGATACTCAGGGAGGAAGAAAAGAGCCAATCCACATCTTTCGGATGAAGAGGTAGACTGACACATCTGTGAATGCATCTTAAGACTGACACATCTCTGAATACATCTTAAGACTGACACATCTGTGAATACATCTTAAGGCAGACACATCTGAAGACTGACACATCTGTGAATACATCTTAAGACTGACACATCTGTGAATACATCTTAAGACTGACACATCTGTGAATACATCTTAAGACTGACACATCTGTCAAAACATCTTAAGACTGACACATCTGTGAATACATCTTAAGACTGACACATCTGTGAATGCATCTTAAGACTGACACATCTGTGAATACACCTTAAGGCTGACACATCTGTGAATACATCTTAAGACTGACACATCTGTGAATACATCTTAAGACTGACACATCTGTGAATACATCTTAAGACTGACACATCTGTGAATACATCTTAAGGCTGACACATCTGTGAATACATCTTAAGACTGACACATCTGTGAATACATCTTAAGACTGACACATCTGTGAATACATCTTAAGACTGACACATCTGTGAATACATCTTAAGACTGACACATCTGTGAACACACCTTAAGACTGACACATCTGTGAATACATCTTAAGACTGACACATCTGTGAATACATCTTAAGACTGACACATCTCTGAATACATCTTAAGGCTGACACATCTGAAGACTGACACATCTGTGAATACACCTTAAGACTGACACATCTGTGAATACATCTTAAGGCTGACACATCTGTGAATACATCTTAAGACTGACACATCTGTGAATACATCTTAAGACTGACACATCTGTGAATACATCTTAAGGCTGACACATCTGTGAAAACATCTTAAGACTGACACATCTGAAGACTGACACATCTGTGAATACATCTTTAGACTGACACATCTCTGAATACATCTTAAGACTGACACATCTGTCAAAACATCTTAAACATCTGTCAAATCGTCTGTGAATATTTCTCTAACTTGTGATTCTGGAGTAAACTATAGTTTGTTTAAAAGAAATTTGAACTAGAAGAATATTTTAAAGTCAATAGTAAATGTAGATTAAATTAAATTGATTAAATTGAATGATATTGAAACTAAATTTTGGAATTTCTTAATCAGAAATTTTTTCTCTCATTTATCTTGATCCAGGAACCATTTCTAATGAAAATGTTTATGATGTTTTAGATCTTACTTCTGTCAATGAAAGACATGAATCTGGCTAAACTGACGTCCATTGATTTGCCCCTGTTTAACGGAATCATGTCTGATTTGTTCCCTGGTATTGAGACGCCTGTAGTTGATTACACAAAGGTAACGTTTCAAACTTTTTTTTCTCTTCCCAAAGTTTGTGTATCTTTTCAAACTTTTTTATTCTTTGTGTATCTTTTTAATTATTTTTCCTCATCCTAAATTTTGTGTAGAACTACTTGATATTTTAACATCAGAGAAAACACAATTATTTACATCACATCCTGTTAGAAAAGTTAATAAAATTAGAGCTTTCTGTAATCTTTTAAAGGTGAAGACTGCTATTGAAGAAGAACTAAAGGAACAAAAGCTGCAAGTGAACAACCACACAGTGCTGAAGGTTGTGCAGCTGTTTGAAACCAAATCCTCTCGGCACTCTGTCATGATAGTTGGGGGGACCCAGTCGGCTAAAACAGTCACCTGGAGAGTCCTTCAAGCCACCATGGGCAGACTAAGCAAGGCAGGGGACGCTGCCTTCCAGCCAGTTAAAGTAAGTTTGTTTATAAGACAGGGGACAGCTGGTTAAAGTAAGTTTGTTTATAAGACAGGGGACAGCTGGTTAAAGTAAGTTTGTTTATAAGACAGGGGACAGCTGGTTAAAGTAAGTTTGTTTATAAGACAGGGGACAGCTGGTTAAAGTAAGTTTGTTTATAAGACGGGACAGCTGGTTAAAGTAAGTTTGTTTATAAGACAGGGGACAGCTGGTTAAAGTAAGTTTGTTTATAAGACAGGGGACAGCTGGTTAAAGTAAGTTTGTTTATAAGACAGGGGACAGCTGGTTAAAGTAAGTTTGTTTATAAGACAGGGGACAGCTGGTTTAAGTAAGTTTGTTTATAAGACAGGGGACAGCTGGTTAAAGTAAGTTTGTTTATAAGACAGGGGACAGCTGGTTAAAGTAAGTTTGTTTATAAGACAGGGGACAGCTGGTTAAAGTAAGTTTGTTTATAAGACAGGGGACAGCTGGTTAAAGTAAGTTTGTTTATAAGACAGGGGACAGCTGGTTAAAGTAAGTTTGTTTATAAGACAGGGGACAGCTGGTTAAAGTAAGTTTGTTTATAAGACAGGGGACAGCTGGTTTAAGTAAGTTTGTTTATAAGACAGGGGACAGCTGGTTAAAGTAAGTTTGTTTATAAGACAGGGGACAGCTGGTTAAAGTAAGTTTGTTTATAAGACAGGGGACAGCTGGTTAAAGTAAGTTTGTTTATAAGACAGGGGACAGCTGGTTAAAGTAAGTTTGTTTATAAGACAGGGGACAGCTGGTTAAAGTAAGTTTGTTTATAAGACAGGGGACAGCTGGTTTAAGTAAGTTTGTTTATAAGACAGGGGACAGCTGGTTAAAGTAAGTTTGTTTATAACACAGGGGACAGCTGGTTAAAGTAAGTTTGTTTATAACACAGGGGACAGCTGGTTAAAGTAAGTTTGTTTATAAGACAGGGGACAGCTGGTTAAAGTAAGTTTGTTTATAAGACAGGGGACAGCTGGTTAAAGTAAGTTTGTTTATAAGACAGGGGACAGCTGGTTAAAGTAAGTTTGTTTATAAGACTGGGGACCCTGCCTTCCGGTCAGTTAAAGTGTTAGTTTACACTAAGCTGAATATTTCCTTTTATTTAATTTTATTGGGGGTCAGTGTGGTCGAGCCGGTAAAGCTCATGGTTGTTAAAATCGAAAAGATGAGGCTTGACAGCTAGGGACAGCAACTCATATAGGAGAGACAACTCCAAAATCAAACAACTGCTGCTTTGTACTTTGTTCTTGGCTATTGAAGCAATCCAAAACAAATAGCAGGTTGAAATTGGAGTTAACTTGGCACATAAGTTGACACGTAATACTTTATTGTGTTGGAGGGAATCTCTTCCAACACAAAAAATTAAGAACTCAGAAGAAGAAGAAAGAATAATTTTATTTAGTTGTAAAAATTATTTATAAAATCAATTATAACAATTTTTAAAATTTCTATTTTTAAGTTTAATTACATTAAGCCAAATACTAATTGATTAAATTGATAAAAAATATTTTTAAAATTATTTAATTTTTAGCAAAAATTTATGAAAAAGTATTTTTTTAAAATTTAAATTACATTTAACAAAAAAAAACAACCCATTGAGGTGGGATGATTAAAGAGTTTGTTTGGTTTCAGGAATTCCCACTGAACCCTAAAGCCCTGTCACTTGGGGAGCTGTATGGAGAGTTTGATCTGAGCACAAATGAGTGGACAGATGGCGTCTTGTCTGCTGTTATGAGACAGACATGTGCAGGTGTGTGGCTTTCATTTGTCTTGTTCCGTTTGGCAAACAATTTATAGTGAAGTAAATATACATCATTTCTCATTCTTTAAATTTTCAATTGTTGTCATTCAGATTTATTATCAAAGTTTATTAAAGCCTTCACATGGTAGACTTCTGGTAAGAGTTTGGGGGTAATGGGGACAACAACCAACATTATATTTGTGTATATTTATATATTAATATATAACTAAAATCTTTATAAAATTACAATTTAAATTTAATTTTTTTTTACCAGCATCAGGTAAAAAGCCAAATGAGAAATTGATTGTTGGCTCTGTGTATATTAAATGTCCTATGTTAATCATGTTAATTGGTTGATTTTTCCTTTTCTATTGACAGATGAAAAGCTAGATGAGATATTGATTGTTAACCCTGTGTACATAAAATGTCCTATGTTAATTAGTTTTTTATTTGATTTTCTATTGACAGATGAAAAGTTAGATGAGAAATGGATCGTCTTTGATGGACCTGTGGACACGCTTTGGATTGAGAGCATGAACTCAGTCATGGACGACAACAAAATTCTGACTCTGATCAACGGAGAGCGTATCTCCATGCCGGAGCAGGTGTCCCTGTTGTTTGAGGTGGAGGATCTGTCAGTGGCCTCCCCTGCCACAGTGTCCAGGGCTGGCATGGTGTACTGCGACTACAAAGATTTGGGCTGGATGCCTTTTGTCGACTCCTGGCTCAACAGAAAAACTAACAAGGTCGGCTGAAAATTTCAAGAAGGGCTTTGGTTTTTTTTTTTGTTATTTGCTAACTGGTTGAAGTAAAAACTAAAGGGTTTCTCTTCAGGTGGAGTCAGATGTTTAAAATACTTTAACTTTCAAAATACTTTAACTATCAATACAATTTATTTAAAGTAAGGGTTAGCTAGCATATCTCTGGTTGCTAATGTAAAAGAAAGGTCACATCTTAGTAATTAATAACTGATAAATTAATTATAAATTAACATGTGTATTCTTTAAAATAATCTTTTTTTTTTTAAATTAATTCAAAACGTATGATTTCATAGTCCCCATAGTCTGGTAGTGTGAAAAAAAATACTACTCGTTATGTATTATTTCCTTGTGTAATGCGGTGAAATGCTATCTCACTGCAGTAACTTTACAATGGATTAATTTCATTTCCATCAGGCATTAGTGGAGGAACTGAGGAAATGTTTCGACAAATATGTTGTCAAGATGTTAGACTTCAAGGCCCTCAACTGCAAGGAGTTGGTGCCAATAGCAGAGTTGAATGGAGTGGCATCCCTTTGCAAACTTTTTGATGCTCTTGGCACTGTGGAAAATGGGGTAAGTTCAAGTCCATAGTTTCTTTTATTTTGTTAGATAATTTAGCTCATTTATTTATTCATTATTTTTAGTTCTATTCCAAATTAAATTTGAAATATACGAGAGTTTAAACAATTATGTATAATAATAAAAAAAAATTTCAACTTACGACAAAATCTTCTTGTTTTAATGAACACAGGTTGACCCCAATGACCAGGACACTTTCTCCAGAACTGTTGAAATTTGGTTCCAGTTCTGCCTGATCTGGTCAATCTGTAGCTCCGTGGACGAGGAAGGAAGGAAAAAAATTGACAACTATGTGCGGGAGATGGAGGGCACTTTCCCCAACAAGGACTCCATTTTTGAATACTATGTTGATGTGAAGAACAAAACCTGGCTACACTGGGAGGAGAGGCTGAAGGAAGGCTGGAAGTACAACCCTAAGTAAGTAGAGGATAAGAGTTGTAGGGGTTGTTGTTGTTGTTATAAGTATAAGATTTTACACTTATGCAGGGGATATAGTTCTATTTTAGAAGATAAAAGTTATAGGGGTCGTTATTGTTGTTGTAAGTATAAGATTTATAGACAAGTAAGGGATACAGTTCTGTTCTAGAAAAAAAAGTTGTTGGGGTCTATGTTGCTGTTCTAAGTATAAGATTTATACACTGAAGCAGGGATATAGTTCTGCTCTAAGCTTATACAAAAGTGATTAAGAATGTAATCATGTAGAGACTTCTAAGCTTTTTCAGTACACATTATAGGAATCCATGCTGTTTACTGTTATAAAAATAATGGTGTAATTGTTATATTTAATCAAAAACATTTTTTAAATTTTTAGTTCACAAATGCAAACGTCTTTGAACTCTTATTATCTTGAAATCTAATTCATTTATCTCCATATTTTTTACTGCGAATTGCTCCAATAAGTCCTAAATTAATCACAGAATGAATCATAAACATTAGAAAGTTTTTTTTTTAAATTATGGTGTCAAAAACAATTTTTGGTGACACCACCAGTTTTAAAACAAAATTTACAATTTCAGTGTGCCATTTTTCAAACTGATTGTGCCGACTGTGGATACCATCCGCTACCAGTTCCTGTGTTCTGCACTGATCAGCACACAGAACCCAGTCCTTCTGGTGGGTTCTGTGGGCACAGGAAAAACTTCTGTCATAGAGAGCACCCTCTCCAAGTTTGACAAGTCTGAATTCTCTGTGCTTTCAGTCAACATGTCTGCTCAGGTAATGTTGGTGGTGTGCTGTGTAATGTTGGTGGTGTGATGTACTGTGTAATGGTGGTGGTGTGATGTACTGTGTAATGGTGGTGTGATGTACTGTGTAATGGTGGTGGTGTGATGTACTGTGTAATGTTGGTGGCGTGATGTACTGTGTAATGTTGGTGGTGTGATGTACTGTGTAATGTTGGTGGTGTGATGTACTGTGTAATGGTGGTGGTGTGATGTACTGTGTAATGTTGGTGGTGTGATGTACTGTGTAACGTTGGTGGTGTGATGTACTGGTGGTGGTGTGATGTACTGTGTAATGGTGGTGGTGTGATGTACTGTGTAATGGTGGTGGTGTGATGTACTGTGTAATGTTGGTGGTGTGATGTACTGTGTAACGTTGGTGGTGTGATGTACTGGTGGTGGTGTGATGTACTGTGTAATGGTGGTGGTGTGATGTACTGTGTAATGGTGGTGGTGTGATGTACTGTGTAATGTTGGTGGTGTGATGTACTGTGTAATGTTGATGGTGTGATGTACTGTGTAATGTTGATGGTGTGATGTGCTGTGTAATGTTGTGGTACTGAATAGAGCATGTCAATTTGTATTGATGTTTTTATAATGGGGTGTGTAAAGCACGAATCCAATGTGAAGTTTGTTTTTATGTTAAGCAATATAAAACCAAGGATTATTCTTATATTATTATCAGCTACCTTTTTGTCAAACATTATTAAACAAAACAAGATTTAAACAAATAATTACCTTAATAAACAGTGTTTGCAGATTTAAAGATACTAAGTACAAAAAACCCATTTAAATTTGATCAACCCCAGGCAGTACTAAGTAAATTTATTCAGTTGTTTAGACCTGTGGGGTCATTAACTTGGGTGCTATGTGTTGTCAGCTTCCTACCCAGTTAAACTATGTAAGGTGCACATTAACCAAGATTTTAAAAAGGGACTTGTTTTCCTTTGTATCACATCTTTTATTTAAAGTGAATATTGAAATTATTTTAAATGTATTTAACCTCTGATATATAATATTGTGTTAATCTTGTTAAGCAAAGGTTCTTCAGTTGTTTTTTGTCTTAGTATATTCTGTATCAAAACAAGGTTAATAGAATATTGTATTTAAAATTTTAAATGCATTATTTCCCTTTGGCCACAGACTACGTCAAACCAAGTTCAGAACATCATAGAATCCCGCGTGGAGAAACGCACTAAAGGTGTGTACGTTCCACTGGGGGGTAAAAAAATGATCACATTCATGGATGACCTAAACATGCCAGCTAAGGACACTTTTGGTTCTCAGGTAAGGGTTGTTAGCTTACAAATTAGCCAAATTTAAGCTCCTCTAAATCAACAATTTAACATTTTAGGAACTTATCAGCTCAAAAATGTGATATTTTTGTAATAATGTGCTAGTCTGTACTTTGACTGTACCTTTAAAAACCTTGATAATAATGTGCTTATCTTGTACTTTGACTGTACCTTTAAAACCTTGATAATAATGTGCTTATCTGTGCTTTGACTGTACCTTTAAAAACCTTGATAATAATGTGCTTATCTTGTACTTTGACTGTACCTTTAAAACCTTGATAATAATGTGCTTATCTGTGCTTTGACTGTACCTTTAAAACCTTGATAATAATGTGCTTATCTTGTACTTTGACTGTACCTTTAAAAACCTTGATAATAATGTGCTTATCTTGTACTTTGACTGTACCTTTAAAAACCTTGATAATAATGTGCTTATCTGTGCTTTGACTGTACCATTAAAAACCTTGATAATAATGTGCTTATCTGTGCTTTGACTGTACCATTAAAATCCTTGAAATGTTTCCCTGCAGCCTCCGTTGGAGCTCATAAAACTGTGGCTGGACTACGGCTTCTGGTACGACAGAGAGAGACAGACCATCAAGTACATCAAGGACATGCTGCTTGTCAGCGCCATGGGCCCACCTGGTGGCGGCCGCATGGTCATCTCTCGACGTCTGCAGAGTCGTTTCAACCTCATCAACATGACTTTCCCACAGGTAAGTTTCAACCTTATCAACATGACTTTCCCACAGGTAAGTTTCAACCTTATCAACATGACTTTCCCACAGGTAAGTTTCAACCTTACCAACATGACTTTCCCACAGGTAAGTTTCAACCTTATCAACATGACTTTCCCACAGGTAAGTTTCTACCTCATCAACATGACTTTCCCACAGGTAAGTTTCAACCTCATCAACATGACTTTCCCACAGGTAAGTTTCAACCTTATCAACATGACTTTCCCACAGGTAAGTTTCAACTTTACCAACATGACTTTCCCACAGGTAAGTTTCAACTTTATCAACATGACTTTCCCACAGGTAAGTTTCAACTTTATCAACATGACTTTCCCACAGGTACAGTAATAATTCATTTGATATTTTACAGTTTGGTTATTTTTGTCTAGCAGTTGAGTGTTGGTGGTGCCCTAAATCAATTAAAATTGAATTTGATTTATTCTCTCACCATTACATGTTGTTCAGTAGAAACTGATGTCATTCAATGATCATGACATGTAATTCACACAGCATGAGATGTAATTAAATTATCATGATGTGCCATTCGTGTATCATGGCTTTTTATAAAGTACTCAGTATAACATGTCATCCACTCATTATGGGATGTCATCCACTCATGATGACATGTGATATAACATTGTATTGACATTCTCTACCAGGAGTCCCAGATCAAGAGAATCTTTGGCAGCATGATCAACCAGAAGCTTCAGGACTTTGAGGAGGAGGTGAAGCCCATAGGAGACATCATGACACAAGCCACCATTGAGATGTACCAGGCCATCGTCCAGAGGTTCTTACCCACCCCAACCAGGATACACTACCTCTTCAATTTAAGGGACATTTCAAAGGTAAACATTCAATTTAAGGGACATTTCAAAGGTAAACATTCAATTTTAGGGACATTTCTGAGGTAAACATTCAATTTAAGGGACATTTCAAAGGTAAACATTCAATTTTAGAGACATTTCTGAGGTAAACATTCAATTTAAGGGACATTTCAAAGGTAAACATTCAATTTTAGGGACAATTCTAAGGTAAACATTCAATTTAAGGGACATTTTTAAGGGAAACATTCAATAAAAGGGGCATTTCTGATGGACATTTCCAAGGTAGAAATGGTCATTTTATTCAAGACAACTGCACTTAACCTAAGTACCTATTAAAACAAAAATATATCTTATTTTACTGTCTTTGACTGAAATAATTTTCATTCTTCTCTTAAATCTATGATTAAGGCTGAGATTGAACATAACAATGTACTATTAGACTTTAAAAAAAACTACACTAGTCCAATTTTGTTGTTCATTCTCCTGGTTTGTTCATACTTTAATGTGGCTCATTAAATCACCACTTATAGTTGTGATACCATTAAGTTTGAGTAATTAATATAAAACTAACAATAACAGAAATCTAATAATTCTCTTCATTTTTAACGCATCTGTTTTTTTTAAAAAAAAAGTAAAGATGTTAATGTTTCATTTTTTTTTTCAAATTTGACAAGATATTTCAAGGCTTGCTAAGGGCTAACAAAAATTATCATGATACAAAGCATGCCATGACAAGGCTTTGGATACATGAATGCTTCAGGTTAGTCACACCTTTGTTAAAAACCTGGCTACTTTGATATGTTTTTAAAACGAGTTAAACAGCTCTTATCTTGATACATTGTATTTAAGTGTGAATATTTGAAGACCACTTAATAACTTTTAAAATCGTATTTCATATTTTTTCAGAGTATTTTCAGATCGATTGATAGACTCAAAGGACAATAATGCTTTTATTGAACTTCTCTCTGAAAAACTTGGAGTCTTGTTTGACCAGACATACCATAACATTTGTCACAACAAAATACCTCCACTGTTTGGTTAGTGAACTTAAGCATACCTTGACTTTTTGTTAACACTATTGTAAAATCCATCAGATCTATGGGTTGTTTTTTTATAACTTGAAAATATCTTGAATTTATTGTAACCTTACAGTAAAATACATTGATGTTATGGTAAATTTATGGTAAAATACCTAATATATTTATACTTGCAGTAAAGGTCTTAAAGACAAAAGTTTCAACTATTTACTTAATCCTGTATAAACTATATTCATCTGAGATACTTTATGCACCCAGAGAAAGTGTATGAAAACAAGTTTTAATTTAATTATTTAACCTTTTTAAAACTGTATAGGAGATTTCATGCACCCAGAGAATGTGTATGAAAAGTTTGAATAAATTATTGAACCTTTTTAAAACTTTGTGTAGGAGACTTTATGCACCCAGAGAATGTGTATGAAGAGTTTGAATAAATTATTGAACCTTTTTAAAACTTTGTGTAGGAGACTTCATGCACCCAGAGAATGTGTATGAAGACATCCAGCATGCGGAGAAGTTGAAGAAGTTCATGCTGGAGCAGCTCAATGACTACAACAACACACCCAACACTGTGTCTATGGACCTAGTGCTCTTCAGAGATGCCATTGAACACAGTGAGTTCTACATCCAATTTTTCCCAAATATTTCTGTACTGTGATCTGCTCATATTTTTCTTCCATCACTTGTGTTTTGACTTTTGTTAAAATCACTATTTTCATGCTACCACTTATTAAGAAATATTTTTCTTTAGTTTCCAAGATTGTGATTGGGCAGCCCTTAGGAAATTTTTCAGTTTTGTTTCCAAGATTGTGTGTCATTCGACAGCCCTAGGGAACTTTAAATATTTATATTTTTGTCTAGTTTCCAAGATTGTGTATGTGATTAGACAGCCCCAAATTTTTAAAAATACTTATATTTTTGTCTAGTTTCCAAGATTGTGCGTGTGATTAGACAGCCCAAATTTTAAAAAAAATTTATATTTTTGTCTAGTTTCCAAGATTGTGCGTGTGATTAGACAGCCCAAAATAAAAAAAAAAATTTTCTATTTTTGTCTAGTTTCCAAGATTGTGCGTGTGATTAGACAGCCCAAATTTTTTTTAAAAATTATATTTTTGTCTAGTCTCCAAGATTGTGCGTGTGATTAGACAGCCCAAAATATAAAAATATTTCTATTTTTGTCTAGTTTCCAAGATTGTGTATGTGATTAGACAGCCCCAAATTTTTAAAAATACTTATATTTTTGTCTAGTTTCCAAGATTGTGCGTGTGATTAGACAGCCCAAAATAAAAAATATTTATATTTTTGTCTAGTTTCCAAGATTGTGCGATTAGACAGCCCAAAATTTAAAAATTTATATTTTTGTTAAGTTTCCAAGATTTTGTATGTGATTAGACAGCCCCAAATAAAAAAAAATGTATATTTTTGTCAAGTTTCCAAGATTGTGCGTGTGATAAGACAGCCCCGAGGCAACATGCTGCTGATTGGTATTGGTGGCAGTGGTCGTCAGAGCTTGACCAGGCTTGCGTCTTTCTTGTGTGACTATTCAGTCTTCCAAATTGAAGTCAGCAAGATCTACAGAAAACAGGAGTTCAGAGATGGTATGCTCTTTTTTTTTTTTTATAAATTTTATTTATAATTTTATTGGCTGTTTTTCTAATTGAAAAGTGTTTGTTAAAATTAGAAGTAACATAATTAAATCTCTGAGGATCAGCAACTTAAATGATGTTTGAATCTTCACAGTTATGTTATTTAGGCTTTTTGATTCTTAGAGAAACTTTTGTGTTTTATTGTTGAGCTATAATAATAGAATCCTAATACTTGTTCCTCTGTTTTGTGAGTTAAAAATTGACAATTGCAGATTTGAAAAAGCTGTACTCTCTAGCTGGGGTTACCAACAAACCCACAGTTTTCTTATTCAATGACATCCAGGCTGTTGAGGAGGATTTCTTTGAAGATATAAACAATATCTTGAGCAGTGGAGAAGTACCCAACTTGTACAAGAGTGATGAATTTGAAGAGGTTTGTGGGTTAAGGAACTTTTTTATAAAATGTTTTTTTTTTAAGCCAAATTAATTTTTTATATTAAATTTAATTTTCTTAAATTTTTTCTAGAATATTTTTCTTAAATCTTTATTATTTATGTTTGATAATCCTTTATCTAAAATTAATTAGGCCTTTAAAAATTGTAATTAGGTCAAAAACGCCCTAATGGACGATGTGAAAAAACTTGGACTGGATGAGAGCACCCAAAGTGTTTTTAATTTCCTGATTGACAGAGTGCGAGCAAACCTTCATGTTGTCCTCTGTATGAGCCCAATAGGAGAAGCTTTCAGGTCAGGGCTTGTTTCATTTGATGTATTACGGCTTGTTGTATTGCATGTATTACGGCTTGTTGTATTGCATGTATTACGGCATGCGTTATTTGATGTATTACGGCTTGCTGTATTTGATGTATTATGGCTTCCTGTATTTGATGTATAACGGCTTGCTTTATTTGATGTAGTACAGGTTTGTGGAGTCTGACAATGATCTTTCCCTGATTTTTGTGCGAATTGTTGTTTTTTTCAGAAACCGCATGAGAATGTTCCCAGCGTTTGTCAACTGTACGACCATTGATTGGTTCAGTGAGTGGCCGGCTGAGGCTCTACTAGAAGTGGCTGACAAGTACCTGGTTGACATGACTTTGGGGACTGATGAAGCTGTAAGTTGGTCCCACCCACTACCCCACCCCCTTACCCCAACATCCACCCATTGATTCAGCCTCAGCTAAAAATGACAGACAAATATGTAGTTGGCATGACTCTAGAGAATGATGAAACTGTAAGTTGGTTTTTAACCACAACACCATCCCATCCTCTACCTCTGTGGGTGTGGCTGGCATTGGTTGACAAATATGTAGTTACCATGACACTAGGAATGATCAAGCTGTCAGTCTCAACCCCTTACACACCTCATCCTTTGAGCATTTGTTGACTACAGCCAATGATCACTGAATGAGAAAACTAATACAGCCAATGACTGACTTAGTGATAGACCAGATCAGCTGTTGTTACAAACTAGATCACTGAATGAGAAAATATATACTGACTGTGAGTTACTAACTCTTAGGAATACATTACACCAACAGTGCTGAATTTTCTGCTCAGAATATTTTGTTTGTTTTCTTGTATGCTCTTGTGGTGATTTTTTTTATCATATGATTTTTATTGCTAGTATTTGTTTTTATTGAACCATCTAACAAAAATAAAAATATTTAATAAATTTTATTTAAACATTTTTTCACACAGGATAAGGAACGCTACAATTTGGTAAGACACTATTTAACACTTGCGTTTATTATATCATTTTTAAACACAAACTTTTTTTTTTATTTACCAAACTTTATTATTTTAAAAAAATAATTTTTAAATTACATTACTAAGAGCTGTATTTTTTTAGAAGTTTGTCATCGTTGCTCCCATTGTAGGACAAGAACAAACACGCCCTGGCCCAGATGTTTACCATCATGCACAAGTCAGTGTCTGAGTTCTCCAGCAAGATGTTTGAAGAAATGAAGCGCCACAACTACGTCACACCCACTAACTACTTAGAGCTGGTAGCTGGCTATAAAAAGTAATTTTGATCTTCTTGTTTAGAAGTTGTTTTGTAAATGTATATTATTGTTGAAAAGATACATTTAATATGCTTCACCCTTTTTAAGTAGAAAAATTTTGTTAAGGGTCGTCCATAAATGACGTCACACTGGTAGAGAGGGAGGGGGGTCCGTAATTTTGTGACGGTGTGTGATGAGGGGGAGGGGGGGGGGGGGGGGTTCAGATGGTGCGACGTCACACTTTTGCATTATAAAAAAGCAATGTTAGAAAACGAATTTTAGCAGTTATTTTGTGTTTTAGAAAACTGTTTTAATAAATTGTAATAACAATTGATTAAAATACTCTATTTTGACAGAGTTCAGACAAGATTTTGGAAAAAAATATAGCTGTTTAAAAAAATTCAATTCAATTTTGAGGGGGGGGTTGTAGACTGAGGTGTGACGTCATTTTAGGGGGGGGGGTCTGGCTTTTGTGATGACGTGTGATGGAGGGGAGGGGGGGGGAGGTAAAAATCGTCCAAAAAATGGTGACGTCATTTATGGATGACCCCTTAGACATATTACCTAAGTAAGACATGATGTAGAAAATCCTTTAAATATTATAATAAACTAAAACATTATTACTTACATTTTATTAAACCAATAAAACTTTTTAAAAATTTCAACAATAATTCTACAATAAATTAACCTCTCATAATTAGCTCTTGAAAAAAATGTACAATCCCGAAGGGTTTAACTTTTGGGTTCTACATGTGTTTGTCCGTGTTAGGCTGCTGTATGAAAAGGCCAAGGAACTGACTGAAGGCAGGGATAAACTCCGGAATGGTCTGAGTAAGATCGATGACACCAGGGAAAAAGTTGAGAAGATGAAAGTGGAGTTGGAGGACGCTAAGCTGAAAGTGGCGGCCTACCAAAAGCAGTGCGATGAATTCCTCAAGACTCTAGTCCAACAGAAGAGAGAAGCTGATGAGCAACAGAAGGTAAATATTTGAAGGAAAGATAACTCTAAACATTTATTTTGTTGACCTGGACTTATTAACCCATATTATCCCAAGGTCTCAAATTTTTATAATTTTTTTATATGGTTTAGCTTTTGGGCACTGAATGAAGGAATGACTATAGATTTTTTTTTAAATCAATACTTTTTTAAATATCGATTTTTAAAAAACGGCCCATAAATGGGACGCTAGCAACGAACGGCCCTATGTACATTTATTGAAAAATAAAATCATTTATCACGAAATATGGCTAATCACGCGAAAATTAAGCTGTATACTGATTGTGTATTGTTAGACCAATGATTACATTGTTTAGAACAGCTAAAAATACTGATACTTTTCAATTGGGTTAGCCATACCATGGTCTAAAATGCAGAAATTATGTTCAAAAGTCTAGTTTTCTTTCAATCTAGCATCCATCAAAGTGAAATAAGTAAAGCTGTGACTAGTACATCTAATTATACACACATGATCACAAATATTGTTATTATTCATCGAAACTGTAATATAATTAAATATAAAGAATTGATTTTGGGGGGGGGGGTACTTGAAATTTTCAGGGGGGGTGGACTTAAATTTCAGGGGGAGGGTGGACACTGGTAAAAGTATGTTTTCTATATAAATTCCATTTTGTTCTGGGGGCAGAGCCCCCCGCCCCCCTCCTCCGAAATGATGCCTGAAAGAAACTCTGCCCTCAGTGAATTTGCAAAAGACGATCCGGTCCAGTCCCAGATGTCATCCAGCCAACTTCTCTTTTGTTACCCTCCCTATCCCCCCCCCCCTCTCAGGCGTACATTAGGACATCAGACATCTTATTTCTAGGGCAGGGATCCGTCTCTTTGGGCCTGTATTGAGTGTTTATGGCTCTTATCTATGTATGCAACTCACTATTCGAACAGCCCCCAATCTAGCACCAGGAATCTTGTCGGCCTTTTGGATGTCGGCCTTTTGGCAGTCGTCCTTTTGTCTTGTCGGCCTTTTGTCTTGTCGGCCTTTTGTCCATGTTGGCCTTTTGTCCGTGTCGGCCTTTTGTCCATGTCGGCCTTTTGTTCATGTCGGCCTTTTGTCCGTGTCGGCCTTTTGTCCGTGTCGGCCTTTTGTCCATGTCGGCCTTTTGTCCAGATCCCGTTGCTAGCATCCCACTTATGCGACGCTTGTTGTACACTTGATATAACGAAGTAGTAAAAAAAATTGTTATTCTTAAATTTTTATCAGATAGAAATATGGTACTGCTACAAGTTTCAAATGTATTGTGCACTTAAAATGTTAATATTTTAGAAGATATGCATTTTCCTGTGCGCATGTTTTCTTTTTTCCGCCATTTTGACAAGTCCTGCAAATCCGGCGCTATAACATTTTTCTAAATATTTTTTTCCACAAAACACACACACATTCAATAGTCTAGCCATTTTCAAATACATTGAAACATAATTTGTGTTTTAACTAGTTTTTAATAAATTTTAACATTTTTTTTTACAAGCGTCCCATAAGTGGGACGCTAGCAGAATATGGGTTAAATCCAGGTCAAAAAAATAAATGTTTAGAATTAAGTTTGAAATTATTATTTTCTTCTAGTTAGTTAATAATAGCACTAGCAGGCATATTAATCTGTAGTTTCTGTTATATAAGTTGTATAGCCTAATAAAATACTAATATTGTGTTGATAAGACTATTCTAACACAATGTTTAGTGAACTAAAACTGTGTGTACACTAACTAAAAACTGCTCTGTTGATCACCAGTCTGTAGCTCAGAAGTCTGAGAGAATCAAGGAAGAAGAGGTCAAATGCCAGCAGATGGCAGATGTGGCTCAGGCTGACCTTAACGAGGCTCTACCTGCACTGGATGAAGCTAACAAGGTTTTTACAAAATTTCATTTTTTTTACACCTCAAATCTTTTTCTAGAAATAATAAGCCACCTTGCAATGTAAAAAATTAAAAATATGTCATTACTCTTCATAAAAGTATTTTTCAAATTACTTGTGCCAATAGTTTTTAATTTGTTTACATTTTTTATTTGTTTATAACAAAATATAACTATTTCATATCATATTAGCTTATATTTTTTTATAAACAAATAAAAAATTTATATATGAAATAGTTATGTATCAATACAAGAAAGTTTTAACTTTTAAAAAATATCTCTAATATTTTCCATCTGACAGGCCCTGGAGTCTCTGAACAAAAAAGACATGACTGAAATCAAATCTTACGGCCGACCACCTGCCCTGGTTGAGAAGGTCATGGAATCTGTCATGATTCTACGAGGCAATGACCCAACTTGGGCCGAGGCTAAAAAACAGCTAGGTGGGGGTTAAAGTGACTTCCTTTGCTCTTTTCAAATGTGTAATAAAATAATGAATTTAAATAAACTTGCATATATTAGTAACTTTGGCTGAGTTTTAAAAAGAACTAGGTGGGGGATAATATATATATCACTCTAGAATCAACATATATATATATATACATTTACATACTAGTTGTTATATTTAATGTTTGAATTTTGGTCCATAGATAAATAGTCTAAAGAATAATTTTAAAATGTAAATATTTTAATAGTTTATATAATTGGGGTTTTTTTTTAGGTTTTTTTTTTTGTCAAAATATTTTTTAAAATTATAAAGTGTGCTTTTTCTATTTTGTTTGATAAAAGACTTCTATTGCTTATAATTTTCTTTTATTTTCATTGTGTAGGTGACCAAAACTTCCTGAAACAACTGATGAACTTTGACAAAGACAACATCACAGACCGCGTCTTGAAGAAAATTGGCCAGTACGTCGCGCAGGCCGATTTCCACCCAGAAATAATTGGCCGTGTGTCTCTGGCCGCCAAGTCTCTGTGTATGTGGGTGAGGGCCATGGAGATGTACGGCCGTATATACAGAGTGGTGGAGCCCAAGAGGCAGAGGCTGAATGCTGCCATGGCTGTACTCAGGGAAAAGCAGGCGGCACTGGCTGATGCTAAAGCTAAACTAGCTGAGGTAAGAGCTATACACTGCTATCACTTGGAGGGATTCCCCTCAAATTTTTATTAAATTTATAATTTTATACTTAAGTAGGCTAACCTACTTGTTAAAAATCAAAGTAAATGTAATATACTGATACATCAGTTTAACTATCAGTATCACCTTCCATATTATTTATTTTACTTTTTAATTTAGTGTAATTCTTTAATTAATTATATATAAGACATATTTAAAACTGTTATTTAAAATTGAACTCCTTGTTAAAGAGTGTTTTATAACTTATTAAAAAAAAGTATATTACTAACTTTTAAAAAAAATTGTTTACAAAGTAACTTATTATCTCAGATGGTCTGTTATCACAGAATTATAAACAGTTAGTAAACTCTATTCACTTTTCACTGATCATTGGTTGTTGATTACAGGTAGAGGCCAAGATGGCGGAGCTGAAGGTGTTGTATGACGAAAAACTGGCCCAAAAGGAAGAGCTGAAGAAAAAAGCTGAACACACGGAACTCATGTTAGACAGAGCTCAGAAACTGGTCTCTGGGTTGGCAGGGGAGAGAATTCGTTGGGAACAAACTGTCAAGGCACGTTCAACATGTTGTAGACATACTTTTTTAAAAAGTTTTTTCATTTTTACTTTCTCGTATATACGAAGTATAGAGAAAGTATTGTAATCGTGCACAAAAATCACTTGAAATTTTAACTATTTTCACCGTATTATACCTCAGTCCTTCATCACATCCGAAGTATAGAGGACTTATTTTAATCGGGCAAAAATTATCAATCCAGATTTATCAAAATTAAGAGGTTTTATGCGTAATGCAGTCTGAAAATCTGGGCTTTGCAATTCTGTCCGTATGTCTGTGTGTGTGTCTGTGTGTGTGTCCGTGTGTAAACACGATAACTTGAGTACCGTTACAGCTAGGTTGATGAAATTTCATATATAAGTATTTTATCAAAATCGTAGATCCGTATCAACTTTTGAGCGATTTCCGATAACCGGAAGTGGTACTTTTTGTACTTTGAATTTTTCAAAAGCCTATAACTTGTGTACTATTTCAGATACGTAAATGAAATTTCACATGTAAGTAAAAGATCTAATACTCTACCTTCTGTTAAATTTTGAGTAATTTCCGTTGACCGGAAGTAGTAATTTACGCTACTTCCAATTTCTCAAAAAACTAATGTAAATTTTTAAAGTACTAATAATATTGCGCACTATTATGCACTTTTTCATTGCGCGTTCACTTGGTGTGCAATTCTTTTGTCTACGAGATTTTATTCTATTTTTAAAAGTTTAAGTATTTAAAATGGATTAAAAATCATGTCTATAGCCAGAGTTCCAATCCCCTGTTGTTTTATATAAGAATATTCGAGAAAGTTTAGGGGAGATCACTCCCGGTTTATTATATTGAGACATCTGGGAAAGTCATTCAGTTTTTTAAAATACATAGGGCTTAACCACATACACTCCATGCCATCTTAACACATAGAATTCTGTAAAAAAAAGTGGAGATATTTGGCAGCTCAAAGGAAATAACTTAGATACATACTTGAACCTCCTTTGAAATTGTATTGATACAAAACCTTGATATTTTTAAACAGTAGAAACCACATTCAAGTTATTGTTTTAGCGTAGTCGAGGATGCCCACAGAGCATGCCACAATACGTTTAGGATCTGTGGTGAAAGAAAAATGTACTATGATGTATGTTGTCTGTGTCTTAGGATCTGGAAGAACGTATGGGCCACCTGGTAGGTGACGTCCTGATTGCTGCTGCCTTCCTGTCCTATATGGGCCCATTCCTGTCAACATACAGAGAGGAGATTGTCAACACGAGGTGGATGACCGAGGTCAGGCTTGTTGTTATCTCCCCTCACTGGTTGCTTACACTTTATCCAGTCCAACTTATCTCCTCGCTAGTTCTGTTGCTTGTCCCATTCAACTTTTACTTTATCCAGTCCAACATATCTCCTCACAAGTTCTGTTGCTTGTCCCATCCAACTTTTTACTTCTAATAGACTGATGTGCGACTAAAAACCGGTGTGTTTTACAAATAACATTCAAGTTTACACACTAATTTTAAACATAACTCTCTCGGTAAGGTTGAAAGACTTGTACCTAATTTTCTAATCAATCGTACATTAACAATTCAAGTTTCTTGAAATGAGCCATTGAATCCTTTTTCACACTGTATACATTTTTACATATTTTTGCATCAAATTGTTTTTTTACTAATGAATATAGTTTCTATAGTTTAGCGTCCAACATTTTTAATTGAATATTTTGTGACTGCTACAGGTGAAAAAGCTCGGCATACCTGTGGGTTCAGAATTTAGTTTCTGTAATTTCATGTCCAATCCAACATTTTTAATTGAATATTTTGTGACTGCTACAGGTGAAAAAGCTCGGCATACCTGTGGGTTCAGAATTTAGTTTCTGTAATTTCATGTCCAATCCAACATTTTTAATTGAATATTTTGTGACTGCTACAGGTGAAAAAGCTCGGCATACCTGTGGGTTCAGAATTTAGTTTCTGTAATTTCATGTCCAATCCAACATTTTTAATTGAATATTTTGTGACTGCTACCGGTGAAAAAGCTCGGCATACCTGTGGGTTCAGAATTTAGTTTCTGTAATTTCATGTCCAATCCAACATTTTTAATTGAATATTTTGTGACTGCTACAGGTGAAAAAGCTCGGCATACCTGTGGGTTCAGAATTTAGTTTCTGTAATTTCATGTCCAATCCAACATTTTTAATTGAATATTTTGTGACTGCTACAGGTGAAAAAGCTCAGCGTACCTGTGGTTTCAGAATTTAGTTTCTGTAATTTCATGTCCAATCCAACATTTTTAATTAAAAATTTTGTGACTGCTACAGGTGAAAAAGCTCGGCATACCTGTGGGTTCAGAATTTAGTTTCTGTAATTTCATGTCCAATCCAACATTTTTAATTGAATATTTTGTGACTGCTACAGGTGAAAAAGCTCGGCATACCTGTGGGTTCAGAATTTAGTTTCTGTAATTTCATGGCCAAACCAACACAAGTACGAGACTGGAACATTCAGGGTCTTCCCAGTGATGCCTTTTCTACAGAAAATGGTGTCATAGTCACCAGAGGTCAGAGATGGCCTCTTATGGTTGACCCTCAAGGTCAAGCTATCAAATGGATCAAAAACATGGAACACACCCAGGTACTTGAAAATAGGATTTGTTAAAAAAAAATTTTTAACACTAATAAGAGTTTGTTGCTAAAATCATAGCAAGTACAAAGTTTGTAAAAAATCAGCTGTGAGTAAACGTCCACTCCACAAACCAGGCAATAAATTAAAGCAATATTTGTATTGCAATATTGTATTTAAATTGGTACTTTTTCATGCGGAATAAATTTTCACCCTCTCTCTTTGAAAATGTAAAAAATTACTTCCTTAATAAGCATTTTAAAAAAAAAACGTAATTTTAAACATTATTTTTTAATATGTTATGCAGTAAATACAGCATTCTTATCTGTAAATTAAATATCTTATCTAAAATTAATGCTATAAAGTTGTTTTTTTATATCAAGCATAAAAAACTTTTCAATTTTGATCTGTTTTATTAGGGTCTGAAAGTTGTAGATCTACAAATGCACGACTACATGCGTACACTAGAAGGAGCTGTACAGTTTGGCATGCCTGTCCTGCTCCAAAATGTGCAAGAAAAATTAGACCCCTCACTTGATCCCATTCTCAACAAGTCACTCATGAAAATAGGTACAGTGAAACTAAAATTAGATTTAAAGAATAATTGTTAGAGGTATTATAAAACTTTGGTTTAATTGCTTAGTTTTGAGATAGAAATAAATGTAAAGATTTAGTTGTGATGAGAGTGACTGACATGTGGTGATTGCCCACCAGGTGGCGCCAACATCATGAAGCTTGGAGACAAAGAGATTGAATACAACGAGGCCTTCAGGTTTTACATCACAACCAAGATGAGCAACCCTCACTACACCCCTGAGATCTCCACTAAGGCCACCATTGTCAACTTCGCTGTCAAGGAACAAGGTCAGCATGGTTGTCTAGTGAGCTGTCATTTGTAGATTTGATGTATGTCCTGATGTTCACATATTGCACTACATGGCTTTACATTCAGATGGTGTCTTTACATTCAGATGTTGTCATGTTGTCTTTACATTTAGATGTTGTCTTTACATTCAGATGTTGTCTTTACATTCAGATGTTGTCTTTACATTCAGATGTTGTCTTTACATTCAGATGTTGTCTTTACATTCAGATGTTGTCTTTACATTTAGATGTTGTCTTTACATTCAGATGTTGTCTTTACATTCAGATGTTGTCTTTACATTCAGATGTTGTCATGTTGTCTTTACATTTAGATGTTGTCTTTACATTCAGATGTTGTCTTTACATTCAGATGTTGTCTTTACATTCAGATGTTGTCATGTTGTCTTTACATTTAGATGTTGTCTTTACATTCAGATGTTGTCATGTTGTCTTTACATTTAGATGTTGTCTTTACATTCAGATGTTGTCATGTTGTCTTTACATTCAGATGTTGTCATGTTATCTTTACATTCAGCTGTTGTCTTTACATTCAGATGTTGTCATGTTGTCTTTACATTCAGATGTTGTCTTTACATTCAGATGTTGTCTTTACATTCAGATGTTGTCATGTTGTCTTTACATTCAGAAGTTGTCTTTACATTCAGATGTTGTCTTTACATTCAGATGTTGTCATGTTGTCTTTACATTCAGAAGTTGTCATGTGGTCTTCCCATCTATGTTTGAAACAATGTTAAGTGTACATCTCATCAAGCCTAGTCTAACAATCCCCTGGGGTAAACCTTGTTGCACTACATCTCTCATCAAGCCTAGTCTAACAATCCCCTGATGTAAACCTTGTTGCACTACATCTCTCATCAAGCCTAGTCTAACAATCCCCTGATGTAAACCTTGTTGCACTACATCTCTCATCAAGCCTAGTCTAACAATCCCCTGATGTAAACCTTGTTGCACTACATCTCTCATCAAGCCTAGTCTAACAATCCCCTGTTGTAAACCTTGTTGCACTACATCTCTCATCAAGCCTAGTCTAACAATTCCCTGATGTAAACCTTGTTGCACTACATCTTTCATCAAGCCTAGTCTAACAATCCCCTGATGTAAACCTTGTTGCACTACATCTCTCATCAAGCCTAGTCTAACAATCCCCTGATGTAAACCTTGTTGCACTACATCTCTCATCAAGCCTAGTCTAACAATGCCCTGGGGTAAACCTTGTTGCACTACATCTCTCATCAAGCCTAGTCTAACAATCCCCTGGGGTAAACCTTGTTGCACTACATCTCTCATCAAGCCTAGTCTAACAATCCCCTGTTGTAAACCTTGTTGCACTACATCTCTCATCAAGCCTAGTCTAACAATCCCCTGTTGTAAACAATGTTAAGTGATCATCTCATCAAGCCTAGTCTAACAATCCCCTGATGTAAACCTTGTTGCACTACATCTCTCATCAAGCCTAGTCTAACAATCCCCTGATGTAAACCTTGTTGCACTACATCTCTCATCAAGCCTAGTCTAACAATCCCCTGGTGTAAACCTTGTTGCACTACATCTCTCATCAAGCCTAGTCTAACAATCCCCTGGGGTAAACCTTGTTGCACTACATCTCTCATCAAGCCTAGTCTAACAATCCCCTGTTGTAAACCTTGTTGCACTACATCTCTCATCAAGCCTAGTCTAACAATCCCCTGTTGTAAACAATGTTAAGTGATCATCTCTCATCAAGCCTAGTCTAACAATCCCCTGTTGTAAACCTTGTTGCACTACATCTCTCATCAAGCCTAGTCTAACAATCCCCTGGTGTAAACCTTGTTGCACTACATCTCTCATCAAGCCTAGTCTAACAATCCCCTGGGGTAAACCTTGTTGCACTACATCTCTCATCAAGCCTAGTCTAACAATCCCCTGTTGTAAACCTTGTTGCACTACATCTCTCATCAAGCCTAGTCTAACAATCCCCTGTTGTAAACAATGTTAAGTGATCATCTCATCAAGCCTAGTCTAACAATCCCCTGGGGTAAACCTTCTTGCACTACATCTCTCATCAAGCCTAGTCTAACAATCCCCTGATGTAAACCTTGTTGCACTACATCTCTCATCAAACCTAGTCTAACAATCCCCTGATGTAAACCTTGTTGCACTACATCTCTCATCAAGCCTAGTCTAACAATCCCCTGATGTAAACCTTGTTAAGTGATCATCTCATCAAGCCTAGTCTAACAATCCCCTGGGGTAAACCTTGTTGCACTACATCTCTCATCAAGCCTAGTCCAACAATCCCCTGATGTAAACCTTGTTGCACTACATCTCTCATCAAGCCTAGTCTAACAATCCCCTGTTGTAAACCTTGTTGCACTACATCTCTCATCAAGCCTAGTCTAACGATCCCCTGATGTAAACCTTGTTGCACTACATCTCTCATCAAGCCTAGTCTAACAATCCCCTGATGTAAACCTTGTTAGTTAAGTGATCATCTCATCAAGCCTAGTCTAACAATCCCCTGTTGTAAACAATGTTAAGTGATCATCTCTCATCAAGCCTAGTCTAACAATCCCCTGTTTTAAACCTTGTTGCACTACATCTCTCATCAAGCCTAGTCTAACAATCCCCTGATGTAAACCTTCTTGCACTACATCTCTCATCAAGCCTAGTCTAACAATCCCCTGATGTAAACCTTGTTGCACTACATCTCTCATCAAGCCTAGTCTAACAATCCCCTGTTGTAAACCTTGTTGCACTACATCTCTCATCAAGCCTAGTCTAACAATCCCCTGATGTAAACCTTGTTGCACTACATCTTTCATCAAGCCTAGTCTAACAATCCCCTGATGTAAACCTTGTTGCACTACATCTCTCATCAAACCTAGTCTAACAATCCCCTGATGTAAACCTTGTTGCACTACATCTCTCATCAAGCCTAGTCTAACAATCCCCTGATGTAAACCTTGTTAAGTGATCATCTCATCAAGCCTAGTCTAACAATTCCCTGTTGTAAACAATGTTAAGTGATCATCTCATCAAGCCTAGTCTAACAATCCCCTGATGTAAACCTTGTTGCACTACATCTCTCATCAAGCCTAGTCTAACAATCCCCTGTTGTAAACCTTGTTGCACTACATCTCTCATCAAGCCTAGTCTAACAATCCCCTGATGTAAACCTTGTTGCTCTACATCTCTCATCAAGCCTAGTCTAACAATCCCCTGTTGTAAACCTTGTTGCACTACATCTCTCATCAAGCCTAGTCTAACAATCCCCTGATGTAAACCTTGTTGCACTACATCTCTCATCAAGCCTAGTCTAACAATCCCCTGATGTAAACCTTGTTGCACTACATCTCTCATCAAGCCTAGTCTAACAATCCCCTGTTGTAAACCTTGTTGCACTACATCTCTCATCAAGCCTAGTCTAACAATCCCCTGATGTAAACCTTGTTGCACTACATCTTTCATCAAGCCTAGTCTAACAATCCCCTGATGTAAACCTTGTTGCACTACATCTCTCATCAAGCCTAGTCTAACAATCCCCTGTTGTAAACAATGTTAAGTGATCATCTCATCAAGCCTAGTCTAACAATCCCCTGGTGTAAACCTTGTTGCACTACATCTCTCATCAAGCCTAGTCTAACAATCCCCTGTTGTAAACCTTGTTGCACTACATCTCTCATCAAGCCTAGTCTAACAATCCCCTGGTGTAAACAATGTTAAGTGATCATCTCTCATCAAGCCTAGTCTAACAATCCCCTGTTGTAAACCTTGTTGCACTACATCTCTCATCAAGCCTAGTCTAACAATCCCCTGATGTAAACCTTGTTGCACTACATCTTTCATCAAGCCTAGTCTAACAATCCCCTGATGTAAACAATGTTAAGTGATCATCTCATCAAGCCTAGTCTAACAATCCCCTGGTGTAAACCTTGTTGCACTACATCTCTCATCAAGCCTAGTCTAACAATCCCCTGATGTAAACCTTATTGCACTACATCTCTCATCAAGCCTAGTCTAACAATCCCCTGTTGTAAACCTTGTTGCACTACATCTCTCATCAAGCCTAGTCTAACAATCCCCTGTTGTAAACCTTGTTGCACTACATCTCTCATCAAGCCTAGTCTAACAATCCCCTGTTGTAAACCTTGTTGCACTACATCTCTCATCAAGCCTAGTCTAACAATCCCCTGATGTAAACCTTGTTAAGTGATCATCTCATCAAGCCTAGTCTAACAATCCCCTGTTGTAAACAATGTTAAGTGATCATCTCTCATCAAGCCTAGTCTAACAATCCCCTGATGTAAACAATGTTAAGTGATCATCTCTCATCAAGCCTAGTCTAACAATCCCCTGTTGTAAACAATATTAAGTGATCATCTCTCATCAAGCCTAGTCTAACAATCCCCTGATGTAAACCTTGTTGCTCTACATCTCTCATCAAGCCTAGTCTAACAATCCCCTGTTGTAAACAATGTTAAGTGATCATCTCTCATCAAGCCTAGTCTAACAATCCCCTGATGTAAACCTTATTGCTCTACATCTCTCATCAAGCCTAGTCTAACAATCCCCTGTTGTAAACCTTGTTGCACTACATCTCTCATCAAGCCTAGTCTAACAATCCCCTGATGTAAACCTTCTTAAGTGATCATCTCATCAAGCCTAGTCTAACAATCCCCTGTTGTAAACAATGTTAAGTGATCATCTCTCATCAAGCCTAGTCTAACAATCCCCTGTTGTAAACCTTGTTGCACTACATCTCTCATCAAGCCTAGTCTAACAATCCCCTGTTGTAAACCTTGTTGCACTACATCTCTCATCAAGCCTAGTCTAACAATCCCCTGTTGTAAACCTTGTTGCACTACATCTCTCATCAAGCCTAGTCTAACAATTCCCTGATGTAAACCTTGTTGCACTACATCTTTCATCAAGCCTAGTCTAACAATCCCCTGATGTAAACCTTGTTGCACTACATCTCTCATCACGCCTAGTCTAACAATCCCCTGATGTAAACCTTGTTGCACTACATCTCTCATCAAGCCTAGTCTAACAATCCCCTGATGTAAACCTTGTTGCACTATATCTCTCATCAAGCCTAGTCTAACAATCCCCTGATGTAAACCTTGTTAAGTGATCATCTCTCATCAAGCCTAGTCTAACAATCCCCTGTTGTAAACAATGTTAAGTGATCATCTCATCAAGCCTAGTCTAACAATCCCCTGATGTAAACCTTGTTGCACTACATCTCTCATCAAGCCTAGTCTAACAATCCCCTGGTGTAAACCTTGTTGCACTACATCTCTCATCAAGCCTAGTCTAACAATCCCCTGTTGTAAACCTTGTTGCACTACATCTCTCATCAAGCCTAGTCTAACAATCCCCTGATGTAAACCTTGTTGCACTACATCTCTCATCAAGCCTAGTCTAACAATCCCCTGTTGTAAACCTTGTTAAGTGATCATCTCTCATCAAGCCTAGTCTAACAATCCCCTGTTGTAAACAATGTTAAGTGATCATCTCATCAAGCCTAGTCTAACAATCCCCTGATGTAAACAATGTTAAGTGATCATCTCATCAAGCCTAGTCTAACAATCCCCTGTTGTAAACGTTGTTGCACTACATCTCTCATCAAGCCTAGTCTAACAATCCCCTGATGTAAACCTTTTTGCACTACATCTTTCATCAAGCCTAGTCTAACAATCCCCTGATGTAAACCTTGTTGCACTACATCTCTCATCAAGCCTAGTCCAACAATCCCCTGTTGTAAACAATGTTAAGTGATCATCTCATCAAGCCTAGTCTAACAATCCCCTGGTGTAAACCTTGTTGCACTACATCTCTCATCAAGCCTAGTCTAACAATCCCCTGTTGTAAACCTTGTTGCACTACATCTCTCATCAAGCCTAGTGTAACAATCCCCTGTTGTAAACCTTGTTGCACTACATCTCTCATCAAGCCTAGTCTAACAATCCCCTGTTGTAAACCTTGTTAAGTGATCATCTCATCAAGCCTAGTCTAACAATCCCCTGATGTAAACAATGTTAAGTGATCATCTCATCAAGCCTAGTCTAACAATCCCCTGGTGTAAACCTTGTTGCACTACATCTCTCATCAAGCCTAGTCTAACAATCCCCTGTTGTAAACAATGTTAAGTGATCATCTCATCAAGCCTAGTCTAACAATCCCCTGATGTAAACCTTGTTGCACTACATCTCTCATCAAGCCTAGTCTAACAATCCCCTGTTGTAAACAATGTTAAGTGATCATCTCATCAAGCCTAGTCTAACAATCCCCTGGTGTAAACCTTGTTGCACTACATCTCTCATCAAGCCTAGTCTAACAATCCCCTGTTGTAAACCTTGTTGCACTACATCTCTCATCAAGCCTAGTGTAACAATCCCCTGTTGTAAACCTTGTTGCACTACATCTCTCATCAAGCCTAGTCTAACAATCCCCTGTTGTAAACCTTGTTAAGTGATCATCTCATCAAGCCTAGTCTAACAATCCCCTGATGTAAACAATGTTAAGTGATCATCTCATCAAGCCTAGTCTAACAATCCCCTGGTGTAAACCTTGTTGCACTACATCTCTCATCAAGCCTAGTCTAACAATCCCCTGTTGTAAACAATGTTAAGTGATCATCTCATCAAGCCTAGTCTAACAATCCCCTGATGTAAACCTTGTTGCACTACATCTCTCATCAAGCCTAGTCTAACAATCCCCTGTTGTAAACAATGTTAAGTGATCATCTCATCAAGCCTAGTCTAACAATCCCCTGGTGTAAACCTTGTTGCACTACATCTCTCATCAAGCCTAGTCTAACAATCCCCTGTTGTAAACCTTGTTGCACTACATCTCTCATCAAGCCTAGTCTAACAATCCCCTGATGTAAACAATGTTAAGTGATCATCTCATCAAGCCTAGTCTAACAATCCCCTGATGTAAACCTTGTTGCATGCAGGTCTGGAGGCCCAGCTGCTGGGTATTGTGGTCAGGAAGGAGAGGCCAGAACTGGAGGAGCAGAAAGACAGCCTGGTCAGAAGTATCGCAGCAGGCAAGAAGAAACTGGTGGAGTGTGAGGACGAAATTCTCAGGTAAGTTTTGTTACTTCACCTGGATACTTCTCAGGTAATTTTGTTACCTCACCTTGATAGGTAAGTTTTGTTACTTCACCTGGATAATTCTCAGGTAAGTTTTTGTTACTTCACCTGGGTAATTCTCAGGTAAGTTTTGTTACTTCACCTGGGTAAATTCTCAGGTAAGTTTTGACACATTTCTTTACCTGGACAATTCTCAGGTAAGATATGGCACTTTTCATTACCTAAACTGGATATTTTTACTCAAATAGTCTTTGTATGTTATAATTTTTTTCTTGTATTTAAAAATTCTTAATACCATTATTCATTTCCTTTCTTATAGAACCATGATAATCTCTTTAAAAACCTAAGCACCAATTAATGTGTTGTAGATTACTGAATGAGACGAAAGGATCTCTGCTTGATGACGCTCAGCTGGTCAACACACTGCAGCTGTCAAAGACAACCTCTCAAGAGGTCACCGAGTCTGTGACCATCGCTGAACAGACTGAAATCAAGATTGATGCTGCTCGTGAAGTGAGTTCTTTCCCTTTGACCTATAGAAAAATATCACTGATAAATTGAATACCATTATTTTTTAAATCTTGTTTTCTAAAATTGAATCTAATCTTTTTGTAAATTATTTTTAAAATTTTGTTTTCTAAACTTGAATCTGTAATATTTTTGTAAATTATTTTTGAAACTTTGTTTTCTAAACTTGAATCTATAATCTTTTTATAAATTATTTTTTAAATGGTTTTCTAAACTTGAATCTGCAATCTTTTTATAGATTATTTTTAAATTTTTTTTTTTTTAATCTTGATTCTGTAGCCTTTTTATAAATTATTTTTAAATTTTGTTTTCTAAACTTGAATCTGTAATTTGTTTCTATTCAGGGCTACAGGCCATGTGCACAAAGGGCATCAACATTGTTCTTTGTACTCAATGACATGGGTCGCATTGACCCCATGTACCAGTTCTCACTGGATTCCTACATAGACCTGTTCACCATCTCCATAGAGAAGTCCCAGAGGTCCTCAAAACTGGACGAGAGGATCGTCAATTTGAATGAGTACCACACGTATGCTGTGTACAGGTGAGGCTTCACTCATTCACTGGTGTAGGGAAAACTTGAGTCAGGTAGATGACTGTTTGGGACCTTATTGGTACATAGATCAGGTCAAGAAGGTGACTTTTTGGGACCTGATTGGTACATAGATCAGGTCAAGTAGAGTTCATCTGTTACTATGCCTGCAGCAGATGAAGGAACTGAGTGGTCAGCACTATGACCAGCTCCCTGACCTTTAGTCAAGTTCTTACCAGAGCTGGGTGGACACAAACAGAACTAAACAAAACAGGCTAGCAAATGTGTCCTCTACCACTCCCACATTGTTTATTCTATCATGAGCAAGTCAAGAATGGGAACGGCTTAGATATACTAAAATATTTGTATATCAAAAAGATAGGTGTATCAAATTACTAATATTGACTAAGAAATTAAAGTCTAATTCAGATGTAAATGTGATGCTGTCAAACTAGAAACCTTAAAAAAAATGGCAGCATGGAAAATCAAACCCTAAAAATTATAATTTGGATACAAAATTAGTTTTATATTGGCTTGTGAATACTTTGTAACAACATTTTTTTTACCTCTGGGGTTGAACCTGGTTGAACTTTGCCCTTTAAACCTGCACAGGTTCACATGCCGAGGTCTGTTTGAGAAACACAAATTACTCTTCTCCTTCCAAATGTGTGCTAAAATCCTGGAGCATGCGGGCAAGCTGAACATGGATGAGTACAACTTCTTCCTGAGGGGAGGAATTGTGAGTCAAAGGCTTTCCTTTTATCTTACAGTGTTGATTTTAAAACGGGGGGGGGGGGGTATTTTATTTTACATTTTACAATGGGGATATCAATTAATTATTAAAATGTTAAATGAAAAAATAAGCAGTACACTCCACCCATTATACTTGTGTCTGTGTGTATCAGTCCACCAACCTTTAGATTGTTTGTGTTTGTATCAGTCCACCAACCTTTAGATTGTTTGTGTTTGTATCAATCCACCAACCTTTAGATTGTTTGTGTTTGTGTTTGAGTCCACCAACCTTTAGATTGTTTGTGTTTGTGTTTGAGTCCACCAACCATTAAATTGTTTGTGTGTATCAGTCCACCAACCATTAAATTGTTTGTGTTTGTGTTTGAGTCCACCAACCATTAAATTGTTTGTGTGTATCAGTCCACCAACCATTAAATTGTTTGTGTTTGTGCTTGAGTCCACCAACCATTAAATTGTTTGTGTTTGTGTTTGAGTCCACCAACCATTAAATTGTTTGTGTTTGTGTTTGAGTCCACCAACCATTAAATTGTTTGTGTTTGTGTTTGAGTCCACCAACCATTAAATTGTTTGTGTTTGTGTTTGAGTCCACCAACCATTAGATTGTTTGTGTTTGTGTGTATGTCCAGTCGTCCACAAACCATTAGATTGTTTGTGTTGTGTATGAGTCCACCACCCATTAGATTGTTTGTGTTGTTTCCCCTGCCTCATGTCCTGGACAGAGAGAACCAGATGGACAACCCCTGCACCAACTGGCTGTCTGATTGGATTGTTTGTGTTGTGTATGAGTCCATCAACCATTAGATTGTTTGTGTTGTGTATGAGTCCACCAACCATTAAATTGTTTGTGTTGCTTCCCCTGCCTCAGGTCCTGGACAGAGAGAACCAGATGGACAACCCCTGCACCAACTGGCTGTCTGACTGGATTGTTTGTGTTGTGTATGAGTCCATCAACCATTAAATTGTTTGTGTTGTTTCCCCTGCCTCAGGTCCTGGACAGAGAGAACCAGATGGACAACCCCTGCACCAACTGGCTGTCTGACTGGATTGTTTGTGTTGTGTATGAGTCCATCAACCATTAAATTGTTTGTGTTGTTTCCCCTGCCTCAGGTCCTGGAAAGAGAGAACCAGATGGACAACCCCTGCACCAACTGGCTGTCTGACTGGATTGTTTGTGTTGTGTATGAGTCCATCAACCATTAGATTGTTTGTGTTGTGTATGAGTCCATCAACCATTAGATTGTTTGTGTTGTGTATGAGTCCATCAACCATTAGATTGTTTGTGTTGTGTATGAGTCCATCAACCATTAGATTGTTTGTGTTGTGTATGAGTCCATCAACCATTAGATTGTTTGTGTTGTGTATGAGTCCATCAACCATTAGATTGTTTGTGTTGTGTATGAGTCCATCAACCATTAGATTGTTTGTGTTGTGTATGAGTCCATCAACCATTAAATTGTTTGTGTTGTTTCCCCTGCCTCAGGTCCTGGACAGAGAGAACCAGATGGACAACCCCTGCACCAACTGGCTGTCTGACTGGATTGTTTGTGTTGTGTATGAGTCCATCAACCATTAGATTGTTTGTGTTGTTTCCCCTGCCTCAGGTCCTGGACAGAGAGAACCAGATGGACAACCCCTGCACCAACTGGCTGTCTGACTGGATTGTTTGTGTTGTGTATGAGTCCACCACCCATTAAATTGTTTGTGTTGTTTCCCCTGCCTCAGGTCCTGGACAGAGAGAACCAGATGGACAACCCCTGCACCAACTGGCTGTCTGACAACTCCTGGGACAACATCACAGAGCTGGACAAGCTGACCAACTTCCATGGGATCATCACTTCCTTTGAGCAGTACGCCAGAGACTGGAACCTTTGGTATATTTCTGCGGAGCCGGAGTCTACGCCTTTGCCAGGTAAAACTTTTTTCAGGTTTGATATTTTGGCATTTAGTGATGTGACCCTTTTGGATCTGGTGATCAATAGAGTAGATGAAGTAGAGTTCAGCTTTTTCTGTGATCTCAGCAATCAAAGGAACAGTGTGATGAGTTGTATTCCCAGCTGCCTTTACATTAGTTAATGTAAGTCAGGTACTTATAAGAGCTGGGAGGGCTCAAGGATGTGCTACAGACCAAATTCTGGGATCTGAACTTGAGACTTACAGGTTAGCAGTAGTGTACTCTACTGTCTGACCTCATTATACAGTACATATAAACAGCTATCATTTGGCCAAATGTGTGTTTGTTTTCTGTTCACATTATTTATGTGGAAACTACAGTAAGTATATTTAACCAAATTAATATCACCTTACTTGGACATTGAATTTCTGTCATTAATTTAATTTTAAAATATATTTTTATTAATGAATTTTAAAAAATATCCAGCTGAATGGGATAACGCGTGTAACGAGCTCCAGCGGATGTTGATTGTCCGCTCCCTAAGGCCAGACAGGGTCTCCTTCTGTGCCACTTCATTCATCATCAACAACCTGGGGTCAAAGTTCACAGAGCCTCCTGTCCTTGACATGCAGGCAGTTGTTGAAGACTCCACCACAAGAACTCCCCTGATCTTTGTGCTGTCCCCTGGAGTGGTGAGTCACACATTCCATTACATAGCAAACTTGTGGCACAATAAAAACATGGAACTAACACTTCACAGTACAATCATATCAAATTTATAACTAACTTGTGCCATTGTAAAAACATGGAGCAAACATTTTACAGTTAAAAAATATCAAACTTAAAACTTTTAGACATTATAAAAACATGGAGTAAAAATGTTACAGTTCAATAATATCCAACTTATAATTAATCTTAGACATTATAAAAACACACAAAAACTTCAGCAGCTTATATTAGAACTTAAATGGAAAGAACTTTTTAAAACTGTATATGTCATATGTCTTTAAACTTGATATGTGTAAGGTTATCTATTGTTGTTGCATATGGTATAAAAAAAAGATGTAATGATTCCAGGATCCCACAAGTGGTCTGCTACAACTTGCTGAGAACAGTGGGATGGCAGCAAGGTTCCATGCCTTGTCCCTAGGTCAAGGTCAGGCTCCTATTGCTACAAGAATGATCAAAGAGGGAGTTAAAGAGGTATAACAAATGTTTCATGTAACATGTATCTTATGTATTGCCACATAATGACTTCATAAGCTAGGGTCATAGGAACAGATGAACTTAGTTTCAGCTCCACTTTAGACTAGCAAGTCTGAGAATCAGAATTGATGCAATACCAAGCCAAACACGTTCGTGTGTGTCCCGTCCACTCCACCCCCTGGCAAGTGGGTGTTCCTGGCCAACTGCCCAACTTACACATACATATGTAATGTTGCTTCCTGTCCCCACCCCCAGGGTACGTGAGTGTTCCAAACCACCCCCACACACATGTGTAATGTTACTTCCTATCCCCACCTCCAGGGCAAGTGAGTGTTCCTGGCCAACTGCCCCCCCCCCACACATGTGTAATGTTGCTTCCTGTCCCCACCCTCAGGGCAAGTGGGTGTTCCTGGCAAACTGTCAACCCCCCCCCCCCACACTCACAGATGTGTAATGTTGCTTCCTGTCCCCACCCCAGGGCAAGTGGGTGTTCCTAGCCAACTGCCCCCCCCCCCCACAGATGTGTAATGTTGCTTCCTGTCCCCACCCCCAGGGCAAGTGGGTGTTCCTGGCAAACTGTCACCCCCCCCCCCCACACTCACAGATGTGTAATGTTGCTTCCTGTCCCCACCCCAGGGCAAGTGGGTGTTCCTGGCCAACTGCCCCCCCTCACACACACATATGTAATGTTGCTTCCTGTCCCCACCCCCAGGGCAAGTGGGTGTTCCTGGCCAACTGCCCCCCCCCCACAGATGTGTAATGTTGCTTCCTGTCCCCACCCCCAGGGCAAGTGGGTGTTCCTGGCCAACTGCCACCCCCCTCACACACATGTGTAATGTTGCTTCCTATCCCCACCCCCAGGGCAAGTGGGTGTTCCTGGCCAACTGCCACCCCCCCCCCCCCACACACATGTGTAATGTTGCTTCCGGTCCCTACCCCCAGGGCAAGTGGGTGTTCCTGGCCAACTGCCACCCCCCCTCACACCTACACATGTGTAATGTTGCTTCCTATCCCCACCCCCAGGGCAAGTGGGTGTTCTGGCCAACTGCCCCTCCCCCCCCCCCACACATGTGTAATGTTGCTTCCTGTCCCCACCCCCAGGGCAAGTGGGTGTTCCTGGCCAACTGCCACCCCTCCCCCCACCCCCCACCCCACATGTGTAATGTTGCTTCTTGTCCCCACCCCCAGGGCAAGTGGGTGTTCCTGGCCAACTGCCCCCCCCCCCCCACAGATGTGTAATGTTGCTTCCTGTCCCTACCCCCAGGGCAAGTGGGTGTTCCTGGCCAACTGCCTACCCCCCCACACATGTGTAATGTTGCTTCCTGTCCCTACCCCCAGGGCAAGTGGGTGTTCCTGGCCAACTGCCACCCACCCCACACATGTGTATTGTTGCTTTGTATCCCCACCCCCAGGGCAAGTGGGTGTTCCTGGCCAACTGCCACCTCTCCCTGAGCTGGATGCCACAGCTGGACAAACTTGTGGAGCAGCTCCAAATAGAAGAGCCGCACCCTGAGTTCCGGTTGTGGTTGTCCTCGTCGCCCCACCCAGAGTTCCCAATATCCATCCTACAGACCGGCATCAAGATGACCACAGAGCCCCCTAAGGTAACTCTTGTCTTTCATTTTGTGATAAGATTATTTTTTTTAATGTTAAGTTCAATTTCACAACATTCATATTTTAAAACTTAATGCAATTTATTTTAATTACTAATGTTACATGTATTGCTTATATTACCAGCATCCATAATCAATTATCCCATTCATTGTCTAAACTAGCCATCCTTTATCCAAAAAAAAATTCATAAAATAGTATCTTAGTCACCTAAATTTAATTTATACTTCATCAGCTATTCTCACAATAAGTTCCTCCTATTCTCACAATAATTGTTCTAATTTCCAATCTGTTCTTTCCACTTTGACTTCACCTATTCTTCCACTTGTTCAACTCCACTGAGACTGTGCTGACTGTAATACTCTCCAACAGGGGCTAAAGGCCAACATGAAGCGTCTGTACAACCTCATCACAGAGCAACAGTTCCACCGCTGCCACAAGCAGGAGAAGTATAAAAAACTCCTCTTCACTCTCTGCTTCTTCCACTCCATTCTACTGGAGAGGAAGAAGTTCCTCATGCTGGGCTGGAACATTGCTTATGAATTTAACGACTCAGATTTTGAGGTACCTCTCTTCAACATTTTAAAATTTCAGCTACTGTTGTTGTTTTTTTTTTTTGCTCAGCTTCATAAAGATCAAATAATATTTTTACAATAATTATCACTATTCTAAATTTTTAAAAGTCATTATATTTACTTTGAAAATGCTTGCTGTTATACTTTAAGTTTTATTAACGATAAAATAATATTTTTCATTGAAATACTTTTTTGAAATAATAAGCTCAATAATATAGGTCTATAAAAAAAGAAATATCTATTTTTTTTTTTGTGAATAAAATTTACTGAAATAATAATTTTTAAAATATACAACATTTTAAATGCAATAAAATGATTATGAGATATCAAAAAAAAAAAATTAAGTTGTTGAGAATAGTTTGAATGGATTCATTTTTTTTTAACCTTTTTTCTTTTGTGGCCAGGTTTCTGAAAATCTGCTGTCTATTTATCTGGATGGTTATGATGAAACACCATGGGAAGCCCTGAAATATTTGATTGCAAACATCAACTACGGTGGACACGTGACAGATGACTGGGATAGACGCTTGCTCATGACTTACATTGCTGACTACATGAACGAATCTGTTCTTACAGTTCCATTCAACAAGTAATATTTCTTTTTGAGTCAGAGATTCTCTTTATTATTTAAACTAGCCGTCCCGGCTAGGCGCTGCACTGGCCTCTTTATAAAACCTATCTGTAAGGGACCATGACTTTTGTGTTTATTATGCAGCATATACCCGGCATTGCCCAGCTTTAGGAAATATATTACTTTTCGAATTAACCCTAACCACATCAAAACCAAAACACACAAAACATGCAAACATAACGCAAACACAAATGAAAACCCAAACACAAAGAAAACCCAAACACAAAGAAAACACAAACATAAAAGCAAACCCAAACACAAAGAAAACACAAACATAAAAGCAAACACAAACACCAACGCAAACACAAGTTAAAAAACAAACAGAAACACAAACACAAATACAAATAGAAACGCAAACCTAAACACAAACAATAACTCAAATAATGCAACATAAACACAAACATTAACACATAGTGCTCACGGTCTAGTCCGTAGCACCCAATCGCACCTGCCGGTCGCCGGCGGAACTGCCTGATTTAACTTAGTAAACGACTATAATACCCCAACTTATCCATAGGCTTTTGCACTTAAACGAACGTAAGAGTTATAGCACTCACTGGAAGGCCGGGGACACCAAATAGCACTCTGTTGGGACGTCAGACGACACCCTGGATTCGATTTAGTGAAAGTCTATAATACTCCCAGCTTGTCCTCAAACACAGAGAATATTTAGGAGCGGCCAGAGAATATTTAGGAGCGGCGTCTAAACTGTTTAAAATAAAAATGAGTAAACTGTACGTTCAGTGTATAAAATAAACATAAGGCAGTATTTAAATTTACCTACCACAGTGCATTTTATCAATCCATGCTAATGTATGTAATTATTTTCTTTCAAGCACCAAAACAAACAAATATTTTTTCCAGATTTTTTTTTGTAAAGGGAAGTAATTTTTTTTCCGTGATCTTTCAAGGGAAGTAAATTACCAATTAAAGGAACAAAAGAAAATAATTTCAAACATAATTTAAGTTATTGTGATTTTCTTTGATTTTGTTCATTCTTAATGATGTTAATTAAAATAGTAAGTTTGGAAATTGAAACTTTTTTTTAACAAAACTATCAATATTAATTTTTTAAATAATATATTTAGAGAATAAACACTTTAAGAGTATTACTTCACTTGTCCCACATACTGTCAGGTTTGACAAGAAAGTTTGTTCATATAATAAGATTCATCTTGTGGAATTTTTTACTTTATGCATATCTGTTCACTGTCCTTGGTCACATACTTCGAGCTTTATATATTAAAATCAATCTATCTTTATCTAAATATACTGTAAAGTATTAATAGTGACAAAATCTAATCTAATATTTACAAAGTGCATGGTGTACCATGTGAACATCAAACCAGTCTTTATTTAAACACAACTTGTCTTTCTAACTGGCTGCAAGCAAATGTTTGAAAGCTAGTTCATCACCTCAGTCTCTTTATATGAGAGTGGCCATTATAGATTCTCTCATTTTCTTACTTCACAAAGTACTGTAAAGAGTACCATGTTAGCTTTAGGGCACTACCTTCCTTCTTGTAGTTAAAGAACTCTGTAATGTACAATAAATACCTTAGACAAACACCTTCAACCTTCTCCATCTTTTAGTTATTTTAAATTTTTGTAAATAGATTACAATAGAATATATGGACCTGTGATATGAGTTTAAAGCTGTATTTACACATACTTTATTTTTTCCTACTGACCCTGGGATAATGGGTTCATTCTGGTCATTGAAAGATTTACCAAGAATCATAAAGATATCCTTGAATCCCAAGATTCACTTAGGATGATTATCATTAAGATATCCTTGAATCCCAAAATTCACTTAGGATGATTATCACTAAGATATCCTTGAATCCCACCCATCTCCAACATAAAGGAAGTAGGTTTTGGCAACCCAAAGTGGCCATTTTGCCCTGGTCCAAACTTTGGTTTTAAATGTCAGATCTGTTTTCCTTGCTCTTATGCAGATGGTGGAATAAACTATTAAATAAGTGATATCATTATCTTATCCAGGCTGTCCTCACTACCAACATATTACATCCCCAAAGATGGCCCCCTCTCATCCTACAAAGAGTATGTCAGCATGCTGCCCAATGTGGATCACCCAGGTAACTTTACATTATCACCAGATTTTTTTCAAAACTTCATCTTAACTCTGTAAGACTGGAGTGAAGCAACACTTCCAGTGTTCAATATTTCCTCTATTTACTCCATTGTTTTGAAGGATCTACATTTGTATTCATATACCTAAGTCATAATATTGCTACAGCAGTTGATTTTATTTGTTTTTACGACTTGTAGTTTTCTCTTTTGTTTGATTTTTTTATTATATAGAAATATTTTTAAAAAACTGCACCAATAATGCAACATTTTTAAACACTGCAGGAACCTACACAGACACCGCATCTTATAATATAATGAACCAAAATTAATGCATTTATTCTAATTTTTTAATGGGAAAAGTAAAACTTTAAAGTTTATCACTTTTTTGTGTCTAAGAGGGCTTTCACACATAGGGTCAGGAAAGATGTTATTGCCCTATTAGTGGTTTTAAAGAGGGGTAATATACATTATGTGATGAGTGCAATTAGATTTCAACCTAATGAATCCCACGCTAACCATGTGTTATTAGATTTTAACCTTATGAATTCCCCACTAATCATGTGTAATTAGATTTTAACTTAATGAATCCCACTAACGATGTGTCCATCTACACATTATTTGATGAGTGTAACTAGATTTTAACCTTATGAATCCCACACTAACCATGTGTAATTAGATTTTAACCTTATGAATCCCACACTAACCATGTGTAATTAGATTTTAACCTAATGAATCCCACACTAACGATGTGTCCATCAACACATTATTTGATGAGTGAAATTAGATTTTAACCTAATGAATCCCGCTAACGATGTGTCCATAAACACATTATTTGATGAGTGGAACTAGATTTTAACCTAATGAATCCCACACTAACCATGTGTAATTAGATTTTAACCTAATGAATCCCACTAATGATGTGTCCATCAACACATTATTTGATGAGTGTAATTAGATTTTAACCTAATGAATCCCACACTAATCATGTGTAATTAGATTTTAACCTAATGAATCCCACTAACGATGTATCCACCAACAGAGGCGTTTGGCCAACATCCCAACGCTGACATCTCCTCTCAGATCCAGGAGACCAGGCTACTCTTTGACACTCTACTGTCTCTACAGCCTCAAGTCTCAAGCTCAGGCGGGGAGAGCAGGGAGGACAAGGTACACTTTAGTTAGGGGGGGGAGGACAAGGTACACTTTAGTGAGACATGGGGGGAGGGTAGAAATTAATTGAAATGAAAGCCAAAATACTTCATTTAATGGTAGACCTATATGTAAAGTTTAGTCTTCTAAGAAATTTATTGTCTTATTCATTGAGATGATGTTGTAATATTTTTCCCTAAGGTGTTGGAGTTAGCAGCCAACATTTTCAAACAAATTCCAGAGAACATGGATTATGATGGCACGGCAAAGATATTGTCAGTGGATCCATCTCCACTCAATGTGGTTTTGTTGCAAGAGGTAAGACTTGCCTCCCTTGCTATACATTGTTAAAAGTAAGCTTTGCTTCCCTTTCTCTTCTTTCTCTTCTCTACATTTTTACATAGTCACAATTTCAAATAAGCCAGTTGTAGGTGAGGTCTTTCATGCTAGTTGAAGGAGTAGAAGGGACATGATGAGTTGAGACCACTTTCACATTAGTAGGACAGAAACTTATTTTAATAGTTTATTTTTAACTCCTTAAAAAACAACAAAATTATCTAGGCCACTACATGGACTGGTTTTGATTCAGCATCAAAAATTTTCTGTGTGTTTGTTCTTCAGATCCAACGTTACAACATACTCCATACATTTTCTCTCTACAGATCCAACGTTACAACATACAACATACATTTTCTCTCTACAGATCCAACGTTACAACATACCCCATACATTTTCTCTCTACAGATCCAACGTTACAACATACTCCATACATTTTCTCTCTACAGATCCAACGTTACAACATACAACATACATTTTGTCTCTACAGATCCAACGTTACAACATACAACATACAACATACTCCATACATTTTCTCTCTACAGATCCAACGTTACAACATACTCCATACATTTTCTCTCTACAGATCCAACGTTACAACATACTCCATACATTTTGTCTCTACAGATCCAACATTACAACATACTCCATACATTTTGTCTCTACAGATCCAACATTACAACATACAACATACTCCATACATTTTCTCTCTACAGATCCAACGTTACAACATACAACATACATTTTCTCTCTACAGATCCAACGTTACAACATACAACATACATTTAGATCCAACGTTACAACATACTCCATACATTTTCTCTCTACAGATCCAACGTTACAACATACAACATACATTTAGATCCAACGTTACAACATACTCCATACATTTTCTCTCTACAGATCCAACGTTACAACATACAACATACAACATACTCCATACATTTTCTCTCTACAGATCCAACGTTACAACATACTCCTGAATGAAATCAGATCATCTCTGACAGCTCTTGAGAAAGGTATTCAAGGTCTTGTGGTGCTCACTGTTGACCTTGAGAATATCTTCAACTGTATTTTTGATGGCAGGGTACCCCCACTGTGGGAGAAGGTAAAATAACTATCCAGCTGTTTTACAGGTGAAACATGTGGCATAAAGACAAAGTTTAATTATGTTAGAGAATAATTTTGTCAATTTACTTGGGACAGCGTGGCCTAGCAGTGTAGAGCTAACCCAAAAGTCTGGGTTCAAGTCAGTGCCCTGAGTCCACCCAGCTCTAATGGGTACCTAACTCACATTAGGGAAAGCTAATGTAGCTGATCACACTATCCCTTCATATTTTGAGGTCACCAAAACAGGTGAACTCTACTTGCCCCATGCACTGTCAGGTTCCAAGATGGAGCTAACTTGTTTATTTTTAGACAGATATTGTATTTTGGTTGTTTTTTTATATATATTTTTTTAGTAGTTATTACTTTTTAAATAAATTTTATTTTCAGGCAGGAATTATTTTTTAAAATATGTTATAACATATATTCAGGCAAATTGTATTTAAAGATTTTAATTGTACTTTTAGGCTTATAATTCTATGAAGCCCCTGGCAGCATGGACAAGAGATTTGGTGCAGAGAGTGGACATGTTTGCCAAATGGGCCTCACTGGCCAAACCACCCTGGGTCTTCTGGATGTCTGCTTTCACTTTCCCCACAGGATTTTTGACAGCAGTGCTACAAACAGCTGCTCGACAGAATAGTGTAAGTTTATGCTTCAGTTTTAGTTGGTTTTTTTTTTAATAAACTTTTTGTGTCATTTTGGGTTTTTTAAGATTAACTTTAGTTTTAAAATATCGTTATATTAGGTTTGAAAATTAGATTAACTTAAGAAAAAGTTGGAAACGTAATATAAGGGTTTGATTTTTAGAACATCTCTAATTACCTTTTCTATATAGTATATTAGTTTTGGTTTAACTTTAATTATCAGTTGTTTTTTTAAGTGAATGTTTTTCCAATGCATCCATTTTTATTTCCAACTTTTGTCTTTATTGAAGTCTTAGTCTATTGAAGTAATTATGTTGAGGGAGATCACACATACTCAAAGCTTGACTTAAGCATTGTTACATTACCAAAGTCTAGCTTTTTTAAATGTAGTTGTGGAGATTTAGTACTGGGATACCCTTCAACACCCACCCCACTTCATAGTTTAAATACCTTGATTTCTCTGACTTAGTTCACTGCTCTGTATAAAATTACCCTTGCTGGTTCTCTGTATATTAGTTCTAATTCTTCATATTTTTATAATCAGTTTTCTTTTTAGCTTAATTATAATTAATTACAATTTTTATCTTGATTAGCTTTCTGTGGATTCATTATCCTGGGAGTTTATTCCTCAAACTGTTGATGACAGTAATTTGACTGGACCTGCTAAGGTAAGAAATAAACAGGTTTTTGTTTTGAATTTAAAGGGGGAAAAAGAGCATATTATAATTTAAGCAAAAATGACAGAAAAAGCAATTTGTGCTGACTCTAATAAATATTTGATGATATTTACACCAACATGAGAATTGTAATGGTAAAACAATTGGAATTCTAATTTACATAATTCACATGACAAATATGAGTAGCAAACCTATTTTCAAGCATGTGAAAACATTATATCCAGCAGAATAGTACTTTTGTATTGTAGAAAAGTTTCCGTGGTTAGAGATTTGGGTACACTTCACCATTGAAGGATAATAATTTTTCTTTAGTATTAATTTTGTCTCAAGATGTATTTTGGTTGGCAATACAGAAGAATTTCCCCACCACTTCCCTGGAAAAAATTTCCCCACTTCCCTGGGAAGAATTTCTCCCTGCTTACAATGCCCCCCACACCCCTGCTGACACAGATTACAATGTCCCCCTCCTTCTGTTGGCAGGATGGTGTGTACGTCAAGGGGTTGTTCCTACAAGGTGCAGGTTGGGACAAGAAGAACGCAGTCCTAGTTGAAGCCAACCCTATGCAGCTGGTGTGCAGCATGCCAACCATCCAGTTCAAACCTGTCGAGTTCAAAAAGAAAGGCAGCAAAGGTAAAATAAAAATCTGGAGCTGTATGTCCTATCAGTTAGTCAAATATATCAAGGGGATGAGCAAATGATTGTCTCTGTTGTGTAAAACAGCATTAAGATATAGTTGTAGTTGATAGAGTTGACTTTACAAATTGTGGTTTGACATAAGTTTACTGTAAATATAGCTGGCTGGATTTCATTAAATGACAATTTTAGCCCTTCATAACTCAATCACGTGTAAATGAAAGACAATGTTTACTTCATATTAGACAGATATTGTGTAACAGATATTCTTTGACATAATTTGTATGACAGATATCTTACATTGGAAAATAAAATCTAAAATGTGATTCTTTACATTCAGGGCCTAAAAAGAAGAAAGAAAGTAAATACGATAAAAAATTCATTTTTATTCACAGTTTAATTATATTTTAGTGATTTCTATTTTTATTGATATTTTGTACATTGCAATTACTGTTTGAGATTTTAGTATTAAATTTTGGCATTAATAGGGTTATTCTTTTCAGCTTTTAGAAGGTTAAAATATTTGTGTTTTCTCTACAAAACAGCTAACTTAATTTGTAACTAATGATCATAAATTTCTATATCATTCACATCTGTATTCACTTTGAATTAGGTATTGGTGAATAACAATACCTAATTAAAATATGTAATGCAGAGTGTAAAAATATTTGTTATTGTTAATCTAAGTGTATTTAATTATTATACACCTTTGCTTGTAGAAATATATCTTGCTCATCTGTTTACTTTAAAGGATTTATTTAGTTAAAAGAGTTGAAAACATTCTAAAGAAAACTGGTTGTCCTTTCAGGCATGTACACAGCACCTTGCTACTACTACCCTGACAGGGCAGGAAAATCTGGCCGCCCCAGCTTTGTGGTGGCTGTTGATTTGAAGGCAGGAGACAAACCCAGCGACCACTGGGTCAAGAGAGGCTGTGCTCTACTCATGAGTTTGGACTATTAAACCTTTTTGTTTTACGTCCGACTCAGACTTCATAGAGCTAGAATTACTTCAGTATTATTTGAAGTGACTGCTGAAGAATATTCATTTGTGTAATTTATTTGTAAATATAAAATATGTGTTGAAATATTTATAGACTGCTGAAATTCTTTGTATTTTATAGCTATTTCTACAATATTATTTTTTTAGTATTTAATAAAATTTCCAATGACCAGGTGTTAAAATCCTATTTGTATTCTAGTTTTAACTAATTCCTGAGTGACAGATCTCATATTGCATGGCATGATATAAGATGCAAGTATATTATGTATATAAATACATTTACGATGATATGTTTTTAAGAGTTATTTGTTGCCAACAACATTCCGTCCTTTAGATTATGTAAATTGATGTTTGTAATTTATATCCAATGTGATATTAAAATTTATAAAATCCACCAGCTTGTGATAAAAAATTTTCATAATTATAGACTTACTACATTCCGTCCAACTTGCCTTATTTTTAATGTTACTTTTTGTTTTAGTTCCAAAATGTCTAAAAATAATTTTGAGAAAGTTTTAAAATTATATTTTATAATTAAGTTCATGTTTAACTGTTTTAAAATGTTTTTAGTTTTTAAAATGTAGTTATTTTATAAACTTTACAAGTTTTATTACGGTATTTATTGTTGACATTGTTAGTTATTTGTGCTTAATTTATTATTCAGTATTTGAAAAAAAAAATGTGAACATGAAAATAAAACTGCTAATTTTTTAAATAAAAACTTTACACATCTTTATGTATAGACTGTTGATATATAATTGAAAAAATAAAAAATATATTAAAACAACTGCATGTCAATTCTATGGGCGTGTTATTTCAGTCAACATATGATTTTTGTTTTGTTTTTGCATCCATCTTCATAGCAGGAGAATCTAGGTCAAAAATTATTGTCTGATCACAAGAAGGTGATTGGTGGTAATTGATGATAAGAAGGAATGGGGTAAAAAGTGAGATATAAGCACATAACAATAAGGAGTTGTATGATTGTGATACATGTGTCACTCATGATAATGGGCCTACGTGTTTCGTCTGGTGATGATACAATCAGTGTGTCATTCAGACTTTTTTTCTCCGGGGGGGGGGGGGGGGTGTCGGTAGACTTTCTTCGGGGGGGGGGGGGGGGGAACACTGTTAAAAGTATATCTTTTCTATATAAATTTCGTTCGGGGGGGGGGGAGTAGAATGGAGATGCCTGGAAGAAACTCTGGATACAAGTATCACCTCGTTCTTTTCTTCGTTCGAGGCTTTTTCGAATTTAACAACTTTGCCCGACTCGACAACGCCTCCATCACAATTAAGGATGGCCATTGACTCCGATTTCAGCCTTTGTATAACCAAGAACAAACTACAACCTACTTACGAGCATCATCTGCCCGAGGGTTTGAACTCGAGGCTTTTCTGTTTAGCAACCATGCGCTTGACCACGCCGACCCCCCCCCCCCTAATCACCTCGTGATAATAGGCCTACATGTTTCATCTTGTTGTGATACATCTGTCATCTGATGGTGATACATCTGTCATCTGATGGTGATACATCTATCATCTGATGGTGATACATCTGTCATCTGATGGTGATACATCTGTCATCTGATGGTGATACATCTGTCATCTGGTGGTGATACATGTGTCATCTGGTGGTGATACATGTGTCATCTGATGGTGATACATCTGTCATCTGATGGTGATACATCTGTCATCTGATGGTGATACATCTGTCATCTGATGGTGATACATCTGTCATCTGATGGTGATACATCTGTCATCTGATGGTGATACATCTGTCATCTGATGGTGATACATCTGTCATCTGGTGGTGATACATCTGTCATCTGATGGTGATACATCTGTCATCTGGTGGTGATACATCTGTCATCTGATGGTGATACATCTGTCATCTGATGGTGATACATCTGTCATCTGATGGTGATACATCTGTCATCTGATGGTGATACATCTGTCATCTGATGGTGATACATCTGTCATCTGGTGGTGATACATCTGTCATCTGATGGTGATACATCTGTCATCTGATGGTGATACATGTGTCATCTGATGGTGATACATGTGTCATCTGATGGTGATACATCTGTCATCTGATGGTGATACATCTGTCATCTGATGGTGATACATCTGTCATCTGATGGTGATACATCTGTCATCTGATGGTGATACATCTGTCATCTGGTGGTGATACATCTGTCATCTGATGGTGATACATCTGTCATCTGATGGTGATACATCTGTCATCTGATGGTGATACATCTGTCATCTGATGGTGATACATGTGTCATCTGATGGTGATACATCTGTCATCTGATGGTGATACATCTGTCATCTGATGGTGATACATCTGTCATCTGATGGTGATACATGTGTCATCTGATGGTGATACATCTGTCATCTGGTGGTGATACATCTGTCATCTGATGGTGATACATCTGTCATCTGGTGGTGATACATCTGTCATCTGATGGTGATACATCTGTCATCTGATGGTGATACATCTGTCATCTGATGGTGATACATCTGTCATCTGATGGTGATACATCTGTCATCTGATGGTGATACATCTGTCATCTGGTGGTGATACATCTGTCATCTGATGGTGATACATCTGTCATCTGGTGGTGATACATCTGTCATCTGATGGTGATACATCTGTCATTTGATGGTGATACATCTGTCATCTGATGGTGATACATGTGTCATCTGATGGTGATACATCTGTCATCTGGTGGTGATACATCTGTCATCTGATGGTGATACATCTGTCATCTGGTGGTGATACATCTGTCATCTGATGGTGATACATCTGTCATCTGATGGTGATACATGTGTCATCTGATGGTGATACATGTGTCATCTGATGGTGATACATCTGTCATCTGATGGTGATACATCTGTCATCTGATGGTGATACATCTGTCATCTGATGGTGATACATCTGTCATCTGATGGTGATACATCTGTCATCTGGTGGTGATACATCTGTCATCTGATGGTGATACATCTGTCATCTGATGGTGATACATCTGTCATCTGATGGTGATACATCTGTCATCTGATGGTGATACATGTGTCATCTGATGGTGATACATCTGTCATCTGATGGTGATACATCTGTCATCTGATGGTGATACATCTGTCATCTGATGGTGATACATGTGTCATCTGATGGTGATACATCTGTCATCTGGTGGTGATACATCTGTCATCTGATGGTGATACATCTGTCATCTGGTGGTGATACATCTGTCATCTGATGGTGATACATCTGTCATCTGATGGTGATACATCTGTCATCTGATGGTGATACATCTGTCATCTGATGGTGATACATCTGTCATCTGATGGTGATACATCTGTCATCTGGTGGTGATACATCTGTCATCTGATGGTGATACATCTGTCATCTGATGGTGATACATCTGTCATCTGATGGTGATACATCTGTCATCTGATGGTGATACATCTGTCATCTGATGGTGATACATCTGTCATCTGGTGGTGATACATCTGCCATCTGGTGGTGATACATCTGTCATCTGATGGTGATACATCTGTCATCTGGTGGTGATACATCTGTCATCTGATGGTGATACATCTGTCATCTGATGGTGATACATCTGTCATCTGATGGTGATACATCTGTCATCTGATGGTGATACATCTGTCATCTGATGGTGATACATCTGTCATCTGATGGTGATACATCTGTCATCTGGTGGTGATACATCTGTCATCTGATGGTGATACATCTGTCATCTGATGGTGATACATCTGTCATCTGATGGTGATACATCTGTCATCTGATGGTGATACATCTGTCATCTGATGGTGATACATCTGTCATCTGATGGTGATACATCTGTCATCTGATGGTGATACATCTGTCATCTGATGGTGATACATGTGTCATTTGATGGTGATACATCTGTCATCTGATGGTGATACATCTGTCATCTGATGGTGATACATGTGTCATTTGATGGTGATACATCTGTCATCTGATGGTGATACATGTGTCATCTGATGGTGATACATCTGTCATCTGATGGTGATACATCTGTCATCTGATGGTGATACATCTGTCATCTGATGGTGATACATCTTTCATCTGATGGTGATACATCTGTCATCTGATGGTGATACATCTGTCATCTGATGGTGATACATCTGTCATCTGATGGTGATACATCTGTCATCTGATGGTGATACATCTGTCATCTGATGGTGATACATCTGTCATCTGATGGTGATACATCTGTCATCTGATGGTGATACATCTGTCATCTGATGGTGATACATCTGTCATCTGATGGTGATACATCTGTCATCTGATGGTGATACATCTGTCATCTGATGGTGATACATCTGTCATCTGATGGTGATACATCTGTCATCTGATGGTGATACATCTGTCATCTGATGGTGATACATCTGTCATCTGATGGTGATACATCTGTCATCTGATGGTGATACATCTGTCATCTGATGGTGATACATCTGTCATCTGATGGTGATACATCTGTCATCTGATGGTGATACATCTGTCATCTGATGGTGATACATCTGTCATCTGATGGTGATACATCTGTCATCTGATGGTGATACATCTGTCATCTGATGGTGATACATCTGTCATCTGATGGTGATACATCTGTCATCTGATGGTGATACATCTGTCATCTGATGGTGATACATCTGTCATCTGATGGTGATACATCTGTCTAGTGACAACACAGACACTTTGAGGAACAGATGGTGGGAACCGACTGACTAGGAGAACACGAGTAGGACACACGGCTAAAAAATGTATGACCCTGCGGTAATATAATGTTATATGGAATGGAGGGTCTACATTTATTATAAGGTGAGGGGGGGGGGGGTGTCCATTAATGACGTCATGTGCTCAGGAAAATGGCAAACAAATGTGAGGATTCCATTTTTTTTAACAAAAGACATATTTAGTATTTGTGTCGAAAGATTGCGGTCATGTTGAGCAGAGTATCACTTAGGTCTTATATCTGTGTCGTAAGATCAGAGGCGTAGCGAGGAAGGGGGGGGGGCGGGGGGTGCGGATCGCACCGGGTGACACCATTTAGGGGGGTGATATCAAGGCAAAAAATAGCAAAATATATAGAGAAAAGTTTGAGGGGGGGGGTGCAAATCGAAAGTTTGAGGGGGGGTGCAAATCGAAATTTTGAAAGTTTGTCCCCGGAAGGGTCGCTACGCCTCTGGGGGGGGGGGGGGTGTGACACCATAAAGTGCCGCACCGGGTGACACCCGACCTCGCTACGCCACTGCGTAAGATTGCGGTCATGTTGAGCAGACTATCACTTAAGTCTTATATCTGTACCAAGTCAAAGGTGACACGCGATTTGACTTCTGCGTGCGCGAGGCCGGTGTGACGTTGTCGTCTGCCACCTGTACGTTCGACTGAAGCTTCCCACGAACGAGATTGCGTCGTGTGCTGAAATTCTATTTGTCAGTTTGGCTTCACCGGTAAGTGGCTGTTATTTCATTTGTTGCACTCATACTTTTTAGACAGCTTCATAGATCTAGATGTAAGTAATTATATAAACAGCTCTTTAAAGATTGGTTTGTGAAGTCGATTTCTATGTAAGCAACAGAGGCGTATGTAGAAATATATCATGGGTAGGGATGAGTGTTTTCAATAAAGTCGCAACAAGTGTTATTAATTATTTTTTCTGAATATTTTTATATTTAAACACTTTGGTTAAATGTAATAACCGCTGTGCAATAATGATAGTAAGAGATATGACAATATGACCACACTTTTTTTTTTTACTACCCATGCCTTTGTGGTTATTGAACAAAACGGTGTGTAATTTCGGGCAGATGAGGCTCGTTAGCTGGGGACAGCCACTCTTCTAGGAGAGACAACTCCAAAATCAAACAACTGTTGCCTTGTAGTTTGTTCTTGGTTGGACAAAGGCTATGGAAGCAAATCCAAAAAGAAAATCAGGCTGAAATCGGAGTCAATGGCCTCAATGGCGCATAACCAGTTGACACGTAATCCTTAATTGTGATGGAAGCATGTTCAAGTCGGCAAAGCTCATGGTTGATAAATTCGAAAAAGTCTCGAGTTCAAACCATCCGGCAGATAAGGCTCGATCCCTCCCAACACAAAAAAATTAAGAACGAAGAAGAAGAAAAGGTGTGTAATTCTTTTAAAACATCGAAAAATGGAGTTAAAACGATGGGACTCTGGAACAGCAAGCACAAACACACATTTATATATTATTCCGCAACGATTTTAAGAGCGTGAGTTGTTTTTACAACATTGAAAATGTTGAAACTTTACACATCAAGCGAGACGAGTACATTGTTGCCAATAGCTTTAGCTTACGGGAAACGACTTTGATTTTGGGGGTCCCTGGGCAAGGTTCTAGCCAGGTTTCAGTGCATGTAAATGCTCCAACTTTTCACTTGTATGTTTCTGTTATTGTTTGTTGTCTTTCATTTTAACTGAATAAATACACGAACCCCTTCTACGTACGCATTAACTCACTCTTATCCATACCCTGCCAACGCCAGTTGTTTTTATAGATTTTATAAATATGGCAGAGTGAGTAGAGTTTTGTTTCTTTAAACTAGAGATTGGAGTGGTCACTATTTGGTCCGCCCAAAGCCCAACCGCCCTTTCTTTCCCCAATCCCCAACTGTAGAACTGTAGTGCGATGCCGATCAAAGCTGGGGGATTTCCCACGAACGCGATAGCAATCGCCTGCTTAGTTACGCCATCTTAAGATCCTTCTTTTTTAGATATGTAATTTAATTAAGTGGTATCAATCATTTGTTTTGGCATATATTTTTACCATCTCTTCAAGAGTTTCAGCATTGTTTATGTTTTATTTATAGACTAACCAGATACAATCATGAGGCCTTTGGTCAACACAAAAGAGACGAGAAAAGAGAAAAGAGAGAGGAAATTAGAATACGACAAAAACAAACAAAATTTATGGCGGGTGACAATACCAGCATTCCTCGCAGTAATCGCTCTCATCGTTTTATTTGTGTATGCGAATACAAGACCCAAAAACTATAAATAGACGTAACAGAATTCTTGAATTATACGACAAAAACAATAATTAATATGTGTACATTATAATTTCTTGCTTTTTACAATAAAGTTGGTGGAGTTTCTCAAATTTGTTTTAAAATTTAAATGCGATAAAATCTGGCATTTGCGGACTTAACGCAATGAGTTTATCTGAAAAATTGAAAACCCTACTGTGTAATTTATTATAGTGGTTGTGAGAACTAGGTGTGTCAGTTGTATTGAAATGTGTTAACATTTAGTATACACACGCAAAACATTAAGAACATAAGCTTGGTACGGCTCACACACATCGCAGCAAATAATTGGAGTTTTTCATGCCGGTTTGCGTGACATCTGGTGTGGCATAAAGTGTGATGTGGTGTGGTGCAAAGTGTTGTGCAGAGTATCGTGTGGTGTAAAGTGTGTGTAGTGTAGAGTGTGGTGGGGTGTAGAGTGTGGTGTGATGTGGTATAGAAAGTGGTGCTGCCCAGAGTAAACAGAGACCTGTGTTAATAAGCCGTCCTATTGTTGTAATATAAGACACAGGTGTAGGCCTATAGCCTCAGTTATCTCAACACACACTCATCTGACAGAAGAAACAATATGCCTGTAACAGATGCCGCGTGATATATACAACTAATAACACTGGACGTTGACTCGGGATAGATATATATATATATATATATATATATATATATATATATATATATATATATATATACATATGTATATACATACATATATATATTCATATGTCCCCTATAGAAGGGCAATAAAGATATGAACACAGGATGGATTGACAGCATTGTATTACCTATAAGCTTCACTAATGAACCCAGTTGTCGATCGTTTGTTTACATACCGCCGACATGGAATTAAATAACAAACATTCACCTGCGTTGTCCAGATATTCCATTAGTTGTTCGATATCGCTCTTAACTGTGTACTAAAAACGGATTCCAAGCATCCCGCATAACTCATGTAATAACACACTGGATGTTTTTGTTTGACTATACAAATAGCTTAACTACACACCCGAGTGTGTGAGTTTGATTGATCGTGTCAAAATAGATTGAGCTAATCAAGCAACAGATGTTTGTATTCTCCAAACTCCATTATAGCGGATGAGTGTATAGTTTCATGCTTTTGAAGGACGTATAAAGTATTGAATGGAATGTTTGAATCTTCTACGATCGACTTAGTCCCTTTCTGTGGAGGGTCATTCTGAAGGACACACGTGATCAACATTCAGTCATCTCCCCTGATCATCTCTAACGTAGTAGGTGCCAGCCATATTCCCCTGCAAATAAATGCCACTTCTTGGATGCACTACGTTAGATATTTACATTATTTTACATCAATTCTAGTCCCGTTAATCAATTAAGTTTAAATTTTTATAAGCTGTTATTAGTTTACAATGGCTGTCTGTCTGTTTGATTGTTTCTTATTAACTTGTAGAAATGTATTTTGTGTCACAACCTCACCCCCCCCCCCCCCCCCCTCCGTCCCCAACCTTACCACCCTTTTACCAAACGTCACATGTAACAAACTTCATAAAAATTGCGAACAGTATCAGTGAATCACCTCTATCGTCCCGTGAGGTGAGTTGATTACCTGAACAAAAGCCAACAACAACAGGTACATGAGACGTTTAGGTGTCACAACTGTAGCAGATGTCAGGAGAGTACGTGGAGGGGGAGAGAGAAAGCATCCGTGGGGGTGGGGGCATACGTCGAGTCTCGATACTGTGACCATCTTGTTCACATCACCTCAACCATCACCATCTTCTCTCGATCCTCCCAAGACTCTTGGTGCAGATAAGGTAGAGTGCACCTGTCTCAACGACTACGGTAAACCAAGAGATTGGTCAGCATAATACTCTACGTCTTGGTTTCCTGCCAGAAACAGTTACCTACAGACTCGAACCCGAGATTCGAACTCGAGATTTTCGGGTTAGCAGTCGTAAGCTCTGTTATTCGACCACGCCGTGCCGTACCCCAACTGTACTTACATTAAGTTGGTGACATCAATCCTAAATGCATACGTTAGATTGGTGTCATCAATACAAAATATATAGGTTAGATTGTCCAATTTTGTTCACCTTTAACAAAGCAATACAAACATTTCTAGTTTACATAAACCCAAACCCTAAAGTTAAATATGCAGTGAACACGAAGACAGCAAGCGACGTGAACCTCAACCCAAATGCTATTTCACATCACGGACTAGATAAGGACACATTTTATCTGAATGAAATCTAAATGTAGTTCAGAATAAATAATACATTTATGATGACGTAACAATTAGATACTGCACACGTTGTACATAATATATTTAGGCCTCCAACTAACCCAAGCTTAAGCATTCTGCTTTACTTGAATGGTATATTTGAATTGATTTAACTGACGACTTTGTATTTTTTCAATGTGAGCACCTGCATTTCAAGTTTATGTCGCGTGTGCAACTAGTTATTTAATTCAAGCATTTAAAAATAAAAACTTATAGTTTATAAAAGGCCGCAGTCAGTTTTGGTCCGGTTTCGGTCCAGAGTTTATTCCAGCCCCCCGCCCCCAAAATAAAATAAAATTAATAAGCATACTTTTAACAGTACCCCCCCCTCCCCGGAGAAAAGTCTGGAAGAAACACTGTTTCGGTCACTAGAGAAGGCCCTAAAAACTTGTCTGAAAGTACCCGATCTACTTGGTGCGAATAACAACCAATCAAATACCAATGGACAGACCAACCAATCGGCCAACGAAACAAATAAACAAAAACACATATTACTGAGTTTATACAGCAGATGTTTATTTTCTCCCCATTCTCTGATGTATGCTAGTGTTGAGTGACAGTGTCTGATGTATGCTCGTGTTGAGTGAGAGTGTTTCCAGTCAGCCGTGTGTGAACTACTGAGTGACAAAACATTCATCAGCTGGGCCTCACCTCTCTAGGTTTGACGACCTCAAGCGTCATACATTTGTGGCGGCAGTAGTTTACACACAGGGTAAGTGTGGGATTAAAGTGGGGGCGGGTCTTGTGTGGGGGAGTGTGTTGTGTGGGGGATCATGTGTGGGTGATGAGGTATGGATGAAGATGTTGTGTGGGTGAGGATGTTATGTGCGTGAGGATATTGTGTGGGAAGATGTTTTGTGGGATTGGATGAAGATGTGTGGTTAAGGATACTGTGTGGTTTCAAATGTTATGGATATGATGTTGTTGGTGCGGATGTTGTGTAGTGTGGATGTGTGTGGATGTTTTGTGGGTAGGGATGTGTGTAAATGTTTAGTGGGTGAGGATGTGTGGTGTGGTTAGACATGTGTGGGAGATGATTGTGTGGGTGTGTGTGTTGTGTGGGGTGTAGTAGCTGGACGTGCGTGGAGCTGGTAGCGTTGAAGACTTCAAACAGAGGATTCACATGCGGGGTACTTGCTGACGACTTTCTCAATGGTGTCTACGAAAGCTTGAGTTTCTTGCGAACCAGAGCAGGATGGCTGGCCGTTGATAAAGATGAAAGGAATGGCTGGGGGAATATAGAGCAAAGGGTGAGCAGAGGGTAGTAGTAGGTAGACAGTTAGTAAACGGTTAACTAGCCAGTCAGCTCATGGGTTAACCAGTTAGTTCGTGGGTTAATAAGTTGGTTCATGGGTTAACCAGTTGGTTCATGGGTTAACCGGGTAGTTCGTGGGTTAACCAGTTGGTTCGTGGGTTAACCAGTTGGTTCGTGGGTTAACCAGTTGGTTCATGGGTTAACCAGTTGGTTCATGGGTTAACCAGTTGGTTCATGGGTTAACCAGTTGGTTCATGGGTTAACCAGTTGGTTCATGGGTTAACCAGTTGGTTCATGGGTTAACCAGTTGGTTCATGGGTTGACCAGTTGGTTCGTGGGTTAACCAGTTGGTTTATGGGTTAACCAGTTGGTTCGTGGGTTAACCGGGTAGTTCGTGGGTTAATCAGTTGGTTCGTGTGTTAACCGGGAAGTTCGTGGGTTAACCGGTTGGTTTGTGGGTTAACCAGTTGGTGCATGGGTTAACCGGGTAGTTCGTGGGTTAACCAGTTGGTTCGTGGGTTAACACAAACAAAAGACATCCCTTCACCCTAAATTACAACCACCTCCCCGGGAAATAACTGTCCAAAATGGAGGTACACAAATAAAACTGTCCTGTATCTAAGCGCCGTCTCCCTTCCTTGCTCCACATCACATTCACAGCGCTCCACCCTCTCAATTCGTCACATAACAGTAAAGTTTAAAATAACCAATCAATTGTAAAGTGACCTTGGCCCACCAACCTTGAACACCCTGCTTCCGCCATTGCGCGGCCTTCTCTCTGACCTTCTGTTCGTTGTCCGGGTTGTCCAAGTATTTGGACACTGCGTGGGTGTGCAGTCCGACGTCTTGGGCTATTTTTAGCAGATGTCTTTTCTCCAGTGGTCGCCCTTTGGTAAAGTAAGCCTGTGGTGACAATATAGACAAGTAAGCTTGAGACAATATAGACAAGTAAACCTGAGGTGACAATATAGACAAGTAAGCTTGAGACAATATAGACAAGTAAGCTTGAGGCAATATAGACAAGTAAGCTTGAGGCAATATAGACAAGTAAGCTTGAGGCAATATAGACAAGTAAGCTTGAGGTGACAATATAGACAAGTAAGCTTGAGGCAATATAGACAAGAAAGCTTGAGGTGACAATATAGACAAGTAAGCTTGAGGCAATATAGACAAGTAAGCTTGAGGCAATATAGACAAGTAAGCTTGAGGCAATATAGACAAGTAAGCTTGAGGCAATATAGACAAGTAAGCTTGAGGCAATATAGACAAGTAAGCTTGAGGCAATATAGACAAGTAAGCTTGAGGCAATATAGACGAGTAAGCTTGAGGCAATATAGACGAGTAAGCTTGAGGCAATATAGACAAGTAAGCTTGAGGCAATGTAGACAAGTAAACCTGAGGTGACAATATAGACGAGTAAGCCTGAGGTGACAATATAGACAAGTAAGCTTGAGACAATATAGACGAGTAAGCTTGAGGCAATATAGACAAGTTAGCTTGAGGCAATATAGACAAGTAAACCTGAGGTGACAATATAGACAAGTAAGCCTGAGGTGACAATAT